CCAACACTTCCAACTTGAAGCTGCAACAGCTTGGCTTCAAGTTTGCCTGTTACTAATCTCGTGAGCAGACCTTAAAAACCCTTCGCACCACACGTCCGTCTTAGCCTGGTGTGTTCTGTTCACATTAAAGAGTTCAGCCTGAATTTTCAAATCTCGTTAGAGCACCTTTCCTAACGGTCCTGGTGTTCTGTCACTTTTAGTACCAGAGAGCATGCTTGGACCGCTGACTGCTTCAAACGCCAAGTCAGTCAAGAAGAAGGGAAGTTTTCTCTCCAGGACTCCTCTTACACCAAGGTAATCTTCAAAATCTTTTCTTACATACTGTGAAAGAAGACCCCTATAATCACTTTTTAATGTTAACATTCTTTCCTCGCTAATAAAGGAAGATCTATTCCTTACACCGCCTAAAGGAGTATTCGTCTAAAACTACTTTGTCCTGAAGGCTCCCCACCCCAGCTCTCACCCGTTGCCTTCACAAAAACACTTTCGAAGGAAAGTTAGAACAATTGGAGAACGGAGCAGTGATTTACCCTCAAAAGTAGATTGTTTGGGGTTTGTTCTTCTCTCTTATCAAGATTAAAGAAAAATTTGTTTGAGTTTTGATTTTCTTCTTTTTTTGTCTGTCTATCGCCATTGGCGTGCCTTCAAACATGCCTTTAACGACGAGTGGTCTTTTTTAACAAAATGGAAATTAAACACGCAGTTTTCCTCAAGCGTATTCAACTTATTTACGGGCGAATTTTTTTTTTCTTTTTTTTCATTAAAATAGCAGTTATTTGCAGTCTGTAAAACCGATTTATATGAGACACGTTGTGTACCAAAACATCGAAATCAAATGTAGAGAGCTGAGACCGCAGACGAAATTTTACCAAACATTCACCATCTAACTTTGAAGTGACACACGAATGCAAAAATTCCACGCGTGAATTTCGCGTGAATCGCGTGGGGGGCACCGAGCTTGCGCAGTGACCTGACAGGTGCAGTTTTTGTGGGAATAATTTCGCTCGTTTTAGTCTCCGTTCACAGCACATATGGCCGGAAAGTAAAGTGATTGATGGGTAAATTAAAAAAGATCATCTTTTGTGATATTACGAGGTGGCCATGGAAATAGAAAGTAATTTTGTCGAGAAAATATACATAAGTCAGGTTTCAGTGGTGACACTAGTTTATTCTTTTTCACTGACCACATTTCTATCGTTATTGTTTGTCAGTTCCCACGTTTTATCAAGCATTTGTTTCGCCCTTGCACAAAAAAGAAAAAAATTACTTTAAACTCAATAATCGTCGTCAAGTAAAAAAAAAGTCGAGGCTCATTAAAAAGTAAAAAAAAAAATTCATCAACGATAAAGGCGTTCGTTTAGGCTAGAAATTATTATCTCAGTTCAAACTATGGACCCATGGTCATGAACTCGCCAGCGCGGAGCCTTCCACTTCAACTTTCTGCCGAAGATTCGCCGAGGTTCTGAAAATTCGACGTTGACCGCTCACAAACCGGCCACATTCTCCAACGAAAAAAGGTTTTTTTTTCCTTCGAGAAGCCTCGAAAATCGGGAGAAATTTAATGTAAAAAAAAGAAAAGAAAAAAGGAAAAACTATAATAATCCTTTGACCTCGGCGGAAGATCATTTCATCTCTGGATAAATCGTTTGTTGAGCTTGAAAATTTCCAAGCAAGACATGAAGTTTTTTTTCGACAATTTGGCCGTTCGGTCAATTGCTTATGTTCCGCATACTCATTTATTTTGTTTTTTTCGTGTATACAAAGTATATTTACTAGTTTTTGCTATAATGAAACTTGCAATTTTATTTGATTGGAACTTAAATTTTCGTCTACTCTTAAATTTAAAATTACTTTGAAGAATATTTTGGCAAACTAACTACAATTTCATCCCTTTCACAATTCTTTATCCCTGGAACGTAGTGCTTTAGTAATCGGCATAGGTCGGCATATCAATTGGCTGACTTAAAGTATATATATTTTCACACGAGTGCCTGTGTTTATTCTGATCATTGCTAACTGTTTTGGAAGTTTGTCAATTGACGTCATGTAGTAACCCGTGTTGTTTCTTCTGTTTCTCGCCAGGTTTGGAAGCAAGAGCAAAAATCCGAACAAGAGACCAACACATTTCTTCGCTTCACCGATGCTAAAATAGATTATAACTCTGTAGTAAACCTCTTAAATTGTTTTATAGTTCTTGTGTTGACAAGATCGATGTATCCTTCGCTTGATGTGTAAACATGTCAGTCCTTGTGACGATGCGGGCGACACGACTCTTATCGCACGATTGATACAGGAAGATCATCCTTTAAGTATACATACATGTATTGAGACTTTGTGGAGCTCCACTTGTTTACTGACTGATTCTGACTATCGCTTTCGACTCGAATACCCTTGTTAATTACTGATATTTTGTGTTTAAGATAGTTTATTTTGTTGTGTCGTCTGACATGTCATGTTTTCAAAGTAAATTGAGAAGATAGCTTCTGTTGTGGTATATATATTCTCTAAAACGTGCCCGTTTTAAAGCTGTGGTCTCCCAAAAAGTCTTTAACCTGAAACTTATCAATTTTATTTGACACAGACAAAAAAACATTTTTAATCTACACAGCCAGCTTTTATGGCTATCAAATTTACTCCTATTAGCTTTATCGGGAAATATTGAATCTCTTTAAATAGAAGCCCTGTAATTGTGTACGGTAGCTATAGAACAATTTCATTTTGCATTTATTACAACTGAAGAAAAATAAGCTATACCTTTCACAATGCCTAACCCTGTCAGGATTTTAATTATTACGAAAATCTTTGAGGCTGTTTATTTCGTTTAGGCGTTTATCATTAACGGTAAGAATTTCTACTGCGTAACCAAATGCTGTTGGTTTAGTTTGTGTTCCTTTATATTTTTTACCGCCACTGTATGCAATATGTCATTCCTTGTCAGCGACGTAAGAAACCGCCGCTCAAAAACCTGATTATTGAGGACCAGGACAACAAAGAACTGAAGATCAAAGTTCTGTCACTAATGATATTATTTATCCAGATTAAACTTTCCAGCAGACTGCGTTACACGACCTCTGTGAGATGTGTTGTACTATTTTTATACGCGTATCCCGGCTGCAAGAGGAAGGGGAAGATATTTTCGAAGCATATCGTCATGATGTTAAGTGTGACTTCGTGGGAGACCCTTTAGCGCTCATACTTCCGTTCAAGTGTTAACTGAGTTGATGTTTTGGTTTTTGTATTCTCTGAAGCTGAGAAATCAACAAGGACCAAATTATCAGCGAGTTCATCTCTAACTGATCGTAACCGATGGTTTCAAGGTTGTTTGGGGCAAATGAGAAACGAAACTTGTTACGCTTTGTACTTAAGTCTTGGATTTGTTCAGTTTACACTTGAAAATCTTGTAGTTAGAGTCTTGACCACTTTAGTCAGAAGTCTTCATTGCCCAACGCGTGTGTAGAATAATTATGCAAATTTGACTGACCTTTCGTCTGCGTCAGATCAATCGCACGGATCGTCTAGGCTGTGTCGAAGACGAATATAGATTTGATCGGAAACAAATCGAGAACAAAGCTCCTTGGTACCTCCAGTTTTAAAAGGCGGGGGGCGGTTCACGCGCGACAACTTATCTCCAAATTAATAAAGCTTGATTTTGTCCACATGCTTGAATAGAGTTCCCTCTCAACAGAAAGCAAATGGAATCTACGAGGGAACAAACGGTAGAAGACAGATCTTTAGAATGCACGGAACACAACACGTCGCGTCGAGCAAAAGGAATTAGAATAAAGTAGTTTTCCTAGATTTTTAAGTAAGACAAGACCGGGTTCTGGCGAGTGTAGTAAGCTTGCTCTGCAGCAATAAGTAGAATTTTCTTTGGCACTTACTGAAATGATTTTCCTCTGGAGAGAACCAGATGTTTCAGGGAATACTGAAGAAATTTTTCCGCTCACTGTGCTTTTTGACCGTGTAAAAGTAGGCTTCCGTGTGCTGACAGCAGACAACACGGAACCTTTAAATGGTCGTTTGCAATGGGCTTATCTCAACTAAATTACTACCTCACATCTGAAGGGAAGACTGAATAGGCCATTGGTAAAATAGTGCTTGTTTACGATGGCGTATCTTTTTTCTCTCTTTTCCTTATCAATGATAGAGTTTATTAGTAAAGAATTCATGGTGAGGATCTTCGTCTATCAAACAAACATGATCATGAAAATATGGTAGAAAATTTAAGAGCATGTCTAGTAGACCTGGTACATTCACACAAGGTTTTATTAAATCGATTGTCCACTGAATCATGGCGTTATCAAATACACAACAAAGACTAGTTTGGGATCACAACAAAAGATTTATTATACTAGGAAAGGAGACTGTAAAGTAAATAAACCCCTTTAAATACAATCGTTTTTTATCTGTGATAGGTTTTCTGCACGCTCAAATATACAGGTTTGACAGAAGTCGATGTTTAATTTCTAGCTTACATCTCGTGTATGGTCAAGCACAGTTTTCCCCTTTCTAACTACAAATCGCGTAAAATCAAGCTTAAAGGTACATTTACACTTCATTCACATAACAATTATGTTTAGGATAGTTATGCAACACCTTATTACTGCATATGATGAAGCAGACTTCAGCTCAATTCCAGACAATCTCAGTGGCACAAACTGCGTAAGGCAAAACAGTAGGGCTAAAAATTTACACGGATTTCCGATCGAGAGTTCCGTAGCGACGTAATTTCCTTCATTATTCATCGATCGTTGGGAAAGAAAAGAATCGATTTCTTGAAAAAAACACTGCTGTTGAAGGGTATACGCTTTAGATTCGTATGTGACCCGATTTTCATAACCTCGTCGACGAAGGAAATGTATGATGTATTTCAATAACAAGGCAACGCCATTTTGACCAATGACGCTGCGTTACTTAGAGTTTGACCAATCACAGAGCGATCCTGGGGCTATTGAGCTTAGCGGCAAAGAGGCGTGCTTTTGAGATGGGTCTAACGTGAGACTGAAGTAAAGTGACTCACTTTGTCCCTACATTGCAGTACAAATCTGCGCTTTTTGGACAAAGTTAAGGCGGAATTGAAGATTTTGACACTGAGCCAAGAATCTAGACTAAATACTGATGCGGTCTGTCCGTTTCCTTTGACTTCACAGCGAGGGATTTTTAAGTTATCTGTCGAGCTGGTTAGTCGCACTAACATACAGGCTTTGAGCATCTATCGGGCCGTCGGCTCCTAAGATACTACACAGAGTGCAACTACATTAGACTTTATGATGTCTTTGGAAACTGCAGCAGAAGGGGTAGAGGAGAAGAAACAGTCACCTAAATGTGGAAGGCTCGTATTTCGTGGAGTTGAACTAGCATATCTGAATATCGACGGTGAATTCTTGTTGCCTTTGGCGGAACTGTTGGCTTTGATTTTGCCATCAACACCGCGCACAACGTTATTTACTAGGATGGAAAAAATGAAAGTTCGAAGGCATTTCTGCGATCCTGAAGAAATCAAACTGCTAAAAACAGTAAATGGAATTCACGGTTCGTCTGCCAACTGCACCCTACTTTCCAAAACAGAAGTAGAGAAATATTGTTCAATCTATATCGACAAGCCTAGCGAACTGAATCTAACGAGAGCGGGGGATGTATATCCAGAGCCATTCGGAAGAGAAAGTGATCGAAGGGAAAACGGTCGTAAAGACAGGGAGTGCACTGAAACGACCCACCAAAACAACAAAGCAATTCGGAACAAATCAGCAGTGCTTGATAAACACAAGAAATTGACGCCGCTTAAACGTAACCTAACGTTAACGAAATTCGCTAAAGGGAAGAAGCTAAAATTGCGCTCGGAAGCTGATTGTCAAGTAAATAAAACATTAACGGACAATACAACTTGTGCGGCCATTGACGGAGATCTAACTTCTGGAAACGTTAATGAATGCGGGGAAGGTTTTCTGGTCGTTCCGCCGTGTTCTTTACGTAAGGTGCAGAATTGTACACAAACGCAAGCCTTCGATAAACTTACTGTGAGCAAGAAACGCATAAACAAGCGTGACAGTGTGGATGGGAACAAAACGATGCGTAAATGGACTTCAGGGAAGAAAAGACCGGCTAATGATTTGGACAAACGGGAAGTTTTTGGATCGCCATTGAAAATTCCCAAGAGGAGGGAGTTAAATAGACATGTGGAAACCGACAAAGTAGTAAATGGAACGGGTCAATTTCGTTTTCATCGTTGCTCGTCGAAGAAGCAAGATGTTGACTCTCTCATTTCTGATTCATCGTCTAATGACAGCGGCTTCGCGTCGACGTCGTTGTCAAATGCAAGTACACCAACGAAAACTGATTTTTCAGCTGGTGAGCTGACCAGGTTGTGGAGAAAAGACGTCGACACAAAGAAATTCTCTTCTCCGTTAAAAATCACCACACCAAAGAAGAACAGATCAAGCGAGGAAGACTATGGAAAAAGCTTGACTCTATCGCCTCCAGCTTTATTGTTAAAGCGATTTGAAGATTCTTGGCTGGTGGAACAAAAAAGCCCCGTCAGTGCAAAGTTCGCGGGAACAAAAGTCTTGCCTATAGATAAAACGAAGCCCAAAACAAAGAAGAAAGCAAGCTTGACGCCATTATTTGAAGAAGTTTGCAGACCAGTGAAACCTCTTTCTGATAAAAAACAAGTGAAGAAGAAAAAGAAAAGTCTCAGGAAACCACCAAGTTTGATAGAGGAAATCGGAAGCCGCGAAACACTTATCACCAACGATTTAATCGTTGAGGAAAGGCACGACGTCAAAGGATTTGACAAGAAACCGAAGCGAAAAGACAAACTTCTTACGCTCAAATCTCGTAAAGGCCAAACTTTGTTTAACGGACAAGTTTTCAGGTCGAACAAAAATGCTGACGTTTCAGCTAAAAAAGAAAAGAATCCAGAATACTTTCATCGAAAAATGGCCAGTCCCGTAATCAAAGTTGACGGTTATTTACCAACACATGAGGAACTATTGAAAAAGGACAAGGTACTTGAAAGACTAGTCGGTAATGCGTTAGCCAAATTCTTTGCTCCGGAATCAACGGAGCCTGCTCCGTTACCAGACAAAGTCGACAAACCAAAAGCAAAGAAAACAAAGATTGCAGGAATAGCAAAGCCTGTTTTAAAAACAAGCTCCCATTTTAAACTTTCAAATTTGTTCCCTGTCACTTCGCCTCTAACTCTTCAAGATGGAGGTTTGAGTCCGTTGTTCACCATGTCCTGTCCGAAAGGAAGCAAACCAGATTCCAACCATGCTCTGTGGAAATGGAACCTTGGCGGCCCAGTCGTTCGCGATTCTCCAGATTTCTTAAAACCAAAAATATTAAATAAGAAACCGGTTTCTACGTTAAAGCTAAGTGTTAACAAGGTGCCAAAACTCAAACGCAAGCGGATGAAACCGTTGGCGAATAAAAACCCGCCATCGCTTTGGCGTGCATCTGTTGATAACGACACCACGAGTGTTTCCTTCCCGGCCGACTCAGCGAAAGAAAGTGTTTCAAATACTACAGAGACTGAAATTGTCCATTGTCAAGTCAAGTCTGATGCTGTTTCGTGTTCAGCCGCAGTGAAAGTGAGTTAACACAGGAGAAGTTACTTTGCATGCTAGACACGAATTGCTATGCTACATAATTTAACCTTTGCACAAAAAATAAGCTTTCTTCATATTGATAAGTCTATCTTTTCTTCAAATTTGTTTGAAACCGTTGTAGAAAAAGCTAATACCCTCGAATTTCATATATTTTTGGCCTGTTGAGTTATTTACCCCACTCATTTATTTCGAAGTTAGCTTTAACACAACCAATGTAACAAGTCCCGTTACACTTCGAAACATGTGTCTGTATCAGATTGCAGCGAAGGGATTTTGTCAAGTTAAAACTGGCCTATTTGGCTGACATATTCTTCCGAAGTCTTCATATGAATTTTAAATGTTCGAAAATGTCACTTTTATGTTTCCGATTTTCATCATTGCATAATGTTTTCAAGGATTGATGAGGAAAAACACACTCTAGGGTCTGTTAGCTATGTTGGTTCTTCATAAATTGAACACTCTCTGATCACTGAATTTTTCAGTCAAACGTTTATTTAAACTTTTCCTGAAATCATTCATAGGTAAATTATTTTGTAGAAATTGAGATACTTAAGAACAGTCTTCAAGGCAACAAAGGTGATAATCTCTTATTCGTCAAGGTTTTGTTTATATAAAGGAAATATTTTAAAAGGTTGATCTGTTTTTCATACGTAACTTTTCGTTTTAGATTGATCAAAACTTATAGTTTGTATGTTATCACCTTTCTGTTATTATTAAAGTAAGTATGTTGTCTGCTTTAATAATTTCTTGATGTCTCAACATTTCTTTAAGTAGATTTTTACCCCTTTTATCCAAATCATGATTACTAATTAATGTGTTGTGGTTTGAAATAATTGTTGCTTGAAAAAGTTAGAACCATTTTAATTTTTATTTTCCAATATTTTTCTTGAAATTTTGTCTTATTGTGATCCAAGTGAAGTTTAGGTATGATCCATGACAGAGATAGATATGAACTTGAGATATGCCCCGACACATAATTCTGTAATTCCTTAACATCACTGAATGCCTAGGTAAGAATAGTGTAATTTTTCCTCAAAATTCATTTCATAATGTGTCACAAACTTTGAGCATGATGAAGATCCAATAAAATACACAAGTTATTGATGTTTCTTGTTTCCCATACCTCTGTTTTCTTCTTATTCTAGCTATAGATAGGCTTGATTTCTGCTGCTCTCGTGTCCAGTCTTTGCTTCTTCTTTGTGGGTTCAAAGGAAGGAGCGCAGGCTCATAATCCGAAACAGCGGTTGGTAATCAAGCCTTAGCTATATATGAAGAAACTTGATTTTACAAGCACAAACACTACGCATTGTAACTTAAATGAAGGACAATTTTATGTGTAGTTGATATCTTGTGAAACAACAATGAAGTGATTGTTTGCTCTCAGTAAAAAATCTTGTGCACTTATTTATCTTGTATAGGGGAATTGCCAATGCCAAGTAAACCCAAGACAGTTTAAGGAATATGATTAGTTTTAAAAGTTGCATGTCATCAACTGAGGTCAAATTTTAATCTTTTGTTTAGAAAGCAATGATAAACTGATGTAAGCAAACATTCACGATCATTCAATTTTACAGGGTATTTTCCCTTTTTAATTTTTGCCTTACTGTATCAAATCGTTTATTTTCCTTTTCCTTTTTTGTTTGTTTGTTTGTTTGTTTGTATTTTTCAAAATGGAGGTTGTGTCAGGAATGAAATGTTAGATAGCAACACTCGCCTTCTTTTAACCATAGGGACAGTCTGTTTCATTTCCATTTAGCACAAAATGTCATCCTGGTTTTCCATTAGAATTAGTATTGCAACAATTGGGTGCAATAGATAAAATATTTCAGGTCTGTCAAAAGCTGGCTGATCATCAAGACTGTGCGGTTTTGGGTTTGATGTCAAAATGAATGTTTTTAAGGGTCAGTGTATATCAAACAATCACCTTACATATCTGATGCTCGTGTCTGCTTTGATGTTGACCCCCTTAAGCATATCAGTTGCAATGAAACTTTTTCATGCTTTGCACCACCATAATCTTGAAAGTTGTTGACATATTGGCAACACAAGGCCAATTGATTCAAAAGACATGCCTGGCTCAAGTATTGATCCATCATTCCATCATTTGCTTTGTAGCAAGACATGGTTGGAGTCTAAAAAGTTGCATACACATTTCTTAAATGTTAAATTGTCAGGGAATGTGAATTTACATCCTCACAATGCTTATAATGTCTGCATTGATTTATGATACATTTGATTTTAAGGAAAAGAAAGTTATCGGATTCCAGTTGATTTTGCGCCATGTTAAAAACATACATAGTCTCACTTAACATTGCTTTTGTTCTTTGTTCACTTTTTTTTTCGTTTTTTCCTAAGATCAATGTTAACCTGATAAGAGAAAGTGGATTTCCTCTTGGTATTTGGCAAATATCCACGTGTATGTATCTTCTTACATAAATATTCGCTGCATTTTTAGAAGAGAGTACTTTCTGGTTGAAGAATGACAATGATTTACATACAGGAGGACCCAAATTATCCAAAATATCTATGATCCAATCGTCGTGGAGACAAATACAAGCCAAATTGTCTTTGTAATTAGAATGATTCAGTAAACTATATCTCAATTTCTTTGACCAATTTACATGCCATATGTTGTCTAAAAGTATTCTTTCCTCAAGCCATGGAACAAATTTTTACACTGATTGTTTTGAAAAAGGCGACAGTTCTTTACTCCATTTAATTTTCCAAACATTTCAAGCTACTTTCCTTTGCAGCCGTTGCTAAGGCTTGTCACACAACGCACTCCCTCTGTTGACGAGAAAGTGCGTTGCGTGACGGGTCACGCGGCTGGAGGAGGACAACGGAAGTCCATTGAGAAGCAAGTGGACTTGATGTTGATGGTTGTTGAAGTTAAAATTTTGCTGGTTTGCGTCTCTTTTTTTTTTCACACAACACCACAACAGCGGCTTTACAACCCCACATTCTTCTAGAATCAGTGCGATTAGGAAGTGTATGAGAAAAGTAAGAATATCATTTTCTTGCGTTGGGATTCCCAAATTTTGTTATGTTAAATATCATCTTCTCTTTAACCCCTTTCCCTTCCCCTTCGCCGTAAATAGCTTCTCTAATGGTCCGTTCTTACTTTGGTGATTCATGGAAACTTCGGAGTGCAAGCTAAAGCGCGTTTTTATCATGCTTCTATATTTCCTTCAACTTAGACAGTCCCTTGAGGTGAAAAAGACCTCCCTAATCCTCCACAAAAAGAACCAGCTTAAAGAAAATCTCTCTCAGGTTACAATTCGCGTCAACATGACAACACTCTTTCGAGAAAATAGCCTGTTCCTAGAGGAGCGAAAACACTAACGAGGCTCGGGACGGGTTGCGTAATGAAAGCGTCTTTTGCGCGACACGTCCCAAGCTGCGCTCCCTTTTTTCACTCTACCGCTACTATTGCATGGTTGACTGTTTCTCTCCGTTTTACTAACCGAATGCCTGGAACAAGCTATCGCGGAAAGAAACATTTTCCATGCCCTAACCCAGTCATTTCTGAGTCACTGACGTGTGCTACTGGCAATTTGCATTACATCTTAGACTGAAAATTCTGTCTGACCGCGACTTAATGTGGACTATATGTCCCAAGAGATAATAAACTGCTTAGTTATAGGGTTTCCCACATACCAAAAGTGAAAAAAAAAGCAAAAAAAAAAAACTCGTGTCAAAAAAGATAACAAAATGAACAGATATCTACTGAACAGGGTTAGAGCTTGAGGGTCTCTGCGGAACACTCATTTAAGCTTCTCCTAAGTCCACTTCGGGTCTTAGCGGGTTTCTTAATCTAATTTTTAACCACCAGTTCTTACCCCCTCTGAGCTCGCCGAGAAATGTATCTATTTGGAAAATGAGAACTGCACTGCACTGAAATAATCCCCCCTAAAATTGGTTGAATCAATCCATAAATTTGTTTGATGGGAAAAATTAAGAGGAAAAAATACTAATCTGTTAGCCCGCCAACAGCCTGTTCTAGAAGTCAGTGAGCGAAAAAATGCGATAGCAAATATAGCGCGGCAATAACGAAGGAGTGAAAAACGAGGGAGGCATGGATCGGGTAACCTTTTCACCCGACCCGACCCAAGCCTCCCTCGATTTTTCACTCAGGCGATACTTACGATGCCGGACACTATTTTGCTCCGTTTTACTAGCTAAACGCCTAGAAAAGGCCAGTCTGTCATCTTCCGTCATCATTTCAAAGATGTCACATAGCCTGGAGGGGCACTTATCTTATTCAGCCTAAAATGATATGCGCCGCCAAATTAAATGTCATCTGTGGGGTCTTTAGTCAAAATCAACGTCTACCATCTCACTTAGCTGGATCTCTTTCACAGAGACTGAGCTGGATGAATGGGAATGAAAGGGTTTTACATGTGAGAAATTAGGATTGTGTGTGTAAAATATAATTGCAGTTGTTTTGTTCTATGAAAGCTAGATGTAACTTGATGAGGTCAAAACCCCGCAGTCTAAAACGATTTTTTTTTTGTCTGTAACAGGGTAGAGGAATGAACAGATTTTGTCCTTAACAGGATCAGGATGAAAAGGCTTCGAGAAGGCGACCTACCCATCCCACCCCTGTCAAGTCGTGATGAGATTTTCCAGATGATCAAAACTAGGTCATTAAAAACATCCCATTGTTTATTCGGGAGACAGAATACCGATAAGACCAGATAAAAAATGAAAACTAGAAGAATTGCTTAATTAGAATTCATAAGCTAAGCTGATTTGTGTTTGCATTGTTGTGATTTTGCTTTTTCGAAATACTGAGAGAACTACAGTTATAACATTAAATTCGTAATTAGAATTTTTAGCTCTTTTGTCTAAATTAACCCACATTCTAAACTTTTTTTCTAAAGAGAGAAAGAGCAATAAATTGTATACGCATCAGGAGCTCATGCTACTGACATGCGCCTCATTTTTTTTATCAAAATTTAGAAAGGCACTGTTGTTACGGAACGAGTGAATAATCTGCCTCTTGGTGCTATTGCGTGGGCCAAAAACATGATTTAAAAATTAGCACCTGTACTGACTATATGGGAACAAATTCAATGGATAGCTCTAGATTTACTGGTTTGTGAGAGGAAATTGGTTCGTGAGAAAGACTCATAAAAAAACGAAATACCAGGTTGATGTATCATGAAATGAAGTACTGTTTACGGTTGTAGGGAACTGAAAAACGTCAAATACCAAAGATAAAATATTTTGCACACGTGGGTATCGTGAAGCGTGAAACAATTTTTCTCTAGATTAGTTGATTTATATTTCCTTTTTTGTCATCGTCAGCACAAACATTACACTTATCAGGGACTGTAAAGAGCTTTGTACGAGACGAAAACCTCGTCTTTCGTTAAGGTGGCCAGGAGCCCAGGGCTTCTGAGATTGTATAAAAGAGAAATCTTCATTTATAAAATCCCTCCGTTTTTTTTCCCTAAGCTAATACGATATTTATTTGAAAACAAAGTTTTTTTCCCTTTTCTTATAAAAGCTCAAGTGAGTTTTTTTTAAAAACGAAGTTTGAACATTCTAAAAAATTTCTAGGCGATTTTTTTAATTCCCCTATGGAAAATCGTAAAGCTTGTGCTCTATTGCCTGGAAGAATATAAATCGCAGATGAATATCAGATATGGATGTGTGGGCGTTGAGACAATCTGCCAGTTTACCGTAAAATTTATTTGCGTCAGTATGCCAGAATATGTACAGATGGTATGGCAAACGATCGCCGATAGCTCACAGCAAGCAATATTTGCTGCGTTCTAATTGGTTATTAGAACAATGGATGATCGACAACTTCCGAAAACAAATAAACATCCGGGAATTCGACCTAGCTTTGAGTTCTGTTGTTGGTTGTGATATGGCGAAGCGTCTCTTACAGTTGGTTACACGGTAGTATTCGCTACCTTTTTTCATTTCCCTCTAAATCAAAATCCATGGCAAATCCATGGATTCGAACAACCTGAAGTACACCCTTCTCCTGTTCTGTGTTGTAGTCGGACAGTTCAGGGAATCGCTGGCTGTTGGTAAGCTTGAACTTTTGATCAGGTGCTCTGATCGGTGTGATCGATCACTCATTCGAGAACGCTCTTCAAAGCGTGAGAAATCGACTCATATTAATTCTCTGTGTTTTTTAGGCTGTTTTTCTGGGGCAGACTGTGATGTTGGCGAATACTGCAACCATGGTAAGTTAGGAAGGGATATTTAATACTGTATTTTGGGGGTAATTTCACTTAGATTTTGAATTTGTTGATCTGTCGGTCTTTGATCCATCTGTTTGGTTCTGTTTTGGTCACCGGTTGAGTTTCCTAAAAGTTAAAACCTCTTTTGAATTACTGTTGCGGATGTTTAATGTCTCACCATAAATCTAGATTGTCAAGAAAACGAATTCGGCGTAATTGTACATGTTTTTCTAAGGTACATCCACGAGCACCCGTGAAAGATAAAAAGGTTTGATTTTTACATAAATTTACTCAAGTCGTCTTCACTTTGAATGCGCTTCCCGCCTACTAAACGGAAGATTTTTTCGTTGTCTTTTTGTTTTGGAAAACAACATGAAATCTTCGCCTGAAATGTTTTTATGCCAATTTTAATGTCAAAAAATTATTGACAAGTGGTTTTGTACGCGAATTATTTTAGTTGTTAAGAACACGAAGATACGGTAAAGCGCTCTCGAATAAGGAAATGTGGCATATTTTTACATAATTACTTTAGCTTTGACCGGATTTCGTTCAGAATGTTGAAAAATAACCTGAATATTTTCCCACTTTTTTGTTTATTTGACAATGTTTTATTTTCCCTTTTTTTGAAAGAGTGTACACTTAAAAAGAAAATGAGACCGGTTTAACACAGAATAAAATACTACGATAAGATTCGAATAGATGGTTCTTCTCTTCGAAGGAACGATTTGCATGTAGGCTGATTAATCGAATGGATCTCTGTATTTAATTAGTTAAGTTGGCAATATCAGTCCCTTCTTCCTCGTTTTTGATGAAATATCCATGAACCTTTCGAGAACTTATCGATCATTTCTTACTTCTGTCGTCCCTTTACCCTGACACAATAAAGTTCCTCTTGATTAGTTGCGTATTTTTTTTACGTCAGAGATGTGGTCATCCTTATTTATCTCGACCACTATGCTTAGACTAGCTATATTCCTCTTGTTAGTGAGTCAGGAAGAGATATTGAGGAGGCATCTAGACACATCATGAAGTCGTACTTTATATTAAGGGCATTTCATCCATGCTTCGAATATCACAGAAAGATAATCAATTCGAAATGTTTGTGCCTTCGCATATTTTGAAGGTGCTTTTGTTATCCTGAAATTAGCGGTTCACAATCTGTTTTCACAGTTTCATCATTTGGGCATAAGTCTTTGAAATGGAAAGTGATGCTCTTAATAACACGTCTCTGTTTCTGAATTTCGGCGTAATATAAGTTTTTCACTTCATTAATTTTTTTCACTTCGCTGATGTTTTCACTTTCTATGCGTCATTGATCATCAGTGGCTTACAAATCCACAGTTACTATCACGAGTATAGTTATGTGTTAACTCTCACTCGGAACAGGAAGGAAAGCAAGTAACTGATGTGAGCTGCCTCTCTCAGTTATCGGGAGTGATGATTTTGTCTTTGAAGATTGAAAAACAAACGCGCGTTACACTACAAAAACTTCTGTTAGAACCAGTGTTTTAAGCCGGTTATTATTGAAGTCTAGGGAGTTATAGTCTGCTTTTTGTGGTTTTTCCTTTTCAAGAAAAGGAATCGACCGGGGCCTTTTTCGTGAGTGGGCAAAACAATCTATCATGGGAAGAATTGAAATTTGGGAGGGAGGGCTGCTTATATTTTTTTCTCAAAAATGAGAGATTTGGTATGTTTTGTAAGGTCCTAAATCCTCCCTTAAGGATTAAAATGAGCATGAACGTTTTTTTTTTGCCCACAAGAATGCTACAGATATTGTAGGAATTAGTTAGGACGCTTCTAGCAAACAACATTTTTTTGCATGACTGGTAGAGTGGAAATTTGTTATGAAGAAAGTTGTGAAACATTTTTATAGCTTACCTACCTTGAAATTGTAAAATCTTATCTTTTCATTGGTTTTCTTTTATGTTTGGAGATAGCATGGAATATTCAGAGTAGTTTAGTTTATTTTGAAGCCATAAACATTTTGCCAATGGGATTGTTTATGTGTTCATTGGTGTGGAAAACTTTATGCCAGTGTAAACCCTATTTTTAATACCTCTCCTTCTGCATATAAATAAGCAAAGCTGCTAGCAACATTTTCAAGGCATGTTTGGCAATTTTTCTTGTTCATTAGCAGCAATATTTACTACCTTCTACACTCCAACCTTTGCTGTGTAATTTTTAATATATTCTGTTTTAGCCCTGATACTGTCAGCTATGGTAGCAGTGTTTGATATGCCATCTGTCTGGTTTAATTTTCATTTGACTTCTTTTCCCTCCACAGCCTTTCGATGTCAAAGGGAAATAATTTTTGACTCAGGTAATGTTTTATTTTATTTATTGAGTAGAAAAAGGCAGTTGTGATGAGCAGTATGCAAACATTTTAACTATGAAAAAGTCAGCTTGCCCTTTAGCAAACTATTACTTAGGTTCACTGGCCCAGAGCTCTGAGGAGCTAACTCAATATAAAGTTTGTCATGAATTGTAATTAAGTGTCTGGGTATAAGTTTAGTTGTCGGTAAATTTGTAATAAAATGGGTAGTACTAAATATTAAGAAGAATTTGAATGCGCAACTTGCAATTAAAAAAAAAAAAAAGATGATAGCCCAATGTGAAGTTTATCTAGCCCTGGGCTATACAACAGTTTACAAATTTTGCTGTGGGGTTTGGATGAAGTCTTTTCCCTTTGATTTACGGCTTAAAACAATTGATCAAGCAGGAAATTGAAGGGGAAAAAAATCAAGGATTCTTAACTCACAGTACAAATCAAGAAATTGAGGGTAGCAAGATATTTATTATGCAGCTGATTTGAGAAAAATTGTCTCGGGACAAGTGTTAAAGTGCACATGAAAACCTTGAAAGGTAATGTGGGTAGTTTTCAGGTCATGTTTCCTAGACCTCAGGATTTTTTTGGGAAATCTGAGTTGATATTGCTGTAAGAATGAGGCATGGTAGGTTTGTTGAATTAATTAAATTGATATACTCATTAAAATTCATTTATTACCAGATACCCAGATTACCATTTGAGATTGTCACATGCACTTTTGTCCTTTGTTATGACATCCTTTCTAGCAAAAGCTGTTTATCTACTGTGTGTCTGATGGGTGTGGTCAACAATTTCTAGTCATATGGTTGCTAAGGGTGCAAATGATAACATTTTAGTTTTAAATTTATCAGTTGAGAGGAGATGTTTGGATAAGAAGCAATCAAAATGTTTTACATTTTTCTTAAGTGTACTTGGCTGACATTTGTGATGAAGTGTTAATTAAGCTGTTTTCTCATTCATATTTACAATAACATAAAATCCATGACTAAATTCACATGTCAGAAAGAATGTCATTTATACTTGAACAGCTAAAACCATGAAATAGATGTTATTTCATATTGTTGCCAAGGTGGGGACAAAGAGAAAATTTACAGTTCCCATGAGGAAATGAGGCTCAGACTTTTTCCCTAAGTACATGTTTGTCACAAGACAAAATAACTTATTTCTATCTAATCAAACCTGAGTCTCAAATTCAGAGTTTCTGTTAAAATCTGGTTATTTTTACTGGATTTCCAAATAAATGTGATTGGCTATTTGACAGAAATGTTGACCAAAATAATTATTTAAATTTTGGCTTGTTTCAATGTGAAAACCCATAGCATTGAATTTAAAACTTTGCATGTCTTTTACCAACTGTAAAATACTACTCCATGTGATCTTTTCAAACTGAAAAAGTAAAAGCCCAAAAATCCAAACTGCCATCACTCACTAATAAACTTTATGGTTGAATTGGGTTGTGGGGGGGGAGGAGGTAACAAATTAAGTTAATTACTAATTTTTCTTTTTTTTTACTTCCTGTAAAAAACTCATCAAGAACCCTGTGATTTAAAAAATTTCAATCACACATCTCCGTTGAATAACTAAGACAGAATTTCTCCTCACGATATCAATACAATATCAAGCAAACAAGTTATGCAAACTCAAAAATATATCAATTACGGGATTATTAATTGATCTGATACCAAATTCTCCAAACTGACATCTTAGGATAAAGGGGTAAGTTTCTAAAGAAACTGGTGCTGTGTCAGTTGACGAGTATAACAGGGTAATTTAGTACTATCAATTGAGTTGATAACGTAAATTGGCCACTGTAAAGAGTTTCAAAACTTACATTTCAAGTATTAGCCCTTCATCAGAGGGATTAACAAACATCTTAACCCTTTACGGTGGCCAATTTACGTCATCAACGCAGTTGATAATAATAAATTACCCTGCTAACATCTTAGGAATTGTATGATAAATAGTAAGGAGAAATACTAAATAAATACGATTTTAGGAGTGAAAAGGGTTCAGAGGGAAGAGCATCCCTAAAACCATAACTAGAGAATGGATATAAACCTGCAGTTGAACAGTGCAGTTTGTGTACAGTTGCAGTAACCAGCTAATTTTCAGGAATTATGTGAATGCTTCTTCATCTAAAAAATGTGACCTTAGTCCATCTTGGTCAATGAATTGATTAAGTTTTTAGCTCTTTACCCTTTAGGGCCATGGTATCAATTCTCCACACATTCTACCATATGTGACCCTCCATGGGAAAACGGACACTGAAAAGCGAAACCATTTACTATCCGTTTAAATCTGTTTAAATGGTTTGTTCATCTGTTTAAAAAAATTTGCATCCGTTTAACGCTTTTGGTAAAACATTTAAGTGGTTTGCTCATCTGTTTAAAAAAATTTGCATCCGTTTAATGCTTTTAGTAAAACGTTTAAGTGGTTTGCTCATCCATTTAAAAAATTTTGCATCCGTTTAATTTAATCAGTTGTAAAAAAAATTCTTTTCATTTAACGTTCCAAGGAAAACTTTTGACTATTTGTTTATCATTCTGTTACGGGCAGTTTAAAGTATCAATCTTACGTTCACTCGATACTTGCCAGTCCTTGAAATGCAGAATGACCGTATCTTATTTTAGTTTTATCTTTTCTGTGATCATAGAAAGCGAGTAATCCTCGCATCCTTAGACAAACGAGTTAAGTTAAAGTATCCATTTGTTCAAACATAGAGCATTGACAGCCAATGAAGCCATTCATTTGACCACAATCCTGCCATCGATCTTGTTTAAACAGTGCGCCTGATCTTGTTTACAGATTTGGTAAAATCAAGATAACCCTGTCTTGGTTCCCTTGTCATGGTTTTGCTAAATCTGCCACTCTCTATCTGTTTATATCATCTTGATTCATCTTCAATGGCCCCACTTGGTGCATGACACCAATTCAACCTTTAATTAGCAATGGACTACATTGTATTATTTGACCCTGAAGCGTCTCGGCTTCTGACAAGGTCGCAGCATTGCGTCTGCAGATTTATTTCCTGAAACTTCAAAACAAAAAATCATGAAGTTCATTTTCAGTAACAATTAGAATGAACAAAGGAGGATGTTGTGAGTTTCTCGCAATAGCCATTCAGGGTATTTGGCAGTGAAACCATTCTTGGTAAATTGCGCTTATTTCATGAATGTCACATGAAAACAGCAATAGTTTACTCAGAAATAAAATGCGCAAGTGTATCCTAGCTATTATTTTTCAAATTATTATACTCAATGTTTTCTCTTCAAGATAATTATCTATTGTTGCTCGGAAAGTTTTTCCACAAAAGATCTTAACAGCTCAACCATAACTGTTTACATTAATTTTTAGCTCTCCGTTTGTCAATTTTGGTCAACCATACGTTTTTCAGTTTAAGCTACCCGTGTTTGGACTTTGGTGAATTGTTTAACATTTCGAGCTATCCGTTTTTATTTTTTGTCAACTGTTTGAAGGCCTAAGCTATCTGTTTTTGGACTTTGGTCTACCATTTAAATTTTTTGCCATCTGTTTAAGTGGTTATGGAAACCATTTAAACGCTTGAGTTAGCCATTTAGTATCCGTTTAAAACCTTTTTTCTACCATTTAACAGAAAAGCATTAGTGTCTGTTTTCTCATGGAGGGTCACGTGATTCTTGTAATTGTGGCTCTAAGAATCACAAATGCCCTGTAATTGTTATTTTCTGCTTACAATTGTAACATTGTATTGATATTGCATGGACAAATTGTGGATCAATGTCAGCAGCTGAGCAACTGCATACCTACCCCTCCCCTAACCCAACATTAACCCTAAATTGTTATCAGTTGACTGTTTTTGGTTTAGGGGAGGGGAAGGTGTGCAGTTGCTTAGTTACTGACATTGATTTCAAATTACTTATCCATCTCTCTTGTTCTTACTTAATCAGGAAAATATTTCATACAAAAATTTTGTACTATTTTTCAGATTACCCATCCTACCACAGACAACAGTCACGAGAAAGAGTCCATAATTTTAATGATTATCCACAAAGCTTCGATGACAGAAGAGAGGTTGCAGCAGGTCAGGAGGATGACTCAGAATGGATGGATGAATATGAGTACAAACTTGAAAAAGGGGAGAGAAATTTGAGACTTAATGTACCTTTAGCAAACAATGATGATCACCACAATAGAAGAATTTTTCATGAAGACCATGGGCCTTTACCACCAGAGGTCCCTGTGAATTGGGACAAGATCAACAGCAAAAATGGGGGAAACTTTAGATCAGATAAGAGACATCAAAAGACTGCTGATTATGACAGTTATGATAATTTCAAAGCAAGGAGACTTATACGACATAGACAAGATTCCAGTAGTGACACTGTAGGAAGTAGACATGATATTAAAGATTCCTCCCAAGGAAATGCCAAACCTAATATAGGAAGGTCATCCAAGAAAAGCTCTGTTTTCAACTCAGAGGGAAACAGTGGAGTGAGGTCTGAGGAGAAATCAGAGGATGCAAATTCTTATATTGGTGAAAAGAAGGTATCACATGTACCCCTCGCAACTGGGATGGATTCAATAATGGCAGACAATTCCCATCTCCAAGGGAACCAGTTACAGACAGAAAAAGCGGCTTTTACAGAAGAGGCAGCAGCAGCAGACACCAAGGTTGGTGCAGGAAAGGTCATGGTGAAGGGAAAAGTCCAACAAGTCAAAGCTGACATTGATCAGGGGCCAAATCCAGAGAAGACTTACAAGCGAGTGGAAGATTTCTTTCAGTCTCAGAGAGAAAGCTCTATTGTTGAAGTTCCAAATTCTGTCAAAAAAGAAGAGGCTTCAAAGTTGTTCAAGGACAACTTTATACCTGTAAAAGAAGATGGTAGTGACCAGATAAACAAGGAGCAAGGTAATATATCCTTATTCCTTTTACATACATGAACAACATCCTGCGCAGGCCTGAATTTTTTTCAGGCCTTATTTTCACTACTGCTCAAGTAGCGTTCATTACTGTGAAGATTGCATTCATCTTCATGTCTTTATCCACAGTTCAAAAATGTTATTTTCATATATTCACTGTCATGAACAACATTGATTAAAAATTTATCATAAAGAAAAAATGATTTGGAGAGCAAAATTAAGTCCAATCACATGACAATATCATTTGATGATAGTTGTCTCATGTTACATACTCTTATCATTGTTATAAAAAATTTTAATTTAAATTATACTTTATGTTGGGACAATTTACCACAGTGGAAAATGGCATAAGTGAACTTAGAATTGCAAATTAATCTTTTAGAAAATAATCTTCAATTTAGTCCTGTAGAAACATGGAATCGCTACTGATACAAAGAAACTATTAAAACTATATATTCATATTGAGGTTATTAGTACTGCTTGTGAGTTAGTTCAAGGCAGTTTGAATCTGTTCATTGCCTTTCAGATGATTCCCCTTTGCACAAGGATGGAGAAATAAAGCTGTCTCTGAACAGAAAGTAAGTTTAAAACTTCAGCACATTTTATTAATTTTATATATGAAATGTCAGAATAATGTAAAAATGTAATAGTTTTGGTTTATGATTTATTGCCACGCTCCCCCCCCCCCTTCTTTTTTTTTAAATTGAGATTATTAACTTTGACAAAACCCAGTTCAGTTTATTGATTATTAGCTGTGGATATGGTATGGGACAAATTTCTCCTTCTTTTATGACATTTAAAGTTTGTTGTCTTTGCCTTGGTGTACTGGGACAACCAGAATCAAAATGGAAATTGTTTGAAAAATTTTTACTAGTAAAAAAAAATAGAACCAGTACAGAAATATCTTGATATATACTGAAATAATCTTTACCTCTCCAAAATGCTTGAAGTCTTTTGGGAAATTAGCTGGACAGGAATTTCATTTTTATTTGTAAATTCACAATTATGCAGGAAAACTAGAAATGTGCTTATCTTTGAGTAGAACTTACAGTGGGTTTCCTGATCTTTCTTTTACCTAATATGAATTAAAGAGCCCCAAAAATTTTTTTGCAGCATGAATAATTGATGTACTATAGGAAAAAGTGGTATTAAACATTTAGTAATAAAAAATATAATAAGTAATAATACTAACTGATTAAAAAACAGAAATTACTAAACAACTACAGTAACACACTGGTAATTTATAATGGAGGTTTCATAGAAATGAAAATTTAGAATATCTCTGGTGACTTAAAGTCATTAATTTTTTTTAATGCACTGTATACACAGCATAACCACATCCCAAGCCAAATTACTTGCCGCAGCACTTCAGAATGCGCTTTGGAACAATGCACCATCCCCCATGTTTACTGTGATGAAGTAAGCTAACAGACATGTAATCACCCATTCCAATAGATCAGATTGCAGGTTACATACTGTTAACAGTGGCAAAACTGTGCTATATTTACATAATACAGTATGTGGCATACCCAGTGTTAAGTTAAGGTAATTTCTTGCTAAGAGTGTATCTGACTAACAAACTTTTACATAGCAGTTTTAAAAATTTAAAAATTTTGGTTACTGAAATTGGTTTTGCAACTCATTGAAGAGAGCAATTTTGTATTTCTGAAATTTTTAATGTGTATGTACTTTGTTGACCCAAAAAGGTTTTCATTAACAGATAAACACTTGAAAGTTAAATCTGCTAATTTTAATCTAAGTAATACAAGTTCTCTCTAACCATTCAATCCAAACAAATTTGTCTTGTTTTTTCTCAGGCAAGTTGAATTATTTTGTTTGCTCTGATGCCAACTCTTAAATCTTCCTTTGTATTATGTTTTTTTAACTTGCTATTAGTGAAGATTTTTGAGGATGGAAATATCTCCAAGTGACTCCTTATCAATTCTCACCAATATTTTATTAACCCTTTAACTCCCATGAGTGACCAAGACAGAATTTTTCCTCACAATATCATACAATATCAAGCAGACAAGTGATGAGAATAAAGAAAAATATCAATTAGGGAGATTATTAGTTGATCCAATACCAAATTCTCAAAACTAACATCACAAGAACTATATGGCAGACAGTAAGGAGAATTACTATTGAGATCTTGGGAGTTAAAGGGTTAACCTCACTGTTGAAATATTCATTGACTTGAGCAGAAATGAGCTAAATTAGATATAGCAGCATAATATCTGATAAACAGCTGGTTATTATTTTTTTGTAAAGTAGAGGAAACATTTCTCCACATTAAATCTGCATCTTGTTTTTCATTCACAGAGTTGAAGATTCCAATGTCCATGTAAAGATGGCACAGACAAAGTACACACTTGAAAAACCCGAGGATGTTGCAGAAAGGATTAAAAAAGGTAAAAATGTACAGGGCTATAAATGTCAGGTCTTGTAATCCAGTATTTATAAGGTTGTGCAAATTAATAACATTATTTTCAGATTTGGAAATTTATAGAAATGGGGAGTGGGTCCTGGGAAAGTCACTCATTTATTCCTCAGAATAAAAAGTGAGAAATACCTTGATGAAGTTATCGTATTGTGAAACCCTCTTCTGGATTTTTGGTTGTGTAGAACATCAAAAGTTAATGTGAAGTCAAATAATTTTAAAGATTTGGAAGAATACAAAGTTGGTGATTTTTTTTTTTACTGAAATGGAGCTTACGGGACTCCTAGGTTATGATTAGTAAATCTTACCATCAGTCGCTCAGACAAAGGGCTAACGCTTGAAAAAGTCAGCTTTTAGACTCTTTACAGTGGCCAAGTTAAATTTTCAACTCAGTCGATAAAACCAAATTACCTTGCTATACTCTCCCATGGACACATCACCACAGTTTCTTTAGAAACTTACCCCTTTTATTCTTAAACCTTGCCATCAGTTACGCTGATTTGATTTGAAGTGTTAGTCTAATGCTTTTCACTTTAGAGCTCAAGCTTTTAAACCTTTAGCTCCAATGAGTGATCAAGAAAGAATTTCTCTTTGCAACAGCAATACAATATCAAGCAGACAGGTGATGAGAATTGAGAAAAGTATCAATTTTAGGATTATTTGTTGGTCCAATGCTAAATTCTCCAAAGGAACATGATAAGGATTTTATAGTGGGCAATAAGGAGAATTGCTAAAGAGATCTTGAGGGTTAACAAATTTCAGGAGAAAAATGAGAAGGATTACCTGACCTACAAAAAATTCAACTAGTTTTCATGTGTTAACACTTTTTTGTTGTTTTATTTTGTTTAGAGCCCAGTGTTAAGAGTGATGTTGCCCAGAACAGTGGGTTAGAGATTGTTTCAGCTGATTTTGAAGATGCCTCGGTAAGTAGGTTTTTTTTTTTTCATTGAATTCTCTAATCAGAAAGTTGTTGATATTACTCATGTTTCTTGCTGTTAAATTTGATAGTATTTTCATTACTTTACATAATTTTTTTAAACCTGGTAAGCCTTTAATTATTTATTAACATGTAACCTCTCCACACAATTTTAATACATTATTCAGAAATCAGGTAAAGAGAATATAAGGGCCTATCAGCAATGCTAAATTCACTTTACTGCATTAGAAGGACATAACATACAGGAGCTACTTGTAGAAGGAAGAATTGTTAATCCTATTTTGATTTATAAGAATTGGTTTACTGTAAAATTTTAATAACAAAGACAACAAAGATAAACAATTTCTGAGAATTGCTATCTGGATATATATTTGATCTTCTTCAATTTTGTCTTCAAGGCCCTTGTTTTAGTTCCTCTCCAGTATAGAAATGCAATTGTGATTTTTTGTTTATTTTCAAGCAATTTGCTATTACTTAAGTTTCCTTACAGACTAGGAATTAGCCTGCTATTACATAACCTCTCCTAATTCATCAAAACAGATTCAGCAAATTTTGAGTTGTTTGGAGTTACTTGATATATTTGTACCAGCCAAGTTTTGCGGTGTATATTTCATTTTTTTTTATATAATTGCTAGGATGGGTTGTGTGTGAACAGTGAGTGAAGCAAGTAAATGCTGTACTGATCAACTGTTTTTGGCTAAAATAAGATTAGCATGTAAATTAAAGATTCAGCAAAGGAGTCTTTGAATCTTTCATTATTACAACACAAGGTAATTACACTTTGAAAAAAGTGTCATGTTATACATAAAATATTTTTTGACCTATTTTAGAAGTCTCTTTATTTTTTGAGATAACAATTTTGAAATGAAATAAGTCTTCAGTAAGCCAGCAAATATTTTGAAAGTTTTATCACAGTTACTATCACAGCTTCATAATTCTAGTGTGGAAGATTTAAAGATTAAATCCTTTTTTGCTCAATCCAAACCTTTAATTTATGTCAAGATAGTTCAGCATGAATTAGATAAAAATTAAATATGCAGTAGACATTGTCTTATATGGAAAAAGAAACATTAAATTATTCAAGTATGTTATTCATTCATTTCTCATGAATTAGTCATAAATTCAGCAGAAGGCTTCTTTGTTACTGAAAACTGTGAATAATACATGGTAAAAGAAGTTTCATTGAGTGAAAGCTTCTTTGAGCTGCAGATAGATTGATACACCTGTGGTATGAAACAGAAGTAAGTATTTTGTGTGAAATTTGCCCTTAGTTTTGATTCAAGTTCTCTTTTGAAAAAAGTGGAATGTAATATTCTGATAGCCTGAGTATTGTTTCAGTGATGTTTCACAAAATTTCAGAATGTTTGTTCAGCCATGCTTGATGAAACTGATAATTTTCTTAAGTTGTACACAATGGTTGTTGTCAAGCTTCATCTCAAGCATCTTTCCATCTTTGAAATGATAGTTTTCACTCATTGATCTTGTATGTTTGATTAAGAATGATACTTCTCTGGTTCAATTTCGCTCACTAAATTGTTTGGCATGTCTAGAGGACAATTTTGACAGACTTGTAAATCAGACTATTGGGTTTATTTAAATTTATATTTAGAGGTGTTATGCTAATTTTGTTTCAAGTGAGATTTCTTCCTAAAAGAGGTTGTTTGATAGGATTTTTCTTTCCTGAAATTAATGTTAATAGTTTTCTTCTTAAAAGTAAAAGGTTTCTCAATTTTGAAAGTATCTTTTTTTACAAGTAAACCAGGCAAATAGTTGTGGGAGTAACTCACTACAGATGAAACTGTAAACTTGTTCCAGACTGTGTTTAGCATTAAATTACTTTAATGAAGGAGAAACATGCTTCCTAGTCTCCATTCTAAATTTCAGGAAGAACTTGTGAGATTTATCATTTGCGACTAAAACCTTGAATTTTAGTAACTTTTTTACTTTGTGAATTCATTTTATTTGAAAAAGGATAGGTAAAAATTTAGAATCTGTTACTTCTAGCATTTACAATCAAAACAAGATAACAATACAAAGCCACATTCCAGCAAATTAATTTCTTAACTTGAAGAATACAGTACCTATGCTATTTATACTACAAATCTGAAGTATTGATAATTGGGTGAATTAAATGAAACTGCAATGTGTGCTCTTCTAGAGAAACAACACTTACATTGCTTAAAGCACAAAATTAGAACTCTCAAAAACTTTAACTGTAGCCTTTATTGTTCATATATGATCCTTTTAATTTTCATGGGAAATTGACTTGCTCAGAAACGCATTTTTTTGTCATATAAACTTTGGTTCAACTGCCAGAGGCTTGAACAATTCACTAACAAATGTAACTTTCTCCCTCATCAAAGAACAAGGATGTGAAGGGACAACCTCAGAGGTCTGTGGAAACTCAGCAACCAAAGTATTTCCTTATAACGATCATTGTTGTGGGCTGTGTGACTGGAGTGATTCTGACAGCAGTTGCAATTTATCTCATAATGAGAAGGTAATTGTCTCTCTTTAACCCTTTTCACCCTGATGCCAGTATGTATTTTCTCCACACTGTTTTTTCATATTTCCTATTGAACTGATGAGGAGAATTTGTTTAACAATCAAGAGGTTCTTTAGATGGCAATCATTTCCTTTATTCTTGTGACCTTAATGTGTGATTTAGTTGTGATACTGTCACTCTAAGGGATTAAATGGTTAACCCTTTAACTCCCAGATCAAATTTGCACTTCTCCTTACTATCAACCATACAATTCTCATGATGTTAGTTCAGAGAATTTAGTATTGGATCAACCAATCATCCCCAAATTGATAGTTATCTTTATTCTCATCACTTATCTGGTTAACATTGTATTGATATTGTAAGGAGAAATTCTTTCTTTGTCACTCATAGGAGTTAAAGGGTTAATATATACTCTTACATAAAATACTGTATTTAATTCAATTATCCAACTTGAAAGTAGCTTATTCAAAGCTGTGTTCTCAGAATTTTCATCAGTGACCTTTAGGCACTGGCCTTTGATATTTGTGGTGATTGCTCCTTAACTAGAACATAACTTCCCCTTACAACATCAATACAATATCAAGTTGGGAAGACTATGGAATAAAGGAAGGTATCAATAAGGGAATTATTAGTTGATCCAATACCAAATTCTCTGAACTAACATAATAAGATTTTTATAGTAGACAAGGAAAAGGAGAAGCACCAATGAGATAAGGAGAAATGATATGAGATCCTGGGAATGAAAGGGTTAACCCTTTAACTCCCAGAAGTGATTAACATAAAACTTCTCCCTTCAGAATCCATACATTCTTCAGCAAATGGGTAATGAGAATATTCAAACTTATCAAGTAGAAGCTGCTATCTTGATCTAGCACCAAGTTCTCATAACAAATTTACAAGGAAATATGTAGCAGCTACAGAGGAGAATTTACAATCAGATCTTAGGAGTTAAAGGGTTAAAGCTTTCATAAAAGCAAGGTTACTTGTATGTGAGTTGCTAGCTTTACATACTGTGGGATATTTATTGATACTCACTGATAGCTTTATTAATGTTGATCTCTATTCAATGATTGGCCGTTGTCAGGTCTAAATTTAACATATTGTGTTCCATGTCTCTCTTTTTTTTTTTCCCAAGGCATAATGAAGCTAACTTCAAACCAGTCACTCTTCCTGGCCAAGAAGCAGCTGCTGATTACCAGGTAAGGCTATTTACTGATAATGACACCAAGTTATATCTCATTGGGAAAGTTTGACTGAAAGTGGTTTTAACGCTTGGTTAAACTAACAGGTTGCAATCTGTAACTGACAATCAGTGTGTTGCTCGCTGCTGTGAACTTTACTATTATTATTATTGTTATTATTATAGTAATCTTAAAAATTACAAAATCTTCAATTGTGATTGGTGTAAAAAGTTCTCATTTTCCACTGATCCAATGCCAAGTTGTTATCAAACAGTTTGTTATTAGACAGTTTGTTATCAGACAGTTCATTAAGCCAATCACATTTAAAGTTGTAGTCTAAATCAACCAATCACATTCAAATCAACAATCAATTACATTTTGATTGTGGTCAATTTCAGGGCAACATTAAACAATTTACACCTCCTTTGTCAATCTTGTTAATTTTCCCATCCTTTCATAACTTGGCTATTCTTCTTTTTGAGGACATTTTAATTTTTTAGGATTAATTGGACTTTCCGTTGTCCAAGTCAGTCTGTAACCATACTCATGAAAAAAGGAATCAGACTCCCACTGCGTGGTTGTCCAATTTTGTTATCACTTGTATTACAGACCAAATTGGACTCCACTCAGTCCTGTTACCATTACTTATTAAAAGATGTTTCCCAGGAAGACATAGAACATTATCTCATTACCTTGATACCAACAACAGTTTACAAAGGAGCAGCATGATCCACTTTAAAATATTTAGTGTTAAGTTATCCTTTTTCATCAGGAACTGTGTCGTCAACTGCGAGCAACACAAGGGTGGGACAGTACACCAGCAAAGACCACACATTTACAGCATGGGGAAAAGGAGAAAGGACTGGGAAGTGGAAGAGCACCTAAATACTCCTGGTAAGACAAAAATGAGACACAAGTTTATGTGTTGATTACTGTAAGTTTTAAATGTTACTGAAGATAGGATGGAGCTGACTACTTTTCAGGAAGAGAGGCTTGAGATTTTTATATAGACCTGGATCAATGTGTTCCCGTCTTAAAAAAGTAGTGCTCAATTAAAATGGATGTATTGAGAAAGTCTTCACTATTGTGAAAATAGTAGAAACAGGTAGCAGTTTTTTCAAAGTTTTTGATTTTGCATGCTTAGGGTTTTTTTTGAGTGCTGCTAGGATATCTTCTATTCCTCTTGGGGAGACCACAAAAGAGCTGTTATTCAAATCGAAACCCAATATTTAGGGTGAAAAAGGGGAACCCTCATTAAAAAAGTATCAGCTCCTTAAAAAGAAAAAATAGTAACATACATTGTGTATGCAAAGAGTATTTTATCAGTTCTGATGTACATGTAAGTCTGCATTCCTTGACTTGAGGCATCCCTGAAATAGAGGTGCCTCAAAGAAGGACCAAGTTTTTTTCTGCATTACGGACTTCTTGTCAACTTAGAGCATACTGTGTAACAGAGTTTAATTTATTCTAGGAGTGAAGAGCCTGTTGTACCCAACATGGACATTTCTACTGGACATGTTGTTTTGGTATGTATTTTGTTTTTTCATTTCTTGTATAGGCAAATTCTCTGGTAGAGAAGAAATCTGTTAACCAGTTTTGCAAACTTGGAAAAAGAACAGGCCAAAACTGAAAGAGGTGTGGAAAGCTTCTAAACTCCTAATCCCATGGTTTTCCTGCTAATTGCAAGCTTTGTTCTATGATGAAGAAGCCAGAGTACACTTCCATACATGTGATTGCTTTTTTTCTGTATTTTTCAGCAAAATAATTATTCTGAAATTGTTTTTGTTACATGAAGTCTCAAGTAGCTAATGAATTTCTTACATTTTAGTCCTACATGGAGGACCATCTTAAAAACAAAGATAGGCTGAATAAAGAATGGGAGGTAATGGAATTGATGTGTTTTCATTGTTTCCCTGTTTTTGAGGTACTACAGTACAATTTTTAATTGACCATGAAAATAAAATTCAGGACTCTAATTTATCACTCTGTTGCAGGCGTTGAAAACATATGAAGCTGAGCCTAACAGCAGGGAAGTTGGAAAGCTGGAGAAGAATGCAAGAAAGAACCGTTACAGTGATGTTTTGCCCTGTAAGTATTACTTAAGCTTGTGTGTCATTGGCTTATTTCTATCAATGCAAGTAATGCCTTATTGTATGGCCAGAACAGTGAGAAGGCAAGATGGAATAAATCCTTTGTAATGAAAGGGTTCTTGAGAACATTCATGATTTCTTGCTTTTCTTTTTTTTTTTTTTTTTTTTTTTTTTTTTCTATTGATTAAATTTTTAACAAGGGATTTGCTTAACATGACAACTGTACATCTTGAAGACAGCCAAAATAAAGCCACATCTAGTTTTGTCATTTTATTTTTATTTCTGTGGATTATACTTTGACCCCAAAGAGTGACCAGCATCTAATTTCTCCTAATAATATCACCCCTGAATTACACATAAAGGTCGCAAGAGTAAAGGAAATGATTACCAACTAAAGATGCTCTTCATTGTTAAACAAATTCTCCTTGCAAGCAGCTAAGGAAATGTATAGGGAATAGTATTGAGAAAGTTCATACTGATGTTAGGGTGGAAAGGGTTAACCCTTTGACTCCAAGGTCAAATTTGTGATTCTCCTTAATGTCAACCATAGGATTCTTATAATGTTAGTTCAGAGAATTTAGCACTGGATCAACTAATTATCCCCAAATTGATATTTTTCTTTATTCTCATTACTTATCTGGTTGATATTATATTGATATTGTAAGGAGAAATTCTGTCTTGGTCACTCATAGGAGTTAAAGGGTTAAATCATTGTGGGCCTTTCCTCTTTGGTCAACATGGCTACACAGTAATATTTTTTGTCACCATTCAATGGGTGATATCCATGTCCATCTGAAACTAAACCATGATGGAAAATCTAAAGAGATATAATTATATTTATTTATTTATTAAAGGTAACAGAAGGGCACAGAACCCGAAAAATAACTAAAAATGAGTATTAACACTATGTATTAATCTGTTGAGAGTGTTATGAAATTTGAATCCACCTCCCTCTCTCTTGTAGATGACCATAACAGAGTTCTACTAAAAGAGACAGCAAGTGCCACAGGGTCAGATTACATCAATGCAAGTTATATTGTAAGTTTATTCAGTTGTTACATGTTTTGTTCTCATGCTTTTCTGTGAGTTACAATAAAGGAAGGCATGGTTTTGCACACCGTAAGGCACATCATTTTTCTGCTATTTCACTATTTCTAAATATATGATTTAGAGTATGGATCCAGGAGTCCTTGTTCATCTGCTGACTGTGCTGGTCAGGTCATTCAGTTGTGTTCTTGGGCAAGACACTCTACTTCCACAGCACCTCATTCCTTGGAATTGAACCAACAAATTATCAAAAAAATTAAACCAGGGGAATAAATGGTTAGCATTGAAATGTCAAGGAAACCTTTCAAAAGGCTAAGGTTAACCTGCTATGAGCTCACATCCCATCCAGTGGGGAGGGGTTGGGGGGGGGGTAACATGTAACCACACTTAATGTCACCTGATGCTTAAGAATTTGTGGAAAAGTGAGTCAGCCATGTAAGACCGTCTTGTAAGCTCCACATTACCTCTCTATACAACTTCAAGACTAGCAATGCCCTCTAGAAGTCTAAGAATGCTAGTGCTGGTAGATCTTCAGAGGATCTGATAAAATTATGTGTGTAGAGGATAAGTATGGTTTTGAGCTATTGTGGCAACTTGTTTTCCTGACAATTAAGGGATGAGATACAAGGGGAAAAAGGGCATTTGCACCTTTGTTTAAATGTAGGTATTCACAATAAATTTGATTGATTCCACAGACGGACCATGATCCCAAGAATCCTACCTATATTGCAACCCAGGGACCTGTGGCTCACACTGTATCAGACTTCTGGCAGGTAAATATGTTGGATTTACTGTATTATTATCATTGAGTTTTTGTTGAAATGTTCAGGAGAGTGGTGGGGATTGTATTGTTGTTTAATAAAACACTCCATTTTTGGAGTCTTGTTGATAGCCTATTTCTAGTTTACAATATTATAAGCAGTTTTTGCACAAGCCTATATATTTAGAGAAAACATTACATCATGTTGTGTGCCTTGCAGATGGTGTGGGAACAAGGTGTTGTTGTCATTGTTAACCTGACAAAACTTTCAGATCTTGGACTGGTGAGTGTCATTGAAATTAACCAGAAGAATAAATTACATTATTTTAATATTGAAGAAGTGTGAGCTTTATATGCGATAACATAGTGTGAACATCATAATCTTTTTGCCAACAAGAAAATGTCAAGTTTTTCAAAGATTGTTTATGGCACATAAGTTTGGTTCTTACTCAAGGCAGGCAGCCAGCTAGCTGATCCAATACCAAATTCCTAGAACTGACATCACAAGAATTTTATGGGAGATAGTAAGGAGAGTTACTGACAAGATCTTGAGTGTAAGGGTCAACACATATCTTCAGGGGTTTCAGTAACTTTTTCCATACATGGCTGCTGATGGTTTGATAGGCAGCTGTGCTGTAAGTTTAAACCCAAACTCGAGAGCCAACTGGCAGGCTAAACAGACTGCAGTGAGAGGTTTCACAGCAATGGTTGACTGCCAGTGACTGGCTTTTATTGGAACCCCTACATCTTTCTAGGATGTATAAAAACTTTCAAGTGGAATGAGTCATTTAAAAAGGTACTGAGCAACCAAATGTTTATTATTTTCATTGCAGCCTCAATGTCACAGATATTGGCCTGAAGAGCAGCAACCAATTGTAACCTATCGCATTTATGAGGTGAGCAATCATCAAAGGCTACTTGATAACATCAGTTTGGGCTTTGACTTTTGTTAGAGATACAGTAGTCCTTACAATGGACTCTAAAAAGAGAGGTCTAAGTTCACCCAAGCCCTCCCCACTCCCCTTGACCCTTGACCAGTCAGTAGGCATAGTATGTTCCTCTCTGCCAAGGAGCATAAGGGAGACCTGATGAGAAAAAAAAAAGGGGGGGGTGGGTGGTACATCTCTGATATGCCAATCTCCTGTTGAAGCACAGAACTAATACTACACTTTTTATACCAGTAACCTTTTGCATCCCAACACCAGAATGTATATTTTCCATACTATTCTTAATAAATTTGCCTTAGCATTGACAAGGATAATTTGTTTGATGATTAAGACCCTTATCAGTTGGTGATTATTTTCTTTATATTTGATTCAGTGGTGATACTGTTATGAGGGATAAGATGGTAGTCATCCATTGGAGTCAACAGCTAACTGCTGATTTTCTAGAGGGTTTGGTTATTATGTTGACTGGCCATAATTGGAAATGAAAACTGTTTGAGCCAGTATGAAAAAGATTGGGATTACCAATAGAGATGTTGTTTTTCTTTTGATGATAGGTTCACCTTGTCTCTGAACATATATGGTGTGAAGATTACTTAGTACGAAGTTTCTACTTGAAAAACCTAAAGGTTGGTCTTGAATGCTCAAAATTTTCCTCAGATCCACAGTCATTCAATATGCTGCATTAGAGCAGAATTCTGTTGATCTTGTCGTGTTGTAATGTAATTGCAAAGCATGGTTCAACATAGTTCACAAAAAACTTGGATCAGTATCAGTATCTGGGTAACTGCCCACCTACCCCTCCCCTAACCCAACAACAGTCTATTGATATCAAGTTAGGGTCAATGTTGGGTTAAGGGAGGGGTAGGTAGGCAGTTGCCTAGATACTGATATTGATATTGATCCAAAAACTTAGTTGATAAAACCAAATCATATTGTAATGCCTCCCGCTGACACAGCACCACAGTTTCTCAACAAACATATCCCCTTTATTCATTTGTTGCTTAGAAAATGACTTACTTAATTAACTTAACACAAAAGTTGCTCAGAGTATTGTACTTAAACCTTTGTTTCTCTTTTAATTGTGCACTTATGTTTGGTAAAGGAGAAGTTTTTTAGTAATAATTTTATTTCTTTTATTTTATCAACAGACTAGTGAAACAAGAACAGTCACCCAATTTCATTTCCTTACTTGGCCTGATCTTAATGTTCCTTCAACACCAAAGCCTCTTCTGGAATTCAGAAGGTAACCTATTTTAAAACAATGCTAGTTAACTTTGAAACACAATTCTAAAGAACAGTTGAATTGTTGAAAGGGTAAAGCAAGGTTTCAGTCTTCCATAAAGATTCCTCTTGAGTTAAATATCAGGAGAAAACTGTTGAAGCACTTGATGGTAATTTTTGTTCAAAGAGTGATGTTGATGTTGACTTTGCTTTTGCAGCTTCTGCGAAACTATCATACAGTGTGAACTGTAAAGTAGGCATACATAGAGAATGTTTCCTCTCAAACAAGGATCATTCTGTATCTGAGCTGTGATGATGAAACTTGACTTAAAATCAACCAAATCTCTTCTGCAGGAAAGTGAACAAATGCTTCAGAGGCCGAGCCTCTCCTGTCATTGTACACTGCAGTGGAGGAGTTGGAAGGACTGGAACCTACATACTGATCGATATGGTGCTGAACAAGATGATGAGAGGTGAGTGATACTAGCTTTTGGCACTTTCATCTAATTGGTTAAGGAAGGATTAAGTGGTATTTGTTTGATGGTTGCCTGGTGAGTCAAGCCGATTAAATTGAAAATGACATTTTGACTAATTATTTGCACAAAGGCTTACATAGTCACAGACAAAGTGAAAACTTTCAATAACAAGTTCTATATTGTTTTTTAATTTCCACAAGTTATTGGTCTTTTCTTAAAACCAGTGATGTATGTTTAGTGAGCTTACAAGGGTGTATTAAGCTGAAATAGATGCCTCTGTTTGCTAATCTCAGGAGCCAAAGAAATTGACATTGCAGCCACTGTAGAGCATCTCCGTGACCAACGCCCTTCCATGGTTAAAACTAAGGTATGTTTTATAGACTACAGCTTCATTTTACAAGCCTCTCAATGTCCCCTTTTTCCAAGAGGGTGTCCAATCCTTAGATCCTAGTGGATTGTGTGAGACTTACAAGTATGTTGTACAACTTTTTATCACTTTCAAGGATATCTCTCATACAATGAGTGGCAAATGTATTTGGCACACTTTCCCTTAGTAAGTGGTTAACAACCCTTCATTCAACATTATTAACAGAAATCTTGTAATTCTTCTCACTGACAAGCAAGCTCTTCTTGAAAGTACCCAATGAGTACAATCCATTGTCTTTATCTCAGCAAGATCTGCTTGTGGTGTCATCTCAACAATTAAAGTTACCTTATTTTATTTGTTGTTTGCAGGCTCAGTTTGAATTTGCCTTGACAGCTGTTGCAGAAGAGGTGAATGCAATCTTACAAGCTCTTGCCAAGTGATAATCAGTGACTGGAAAAAGAAGTATTATATCAATTTAATTTAGTAATTTGGGAATTTCACTCTGTTGAGTTAGGTCTAAAAAGGCCAGGCAACTACTTTTTGTGAATTTGGTGATGAGCTGTTTGTTTTGACCAAAAAATTTCTTCAGATCTTTGTTTATATGATTTTTATGACTGAAAAAAGGTGAAAGGTATCATTTTAGTGATAACAAATTTTGTTGACCCAGAAAGTACGAATTTTTTCATGTTTTGAGGCAGAGCCCTATTAACTCCTAAAAAGAGTTACTACTGAGATCTTGGGAGTTAAAGGGTCAAGAAAAAAAGAAAAATTAAGTTATTCTTTCCTTTAAGTTTTCATTTTGAAAAATGAGAAGAGCTTTTTGAATATGTTTTCAGTCATCTTTCTGTATGAAAGTGGATCTGTTTTGCTCAGGAAAGATGTAGAAGTGGGAGAGTTTTGTTTTACGTTCTCTCCTAAGTCTTTTCATTTTAATAGGAAAGAATGACTTACGTATGGAGGGATTTATTCCAATGTAATTTAGTTCTGGTTGTAGATATTCCTTAGTTTGCAAGATATTTATCTGAAAAGAAAGAGAGTGTATGCCCCGAGGGTTTTATCGGTGTTTCTCCAAAGTGGATTAGAAAAGAATCCAATGGGGAGAAAACTTTTTCTTTTTGCAGAGGTACTTCTTAATACGTTCTGCTCACAAATGTACCTCTGTCAACTTTGAAGGAATGAATTTATCTTTGTGTGATAACACAAAAAATATATATTGATTTGTGAATTAATTGTTTTGCATGATGATGTGACATAGAATTCTTTCTTTGTGGGTAATTAGAAACCAGATTTGTGTTGAAGAATTCTTAATAACAATTCGTTTTAACTCAAGAATGCGAGGCAATCTACTTTTGGTTGACATTTCCATCCTATTTCTGGAGTGGATAAAGATTGATTGGACCATCAAAGGGCTTAATGAAGGTTTTACACATTTTGAAGAAATTTAGTTGTTGATCAAGAAAATACTCGATAGTTAGTATGAATAGATTTGAATTTCTAATTTACTGGAAATTTTTAGGCGATTCCTTCGCCTCAGAGATATAATTTTATGTCACAATATCACAAAGTAAGGGGAACTGTATTCATTTGAGATGTTTCAGGTGCTTAACCACAGCAGTAAAGTAATCTTTTTACTGACGTTGATCGTTATTTTCCAATGTTTTCTGTATTATAATTTTTACTCTTAAATAACCCATAGAAAACGTTGGAATGGAGATATGACAGGAGTCTTAGGGACATTGAAGTAATAACCAAAGAAAAAACTAGAGAATAGCTATTAGTTTTAGGGAGAGAGGTTGAGAAATTCTTCATGTTTCTTAGACACCTGGGGGAGGGGGGCTCATTTGTTTGACACTGGAAAACAATTTTTCTGTGGGTTTTTTTTCTAAGGAAAGTCAAAACATGCCTCTGGTGTTCTTGTAGAACTCTTCCAAAACTTTTGTTTTGTCAGAAATGATGAGACTTCGATCTTGCTAAAGTGGTACATATATGGACCAAAATCTTTATTCTTATCTTCGTGAACTTAGCTTCTCTCGTACTCAGATAAGTGTTGGTGCAATTTTACAGGATCACGGAAGATGTTTTGCCTTTCCAAAATACAATCGCAACATCAGAAAGAGATATATAACCACCAAAGAATGATATATGCCAAATATGAAAAACGTTCTGAAATTCAAACCGCTTAACCTCGTTTCCCGTAACACTAGATGTATAAAAGTTACAAAAGGACGATATTATTTTTATTTATATTTTTTGAGAATGACTCAGGGAATTATTAGTTTGGTATTCTGCGTAATGTAATGTAATGTTCCCGCTATGGGACAATATTAAGTGGCGTAACAGTTAAACTTATATAGGGATATCATTTATGCACTGTTCAGCTTACAAATGTTTCTTCACGTCACGTCAGGTAATAAGTTAGTGATGGGCATTTCGATTAAGTGTCGTTAAATCAAAATAATCAGGACAGCCAATCAGAATGTATGAATTATTGCGAGGAGCTAGTGGAAACTCGTAGCTGGTTCAAGCGCGGGAAACGCGGGTGACCAAGTGGCTGTTGGTTTTAGTTTTGACTTTGATTGGTTGGGAGCATGGCATGATTTTTCTCCAATCAAAGAACGCGGAGAAGCAAAATACAATACAATCTTAATGCAGTCGCAGGGTATTCTTCACATTCACTACATTTCCTGACTTGGATGTAAAACTATGTTAAATCAGCATTCTGATACCTGTTGTCTAAAAGACGTCCAGTTTATGAAAATTACTTTAAATCCTCATTGAAATTGATGGTTAGGTCCTAAGGGTTCCTCTGTCGGTCCGTTTTCCGCACACGAGTGCGTGAGTTGCACCGACTGCGGTGAAGATGCAGAGGAATTTGAATCTTAATAAGTTGTGTCTACATCAATCTCTCTGGGAACGATTAAATAAAATTGAACTTTACTGAACTAATTTTTTCCGTCCATTCTCGTTTAATTGTAGTGTAGGCTGTTAGAGACACCTTTTGTACGACCTCTGTACATGTTAGACTATCTCTTCCAGCAACTCTGTTGTATATGTTAGGCTATCTCCTCTAGCGACTTTATATTCTTAGAAAATGGGAAAGCTTGAATGTTTGGGAGCCACCCGTCGTGCACTTTTTTTTTTTTCGGAATTTTCCCTTCAGCGGATCAGTATTTTTAGTTTGTCACCTGCTCCGGCCTGATGGTTAGCGCGCTGAACTCAGGAACGAGAGGTCTAGAATCGAGTCGTGTTGTAATCGTAAGATAGCCCCAGTTTTTCGAATGTTGGAAAACGTCATCCACTGAGTGGATAAATCTCTATCTAGTGGATAGTACAGCACATTTTATCAACGCTAGCGGCACGGAAGCCTGATTAACCCATGGACCCCCAAGAGTGACCTGCATCTAATTTCTCCTTACAATGTCGCCCTTGAATCAAACATGAGGGTCACAGGAATAAAGGAACTGATCACCAACTAGAGAGGTTCTTGATTGTTAAACAAATTCTCTTTGTCAGCACCATGGGAAACGTATAGAGAACAGTATGGAGAATATATATACAGATATTAAGGTGTAAAGGGTTAAATGCTGGGGGGGGATAACCTAACGATGGATTAGGACCCGATCCAGGGGTGAAAAGACTAATTGTTATTCCCAATCACTTCGTGCCAGCCTGTACCTGTAGGGGCCTATGCAGTTTCATTATAAAGAATCTCCTCGGAATTGTTTCAAGGCATAAATATTTTTTTATCTGAAGGTTGGCAATTATGGAGAAACTAGAAATATTTCGTCAACCTCCTCTTGGGGAGAAGGGTGTACTTCGGTGTTCATTTTAAACCGCGCAAATGGGTCATTTGGCGGGAAAACTGTTAGATGACGTCACATCCCGTCGCGCTTGTGCAGGACAAGAAGAGAAAAAACAAAAATCAGCAGAAGAGCAGGGATGAAAGCAAGGCAGATTGTTTTTAAACAATTCCAGCTGACAAACTAATCTTAGCAGGGTAAGTAAATGTCAATTATACCTCATAGCTTTAGAAAAAGGAGTACTTCACTGATATACATGTGCATTACTAGTAAGCCAGTAAGAAATTTCGTCAAAGTTTTCCATGGCGTTTGTCGTGCTTCACATGCTTGAACTTCAATTGCAGATTTGATTTAGACGATGTTGACCTTTTTGAAAGTTATCAAAATACCCTTAATGATTTTATTCTCTAAAATTTGTTGTTGATTTTGTAAGAACGGCGATTATCAAGATTTTGTTCCCATCGTCCGAATGGCTTTGAAACAGCTGCCGATGAATTCTGGCAGCAAAGACGACTTTCAGTTATTTGGGGAAAACATGAACTTTACAACATCAAATGACTCTTCCAATCCACCGGACTCGCGAAAAAGAGCGGCACAACACGACAAAGGAGTGCCACGCCACGAGGAAAGCTTTGTACAACCAGAACCGCCGAAGAAACAGAAAGTCATTCTTCCAACTCATGTAAGCGAGCTGAATCTATTTTGATCACAGTACCAATTTTTCTCCCATCGAATGCATGTTACCTTCCTTCCGTAAAACCTAAACAAAAGGTTTTCGACGTATAACAAATGAACTGAACTGCAATGACTGAAAGATAATTTATTTTCTTTTAGCAAATAGTTTTGGGAAAGCTTTCATTTAACAACGTTTCATTGATTGTGTTGGTAGGTGGCTCAAAATCAAGATCAAAGTCGGATGAGCAACACGTCAGATGATATCGCATCACAAGTAAAGCACGGAGGTAAGTCAAAATGAGTCCAATCGCTGCCCTTCAGCACTGTTACAGTAGGCCCTCGTTCATCAAAAAGCCTCCCAAGGCCTTAGATATGTTCCTAACATCTGGCCTGAGAGGTTAACAGGTTAAATACCAGTATTGGGCCTTTTCGTTTCTCGGATGCCAACAACTTTTCTCTGCCACTATTATTTTTAATTACAGGTCCCTTTTTGCACCTTGATAGCAAGGACTCGAGTAGCGGTGATGAAAAATCAAAACTTGAAGCCGTGTTGCGAGGTGTGTCATTTTGGTACACGGTGCTCTAACTTACTTCGCTCTATAATCCGTTAATAGATTGGGGAACCGCCTTACATGATTTGGTTGGTTTCGGGAAGTTTTAGATTTGCCTCTTAACTCCCAAGATCTGATTATTAAATTCTCTCCTCTAACCGCTGCACGTTCCTTCTTAACTAGTTACGAAAATTTGGTGTTAGATCCAGACAACAACTTCTGCTTGATAAGTCTGAGTATTCTCATTACCTGTTTGCCAGTTAATGTATGGATATCATAAGGAGAAGTTATATGTTGATCACTTCTGGAAGTTAAAGGTTATAGGGCCAATAGGACTGAGATATAGGAATGTTGGTTTTCGATGGGGAGAAAGCAATATTTAAGTAACAGGACCTGTTTAAAGTAAGTATAAGTTATGATATAAATAAATTTTACCGCAATCTGTCACTCAAAACTAATTGGCAATGAATAAAATGTTGAACTGTCACGTGTGGACAGTATTAGTTCTTTATTCAATGGCTTATTGTATGAATGGTCGTTTTCTTTCCGCTCGCAGAACTTGGCCAAGAGATGAGGATGGTACACTTGAAGTGGGCACAACCATTTGCGTAAGCTTGTTCTATGAGAAATGTTCATATTCGCTATGTAGTAAAAGACTAGTCATTATAAAGATCCTTTTGTTTTAGGACCTCATACTAGACAGCAATGTCTGGTATAAAACACATACCACTTAATGTGACGTTCTAACGTTTATTTGATAGTTAACCACAAACAGCAGAATTTTAGTCCGCTGCCACCAAGTGTGTGCTGGCATTGTGTTTCACGTTTGGCAGGTTTACTGTTTGTTTATATATTTCGGGTCGTGTAGTGTGTTTTAATGGTGTGGTCTTCCCTGAAAAACACCTCTTAGACATAATCATTTGTTATGACCTTACTCAGTCTCTCAAACAATGACCTTGTTATACCATTTACTTTTATCTTATCTTCAGGGAGGGTGAATCTTTCGAAAGATATTGTCCAGTCAAACTTGACGAACTCCTTAAGGAAGCTCTGAGGCTTGAACAACACCTAAAGAATCAGAAAGAACGCTTGAAGGAGAGGTTAACTCTGATTACACGAACCCTTCAAATGCCTACCGTATAATAGATCGTTATTCGAGTTAAACTGTAAAATACCGCCGTAAATTTTTTAGCCGATTGCTATCTACTGCTATTGCCAGTTTAATTAATCACATTTGAACAGAATGCCATTTTTCACTCTGCAGTTCGAGATGATGCAACGAAAATGATGAAACAAAAGACAGTGGTAATCTTGAAACTTGTCAGACTAATTATGAACCAATGACCGGTCAGCTACCGGTGGAAACCAAACCTAAATTATTTACAATCACTTTTCCAGTATTCCGCAGGACCTTTCAGTAACGTCGAAGTGAGTTCTCTTGTGGTTCTGGTGACAGTGTCTTTACCGCATTACATCAACTACTTCACTTTTAATGTGAAAACTTACATTTGTCTCTGTTTTCGTTCTTCATTCTTGAAACGCATTAAAAAGGAAAAAAGGAGAAATATGTAGTAGTTATGTGAAGTATCCTCGCTGATACTTGTATTTTCAAACGATGGTTCAGCGACATCAATACTTATGTGTTATCCTTGATATAAGACTTCCTTGAATCAAGGTTAAAAATAGCACGCGTAAATTGATAGAGAGAAGTTCAAGTTCACTGACTTCAGTTATTATGACAGCTCGCGACAAATGAAGTGATGTTACTTTTTCCGGATGTTTGTGGAACATGTGACTTTGCTCACGTTTACTGAAAGCTTTTTGAATGGACTGATAGCTGAGCGTGCTGGACAGTCCCAAATATCCCCGATTTTTTTACTAAGGCATGGCTTGGAATCCACATGGACTGACAGAACAGCAGTTGCCCTCACAAATGAATTTACAAAATTCGTTTCATCCGTTATTCATTTCTTTTACAGTTTCATATGGTAAATTGCCTCTGCAAGTCACCAGGCATTAGTTTGGATGAAACTGTGGCTAAAAATAGGGCATCATTATTCACAATTTTGGCTGTCTAGATTCTAGCAATTTTTAGATACTATGATAATCGAAGGTTTTTAAAACTACCTAACAACACGCCTGGAAATGTTTGATTGCGCAGAACAAAAAACCGTACATGAAGATGACCAGTTTTCTATGATTATATATTGTCAAGATTTCTGTTTGCGCCTCTCCCACGCTTTAAGATTGAGATAATCATATCAAATTTTCCTCCACAGCCTTTTATGGTGTCAACTCTAAATAGCTGTGGGAAAAAGTCACGACAAGAACATCGATCAAATGTTATCTTATATTGTTTTTGGACTCTCAGGAACTTAGACAGGTCCTTCAGTCGAGAGACTACTTGATCCTCATTAAAGCATTGCTCAATATCCAGTTAATCTCCAGTCAGACTCTAGGTTTTGTTAGCTTGGTGAGATCACGTCATATCCTAGATAAGTTCATATTTCTGGACACTGAACGGTTGGTAAGTTTTGATTATTGTAACTGCTTTAACTTCCCTGTGGAAAACAACGGCGAAACGAAATATCAGTCAACTTGAGTCGCCGCAACTTGAGACAATAACAGCAAAATATTGATTTAAGATTAATTGTGGCCATAAAACATGTTCAAAGACAGCAAATATCTTTTTAAAATCGGCGCATTCTCTACGATTGCAGTGGCAGATTATATTCGATGATGACGGAATCAGTGCAAAGTGGTCGTTTACTATTCATTGACGTTTCTAACTCGGGCGCAATCAAACCTTTTTGAACGACGGTATATCGAAAGCAGTGGGTGCTGATATGACTCATTTGGTGTTCTAAACAGGTTTATGACACGTATCTGTGACAAGTAAGTGTGCTGATAAGTCTATCTATAAATCATAATATTTTTATGCTCTCTGTAGGAGTGCCAAGTTTGAGAATGAGAAAGTCTATACTGCCAAACTCACTCCCTGTCTCTCAGGATCACAACCTAATTAGAGTGAAGACGAGTTCTCAATAAATTTTACGAAAACAGCTCCTTCATAAGATTCTATTTTAATATCACGATTCACTGTTATATTCTTGCTGATGAGTGGATTTTAAGTACAGCTAAGTTGCATATTAAAAACGGTCTCGGTTGGAATTTCCTGACGAAGCCAATGCAAACATTTGCGTCAGATATAGCTGGTATAGCAGTGAAGAGTATTGCAATGCGCTGTGTCTCGCGTGGAACAACGTTTTGTGAGCGACTTCAGCTTACTAGGGTGTGTTGGTAAAACTAAATCAGTCACTTTATCAAATAGCTTGAGACTGATAATCCTGAAACGGAAAGATCGGTGTACATACACGAGGGCAAATGTGTAAGCGATTGATTTCATGCGACTAATCTTTTCGCGTTCTTGTGCGCAAGACATATGCGTCTTGTCTTATCAATTCAAATTTGTTCGAATTCTCGAAACAATTCATAACTGATCTGTACATCCAAGTCATTATGATGATGTGATGATAGTCCATCCTGTGAGCTGTTTAATCTACTTTCCCACAAGACTTGTCCTCTCCTAATCTTCAACAGAGCAAACAGTTTCACTCGTATGAGTCTTGAAGGATGAAGGTGTCTTTCTGGATCGGAATTTGTAAATAGGGTGTGAATGTTGGCAGTACCAATTTGCAATACTCGTTTGTAGGAAGGATTTTTCATAAAGAAATCATACCATGTAAAACCCTAGGGTACTTACAAGATTGTCATGTCGACATTGATGCCGTATTTCTCGAATGAGCATCGAGTGATGCGCAGGCCATGTTCGGTTTCAGCTCCTGAAATACGAGTTTGCATGTTATCAACTATAAAATTTAAGGCCCATTGCTCTCAAAGGGCACCCTAGAACTTCCTTGTCATTCCCCTCCTTATGCTAGCATTTTTTCCTAATCAAGTTCTAAATATCGTGTGAGATTCCTAGACGTGGCTTAATGATGTCTATCAGTACCACATATGGTAATTGTGTGTCTTAAACAAGGCCAGGGTTTCAAACCCCCAGCGGCACATTTCCACTCAAACTTCCCTTTAAGAGAGTTATGCTCTGGAAACCTAGGAGGGCTTTTTCCAACCCCCCTTCCAAGTGTTTGGATGTGGCTATGTAAACAAGGAAAAAAAGTCCCCTTTTTCTTTTATAAAGTAGGTTAAATTTATTTTTATAAGGTAGGTTAAATAAGATATGATCTACAAACTTCGAAAATATATCAAGTCGAAGGAACAGTTTTGGTATCGGTCCGCATTTTTGTCCACAAAATAAACACATACCGCTTAAAAAGATGAGAATACGGACCACGTGCAAAGCTGTCAATTGTTTCTCGAATGTGGCGCGTGTTAAATATTCAAGAGTGACATCTCACTTACACCTACATCTACTTTTATTACGTTGGTAAAATCCGTTCAGACATCACACCGACCAACTTGCGCGCAAAGTGAGAAAACTACATGAAGGCTTGAAATTTATATTACGATCGATTTTCATCAAGAAATGGGCTAGGAATATTCCACAATAGTGCAAATAATCGTGAAAGCTGATCGCGGAAAAGCGATTGCGTGACGCTCGTCAAGTTGTAAGATGACCTGTTATCACAAACCAGACGAAAAACTCTTTAGATTCTCAGTCTGCATTTTGTACCCATTCAGCAGTCTGCAGTCTACGTTTTGTATCCGGTCTGCAGTCTGCATTTTGTACTAATAGGTATCCGTGGCACCAATACAGTTTATTTTTGGTTACAGTTATTCGCACATCACACACAATCTGCCACAAAACACCTGTGTGTGAGTTAATTCGACATTTTCGTTATTTCCGCGTTAATACTCTTCTTTCCTTTTGTAAGAAGTTAGACATCACTTACAATGTTTCGAGTAATCCACCCAACCCCCAAAAATAACTCTTGCACGCATAGCATGCCTATGTTTCTTCACAAGTATGTGACCAGATAGAACATGAAGCTTACGATCTCGAGAAGCAACTTTCATTTATTAAGACATTTTAGGGTAATTTTGGAACTATAAGGATGTCAAGGGCAATTGTGGCTATTCAAGCTACGCTGTTTCCGTTTTCCAAACAATAACGTTTGTATAAGAGAAAGAATAATACCCATTCCCTTAGCCAACGAAAGCCCATATTTTCACTTTCCCTCTTCGTATTTCTAGCTTCAGAAAGAATCAAACGCAAGTGTATATAGTTGAAAAAGTTAAAAAAAAAAAAGGCAGCGAATGATTACCTTACGTAAACTACTTACATACGGCTCAAGATGACGAAATTTTCTACCAACTGAAATACATGACAGGGGATTATGTTCTTAAGAGAAACAAGCAATGATTTCGCTTCGATCTTGTCTTTGAAAACCATTTTGATTTTTCATTTGTAGTTAAGAGGAATTACAAGCGTAAAGAGAGCTGGCGAGATTGAGCGCGGAACGAGAAAAAAAAAGTATATTTCTCCTCAACCACCCCACCCCCATGCGCGGTCGGGTGCGCGAAATCTCCTGCTACTCTCGTTTGTACAATATTCCTAGGGAAAATGGAAGGCTAAGAACAACCTATCGACATTTTATTTACACGAATCTATAGAATCTAGACAAGCTAAGTTCAAATGGAATCTTTGTACATATCCCTCATATTTAAGCATCATATCGTACTTAATTCAATGTAAGAAACGATATACGATCTGAGCAATCAGCTCGGAGGAAGGGGGGAGGGGTGGGTAAGGTAACCCATCTTAAAAATATGAATTCCTTTTTTTAACTTCTTCTATATTGTCAAAAACAACTGGTAATTTTTGGAGTTTATCCAACGATAGTTGCGATAGGAGTTGCTGCTCTGTGCTGATCAGTAACTTTCCGTCCAGCCCAGTAATGGGCTCCTGCTTCCTGTAAGTAAATACCGCCGGAATTAGCCCAACAATTCGAGAGTGCTGAAAAAAAAGTAACTATGTATGCCAGCTGGCCCTCAGCCTAAAACAGCGACGTATAATTCAGTGCGAAAATCGAAACAATTTTAACATTGCCTAATTCAGAAAGGTAAAGCAATAATTCCTGACTCCATAGTCAGATACCAACCTTCTCCATCTTATGCTGCCTTGTCTTTGAAGAGACGAACAACGAACGCCTAAAGATCTAGAGAAGGACACTCTGAAAGTAAGATTTTCACTATACTGCAGGCAATGTATCGTGATAACAACATAATCACAGGGTCAAGCACAGAGTACCCACACATTAAGTGTGAACGTTTGTATATTTGAATTTCGAGAGGAATGCATTAGAATATTGCTTCATGTCACAGTTGCAGCGAATACTCTCATTTAACCCTAAAATTGATGTAGTTTTCACTTAGTATGTCATATTTCTATGACTGAAGACAACGAAATTTTAGCTATTTAAAGGGTTCGGCAACGGAAGCACTTTATTGAGTACATAGTAGAACGACTTCATAAAGTAAAGCAATTTTTTTTAAGTTAAACGAGAATATTCGTCATAATCACATGCTTCATTATGACGCTTTTCGATATTCCCATACTCTTTCTCTAAATTCAAGTGGTTACGCCGCAGTTTGTGTGGGATCCTAACTGGTCGAGTGAAATAAAATTAACATCATTAACATTAACATCGACACTTAGAAGATGAAAATCGCCCATTTTCTTTGCAGGCCGTAGTAAACAGCTCTTAAGTCAAATCGTGTCTTAAATTTGAAGATCCCAACTTTTACGTAGATTAAAAAGAACCAAACAGTTTTTCACAGTATGGAAATTTAACCCGGGCCTTTTCATCTAGACGTCCAGGGAGATTAAGGTCACCAGTTGATGTACCTTTGTGTCGAAAAATTTATACTCTTGATATCTGGAGTTTGACTAGCCAATCAGAGCGCGCTTTGAACGCTATCCACTGTTTCTGTACGTACCGAACACCGTTTAACACAATAACCGTTCGTTTCGATCACGGAATGATAAAGGGGATAGCCTGTTCACCCTTTACACCCTAACATCAGTTCGCATATTCTCCACACTGTTCCCATACATTTCTTAAGGTGTTGACAAGGAGAATTTGCCGGAAGAATTTGTTCAATCGAGAGGTTCTTTAGTTGGTGGTCACTTCCTTTGTTCTCGTGACCTTAATGTGCGATTAAGGGATGATATTGAAAGGGGAAAGTAGATGCTTAGTCACGATTGAGGTTAAAAGGGAGCAAAATTTTTAAATTGCCGATGAACTGTTTCCTTTGGAGGAGCCCAATGTTTGCATTACCTGTTTATTTACAATGGGTACTGAGGGACTATAGTTTCATTTCTATTTTTTGTGGCTGTTCAATATCAATTCCACATAAGGTAGGTCACAGTCAGTTATCATTTTCCACGCTGGAGTGGTTGCTGGGGCATTATACCACCCACAGTAAACTGTTTTCCAATTTAAAAAGAGAAAGAAAGAGAGAGAGAAAGAAAAAAAAATAACATAAAAGGAAAAAAAAAAAAGGAAATGGAAAATGTCGCCTTTCAACGAATAAACGAAAAACGGGTTCAATTAGCAAAATTATTTTTTTCCACCTAGTTACGCCTCTATTAAAACGGAGTGATTACACAATTTTTTTTCCTTCGCACGTTTATAAATAGTTCAAATATCGTTAATTTTTCACATTTACATTGTGACGAGAATGAATTTTGTGCTACGAGAGACGCTAGAAATTAATTTGCGGTAACTTTCGCTAGCACGTGGTGACAGCTTTCAATGGCGCGAGTGCGGGATGTCAAATGTAGAATATTGGCAATCACTGTGGTCCTTTTATCTTCAAGTCATTGAATAAAAGTGCTGTTTACTCGAATGAAGTGCTCATTTCCAGTCAAATAAAATTTAGAAGTCACAACAGTTGTAACGATAGACAGATATGCAATCTTGCCTCCTCTGTAACCTCTAGGACATTCTGTGTGTTCGCGAAAACCTTTGACGTCAATTGACGTCATAGTGGATTGCTTGATTCGTGAGCTGTCCACGACCCTCGATGAAGTGGAAAACGGCCCTTGATGCGCCGTAAAATTTGAAGAAATTCGATGCAATTCTTCCTTGTCTAGCGATCCTTTTCTATCTTGCGTCGTTTCTGCGCCTGAAAATAATTTCGTGCGGCATATTTTATTCATGCGGCGTTTTATCTGTAATCTACTGCTAAAATAGGGCAAGCTATATTTAGACTTGAATAAACTCTACAGCGCTGTATGTAATAAAGGTGCGAAAAATAAGGCCTGGATTGGGCTAGGAGGGTCACGTGACGTTCCTTGCCTTCCGATCAATGTTGTTCTCCAGCTAGACGCTTTATACTTTGCCAACTTATTGTATTTTTTAAGTGCTCTGGAGCAATCACGAGACTGAAAATCGGCCGTCTTCCTTGGAAAGATAGGTAAAATTCAACGCTTTTCTGTTTTGTCGATAATTATGCCGATTCGCTTCCATGGAAGCGAGAAACGCTCGGATCTTCACGCCATATCGCTCATAACGAACACAAGCTCAACTTATATTCAGCATACATTTGTCAACTTCATCGATCTTACTCAACCATCGCACGCTTTAGATAAACGGCAAACTGGTTCTGTAAGAGCTAGGTTTTAGTTTTTGGTAAGGTTCGTCGATGATGTAGTATTTCTCTTTCAGTTAGTAAACCATGTTAGTGTGGAACTGTACTGGCGAGCTTGAGGGAATTTTTTAAAAGGCGCCTGTGACTCAAACACCAGTTCTTCACCACATTCCTAGAACTTAGCAGATGTAGCAAATACTTGACGATGGAAAGAAGAGTCGAAGCAGGTAGTTGATTCAATTTTGTCCTTTTTTTGCGAAATTAACGATGGATTCTGGGCTTTCAGGGAGAGAATAAAGACAGCTTTTCATGCGATCATGCCTTTTGGGCTAGTCGAATAGTAATTCAGATTAGAGACTCGATAGCCGGTTATTCCACGACGTCAGTTTCTCTAAGTTTATACTTTTGCCTGCAGCTCTTAAATTTACTATCTTGAAAAATGCATTGGTGTTTTCGCGGCCAGATTGTGACAAAAATTCTTCTGACCTAGAGAGAAAACTGTCTCCAATTTTCGGATCCATTTTTTCCGCGATGTATTTCTACCGATGGGAAATACTAAATGTATTTTGCATTTAAAGCTGACCGGAAGATTCCGTCTTTGATTACGCCTATACCCTCGGTTGTCTTTTTTTTGTTTACCATCTGTCATAACAGCTTTGCACACAAATTTGCTCATAGCGATCTAGCTATTCTGCGCGCGAGGTTTATCTACATTGTACGTATTTTTTCAACTTCTCGATCTGATATTTTCTGCACAGTCTATTATTGTAGAAACTAAAATATTTGCAGCAACTGAAATGGAGCGAAAGTTATCAAATGTAGGAGTTTGAACAGTTTAAAGACGGCTACGAAAAACTACTTTTTGTTCTCTTTTATACATGGCTAGCTAGCAGGCAAACAAATATTATTATCCATAAAATATCGGAAATATATTAAATTTTGAAACTAGAAGGTGCTGATTGTACAGATCAAATTCTGCACATGATCGTAGTTTTTATAATCTGGAAGGTTAGCAAGTTTCCAAAATGAAAGAAAAGTATTGTCGTGCAGCCATATATTTCAACACAAAGGGGTGACTTGTTCGCTTTGTATCTTGTCTTCAATGTTTCATATTTCAAATCAGTCTGTCATCTTTGAAGTCTAAATTAGTACATTGCAAATCTTATGGAGGGCTTTGTCATACTGCTATGGCGAAATTTGACAGTCGTGTATAAAAATTGTATTCTGATAATGCACTTGAAATATATCATTTATTTTGTAAACAAATGGCTTCTTGTTGCTGCTTTTTATTCCTCGTCCAGTTCATTGGTGTGTACATTATTTGCTCAGATTACTTTTAAGCTTGTGTGGAACATTACAAATCAAACAGGTCTGGTTACATTCGATGTAGGGCATTATTCTATCAATATAAAGCTGTATTTAGTAAAAACAGTTCCATTTTTACCATTTCTGTTATTACAGTAAATGTATCTCATGATTTTTATAACATTTTTACCTGTGACTGTCTTTTTCTGTTAAGCACAGTCTTATCAAAGTGTATACAATGAAGGGTTCCTCAGCTTGTGCTATCTTGTTTGTTTTGTTGTTGTTTTTTTTATAGCACATTCTTAGAAGAGAAATTGGTGCAAAATGTGTCTACCACCCTCGTAGATTTTATGCAAAGATATAAATGTTTGTGATCCTATGAATAGCATTGCTGTCTGTATTTGCAAGATGTAAAATAGTCCTTTGGCCAAGCAGCCCTCTGCTTTTGTGCATGTTAGGTAACATTAATCCATTAATACAGATATGGTTCCTATAATTAACAGAGTAACATGTATCTAGTTTATTTATAGATGTGTGAGCTACTGCTTGCAGATCCTGAACTGTAGGAATACAATGTACGTGCATTTCCAAATGTGGTCTGGTATAATTCTGGCTTAGAACTGTCATGGCTAAGGTTGTTCTCAGTCCCCTTTCCTTTAAATTGATCTTTGCTTATTTGCATCTTTCCCTGCCTTGAAGGTTTTACTATTGATACAATTATTACACTTATTTCCCTTGCCCTGATAAAAATTGTCTTTTCAAAACTTACCTTTGAACTAGACAAAGTTTGGTCTGAAGTGTAACTTGAGCCTAAGAATTTTTTTTATATTTAAATGCTGAAATTTAACCCAGAATGAATAAAAATGCATCTAGCGTAAAGCATTAAGCCATCAATGTGTTGACACAAATGTAAACACATCTTTCAAAGTACAAAGTCTGCACAAACAGATGAATATGTTTTCTGGGCATTAATGTAGTAGTTCATGTGAGGCAATGTTAAGTTTCATACGACATTCAGTTATATCAGATAGTATTGAGCTTGATATTAATAATTAGCAATATTAAGTTAAGGCCTTGAGAATTTTCAACCAAACTATTTTGTTATGGGAATTTGTTCAGGTAATCACGTGATTCTACGTGCAATTGGAACAAGTAGACATGAGAACGGAATCTTCCAGTCGGCTTTCAGGTGAACTAAATTGCACATGCCCATAGGGGAGACAAATTTAAGGTCTTTGAAAAAAATTTTGTGCGCTTATTTATTTCAAATTTCATAAGAAAAGTCTTATGTCAATGGTCTGTATGAAATAATGTAGAAATGGTCTTTTAACAATTATGCAGAAGCAAAGCGTGCAAGCCATAAGCCAAAATAATTTATTCAAACTCATATGTCATTGAGCATTTTGTCAACACTATAGCATTCAATCAAAACAGCAATGTTTAAAATGCCTTCATGAGTCTCCCAGGTCAAAAAAAAATTCTAAGCCCAGCTTAAGTGTTAGTCATGTCATCTTTTTTGCTCTAGAATACCTCTTTTCTGCACTGCTCTACCTATCATCTGCATTATGTCACGTGAAAACTACATTTCTCTTGGCCAATCAAAATGATGAGATTTGTTAATGTAAACCGCAGAGCCCCACTACCTTGAATCCAGTTAGCTCAAACTCCCCTGCCAACTTGAAAAAGATCCATTTCTCTTGACACACCTTTAGTGACACCTCACTTGTACTCACCTGGACAGTCAGACTACATGATTAAGCCTTTAACTGGTGAATTATGGAAACTATTCATTTTTCTTAAAACTGGGAAATGGTTGCTATACAAACTTCTGTGATAGTATTTCAATAGTGGTTAGAATGTGCAACAATTCATCAGCATTTTTGGTAAAATAAGGTAATAGAAGCAGAATACAGATGTCAGACTAGCAATGTTCCCAGAGATTTTTTGAAAGCCAGTCATAAAGGATTCGGCTGATTTGAAACAAGTGTGGGCCCAGAAGACACAAGCATTTATCCTGTTCATTTGTATTCCTCTAACCTTTTCTTAATGATTTCTTTCAAGTTTTAATCAATCTTTCTGGTTACAAACAAAAATAATGTAAAGGTTAGAATTTCTTTCTGACGAAGACAGGTATTTTACTGCCTTGTCATAATAAAGTATCTGTTGCATCAGAAACTGTTGTTAAAACAAAGCTGTTGAAAATGCTGGCCACTAGTGCTTCTTATGAACACTGGACTAGCAGCCTATCTTGGCCAGCTTGTGACTCTTATTGACAGCTCTAAATAAAGTAGTGGAGAGAGTTATATATTTTGGGTCAGACAATTTCATAGGAATGATTTTGCAGGGTGAATAGAAATGAGCTTGAAGCCAAACCAGGGACATATATATAAGGAAGCAATTCAAATTCTGATCTTTTCTCTCTTTTTAATTATAAATCAGAGCTTTATTTGTTGTTCGTAGGCTCTACTGTTTAGTTTCCAATAATAGATTCTACCCTAGTTAAATTTTGTGACAGATCTGTGACAAGTTAGGAAATATTACATGCAGTCCCACACTTCTTGGTTTTGGTTGTGTTGTTGCTAAGAGAGATATCTTCCAAGCAGCTGAACCTCTTTTGGAGCCCAGTTTTCTTGGCTTTGAACAATTTCAACTCATTTGTACCTTTCCCTCTTGGACTCTTGGTTTGTCTGGTAGGGTATGGTTACTAATTTTAGCATTCTGACTTGTAGCAACTGCTCAGTAAATGTGTGTCCATAAGAAGCTTTCAGTTCAGCTGTATTTGCCTTTGATTGGATATTCATTTATTTTTCACTGTTGCTGATGTTTGAACTTAATGTATTTCCTCAACGCTGATATCAAATCCGGATTAATTTTAATCTCTGTCATTATAGTTCATACATATATTTCTTCACTCATTGTTTCATCACCACCTCAACTTCTTTTATTTTCGTCATTTAGAAACACATGTTCAATATTCTTACCTTTTTCTGCAAAGATACTATTTTTAATTTGTGGCTCATTGTTAATGTGGCAGATGATGAAAGTACTTTTCATCTATAAAAGTATACAGAATTAATATCTTTTCATGGTATACATGTACCATTTCAAGTTTTGGGAAAGACAGAAATGTGAAATTTTGGTTACGTTTATATACAAGCAAATTTATTTATTCGACATAAGGTTTAATTTTTAAACCAGATATTTTCTTAAACAGCTTGTCTTTTAATTTTTCATCAGCTATAATTGGTTCTCTGGGAGATTGAATTAACATGCTAATTTTACTGAGCTTTTAAAAATAGCAATCATCAACTGAGAAATTTGCAATCAGCTATCACCTGTTATTTCCAGTTTTGGTTTTTAAGTAGATATAGGTACAATGAGATTTGAGGATGCAAGTAAAAACACTTTTTTTTTTAATTTTAATGCAAAATTGCTCCAGGCATTTTCAGAGCAAAGGAGGAAATTTTTTCAGGGAGTGGGAAAATCAGACCCTGGCTTCTGTTAAAGAAGATGTGAACTAAGTAAAGCGTTAAGTCTAATACAAGTCTCTGTTAAATGCACTTGGGTAGTGAAAATCAAGTGAGGAGCTTTCTCACTAGAATGCAGTCTGCATTTATTTTAAGTAACATACTTTTTAAAGGTTCTCTCAGTCTTGACAATAACACAGAGTTGAATTTGCCTCAGGGGGTGCACTTGATACAGAATTGTTTTTAAATAACATTTGGAATAATGATATTCACCATGAGAACTAAATATGTATATTTATTTCTCAGTCAATGTTATCTTTCATTCATTTGAACTGCGGCTTTTCTGGCAATTGTGATCTAATTGTGATCAAATTTGTAAGTGAAAGCCATCTATTTAAAATTTTCAGGTTTTGACAGGATTCGAACATGTGTTTCCTGGATTTTAGTTGGGTGCTACTACCAACTGAGCTTTAAAGCCACACATTAGGAGCCAGGCAATTTTCACTATTTTTTTTTTGTTTGTTTTTTTTTTGAGGAGGAGATCTAATGAGTAGGTCATTAGCATTGCTTGACTTACACAGTTACAAAATCTAAAAATAACATACCCCAACCTTGCTTGTTCTCTGAGACTTTTTCATTGGACTTAATAAAAGGCAAATAATTTTGAAGCACTCTATTTTGTTGGATTTTTTTGCCGCAAAAAATACTACTTTTATTAGTGGATAGAAGAAATTGGCAAAATCCACAATCAAGTAATTCAAAACTCACAATATGTTCATGCTGTATGGTAAACTAAAAGGGTGATAAATTTAAGCTTGTCTTGTTGCATTTATGTTTTTTAAAGAGCTGGTTTACAATTTCAGAGCTGCTGTGAGTGCTTTTTAGAGAATAAAAGTGTGAAGCAGCTGGTGTTACACCAAAGTATAGTTCAGCATTTTTTGTTGATCCAAGATAGGCTTATTCTAGAAACTGACCTCCAGCAAAATAGTTAGATGCATTAATATTAACTAAGTAGCTGAGCCAAAGGGTAACAGTGGATATTCTGTTGTAGTTGTCCTCACAAGGGCTACTGATTTCCCTTTTCTGGTCAGTAGTTGGTTTAGAAATTGTAGCTGTTGTTGCTGAACAAATTGTCAATTTATGGCCATTGTCATACAAGCTGATAACTTTTGACTTCCTATATTCATCTCTTTGTATTACTGTATGATGTGTATATTTTCATTCATTCTGTACTCATGGGCTTATTAAAAACCACAAAATGACAAGCACCCAGTTGATGGGTTAGTCCAATTGATAGAGAACTGCACCAATATCACAGAGGTCATGAGTTTAACTCCCATACAAGCTTGAAATTTATTTTCAAGCTTTATTTTCACTACTGCTCAAATAGTATTCATAACCGGATGATCACTGCCATCTTTATATATCACTAACAGTGAAAACATTGTTTAAGTATGTTGGTATTTATATTATATGATTCATCATAGATTTCTCTGAATTTGATTGGGATGGTCTGCAATGATACTGAGAATTTTGTCTGTAAATAAGACAGGACTGGCTGTTTGAATTTTTGCAGAAAATTAGAATTTAAGAAAGTGCTTCACAATTTTATAGTTTGTAGGCTTCACCTGAACTTGTGATTTAGTACGGATTATAAATAACTCCATGAGACTACAATTTCATATCAAAAGTAACGCTGCCACGTTTGGGCCACAAAAACTTCTTACAGTATTTGGAAGCTCATGTCACCAACCCATTTTGAGTGCTATTGTCAGCTTTGACTAAGGTTGGAGAATCTTTTAAGAAGTTCAAGTGTGCATTACTGGTCAAATTTAAATTGAAAGTCACTCAAAACTTGAATGAATCCTCTGATTCTCAATCACCAAAACCTTTAATGGGCCCAGACTCAAGTTTCAAGGCACACAATTAAGTTCAGCATGAAAGACTGACATCAAGATAATCAGTTTTTACTTTGTTCTTTACTGTGTTGGTTTGTATAGCATTCAATTCATTCTTGATCCTTAGATTTTGAAATGTGTAGTACTTCAAGTATGTAAGATTGAGGTTTAAGTCCACAACAAATAAACACGCCAAATTTTCCTAGTATCTTAGCCTAGTCTTGTTGATTTCTTCTTCAGATTCTCCCACAAGAGTGACATCCACTAACAGTAGGATACCAGTGGTCCCCTTAGTGCAAAATTTTAGTGGTAAGTAAATTTTTTCTGTAAGGAATTATTCTATGAGGGATTTTGTCCTTTATTGTACTACATGTATGCATCACACCTACACACCTGTATCTGTCTAGTTTGTTTATATATTTGCATGAATGTGTGTTCTTTTGGGAGGAAACCTATCTGTATATTAGCCTTGTGGACTCCTTGCCATATACATTGTAATATCTAACTTAATGTATCATGCTTTGTTGCAAATTTTTGTAGTGTGGCAAGTAAGTGAATATCTATGTAAAAAGAGAAAATAAAAATAAGGAATTTTTAGACAAATGTAGCTTGTAAAATTAGTTGTAAGAAAGGATGAATTTGAACCAGTATGCCATTTTACCTAAATCAATTACAATCTCCTATTCCACTGGCTATATAGATTATCAACTCAAGTTGAATTGGAGAGAAGTACATTTAGAATAACTGAAAAACTTGATGTTGGCCTACACTGTACCTACAATGTCTATTTGCCAGAAATACTCTAATTAGCCGTGTGGGAACTTACCGATTTCTGGGGCTCAGAAACAGAGTGCTTGATGGAGAGAGGGTCAGACTAGAGAGAAGAGGGTTTATTTAAAACTTATTGGGGAGACAATTGAATCAAATCTTGATGTCTTTTTTTTAATGGAGGACTCTCTCTGAGTCTGTATTTTCAATTTTTGCAACTGAAGCAGCTGAAGAGGATCTTGACTGATGATTTCAGTAAAAGCATTTATTTCTCAAAAGCACAGACAAATAATAGTGAGCAATGAGAATTGTTATGTTTTAATTTGTTCATCTGTAAGGGCATCAAGGCCAAGTTGGTAATAGGTGTGTTAGGTTTTTGTGGAGGAGAAAATTTGAGAGAGCTTGGAAAACAGCAAGTGGGGCAGGACATAATTTCTCCTTTAAATAAGAAATACAATATCAAGCAGATGAGTGATGAGAATAAAAAAAAATATCAATTTGGGGATCAGTAGTATGGAAGACAGCAAGGAGAATTAGTAATGAGATCTTGGTAGTGAAAGGATTTACTCAATGTGATATCAGGTCAGGAATTAACCCTGGGCCATAGAATTCTCTTCATATTACTTCCTTCATGTTCATGTATGCAACCATAAGTTTTTCTTTGTCTTTCAGACATGAACCATTATGCATCAACAGTTTCTCCAGAAGGAGTAGCCATGCCACGCTTTATTCTGTCACCCAGCCAACAACAACAACTTTCAGACATTTTCTATCTCAAGCAGCAACAGGAGCTGCAGCAACAGCTCCTCTACCAAAACTTCCAACACCAGTTACAGCAACTTCAGCAACAACATCAGCACGAATTGCAGGTATGGAAATAACTCATTGGTGCAAATTTATGTTTTTAAAAAGTGTCTATTCTATATATATAATATACACATATATAGATGTACACATATTTATACAGTATATATATATATATATATATATATATATATCTCTTTTAGAGCCTTTCACAATTCAGAACCCATTCTCAAAATCTGATTTTTGATTTTGAAAGTCAAAACTTAAAACTTAATCCTTCAGGTAATTCAGCTAATTCAGTTCTTTGTTTTTATATCTTGAAGAAATGAGGGTTAAATTTCTAATTGAGACTGTTAAATTACAGTTGAATGCTACTAAAGAGGCAATTTGAAAGAAAAAATCAGTACAGAGTAATATCAACCATGAAGAAAGAGCCAGTGTATGCAAATATTACAGTGGGGCTTAGGTCTAGACAAACCGCCCTTTAGCCCCAAGGTGTTTGATGCCTATTTTGCAAGACTTCTAACCCTTTTTTTATCCTTTCAGTATCTTAATCTATGTAGTGCTAATTCAGATCTAGTCATTTACCAGACAGTTATTTTAAACAGCGTAAGAGATTGCTTATGAAGAGGCAAGAAGACCACCGCCATAGAGAGCCACAAGAAAAGACACAAAAAGAAAGGGAGTATCGCTTTCCACAACCGAAAATTAAGGTTAGTCTTGTCTGGAATTACAGTCAAGTTGGCCACAGACAAACTGGCCCATGCTTAAAATAACTTTTTGATTGCTTTTTAAGTAAAGTTCATTACTTCAAAGATCTCTCTTGTATGCATTTATCAATCCACAGTTCATATATATGATTTTCATATATTCAAAGTCATTCACAGACCAAAGTCTTCAGTAACCAGCATACTATTACATTCAAACACTAGTAGATGCTGAGATTCAAATCCATGAACATTCATTTTGATTTTTTGGCTTAAAATATAACATAACATACACAACAACAAGAAACTGTAACATATGAACAAAATAAAAACCTTCTTACTTAAGAAATACACATTTTGGTAGTGTAATAAGTGTTGGAAAGGTGTTGGAAAGCGTCCATAGCATCTAAGTGTTTGTATGTAACAGTATGCTCATTGCCGAACACTTTGGTTTGTATTGTAATGGCATAAAGTTTATGGACAATACAACAGTTGAAACTTCAATTACTTTATTATCACTTGATCAGACTAATTCTGTAATCAGCTTATTGAAGTGATTTTATGTGTTGGCAAGTTGGTGTGGGCCAGTTGATTTGTGGGCCATTTGGTTTGTGAGCAAGTTGGTTTGTAGGCCAGTTGATCTGTGGGCAAGTTGATCTTTGGGGGAGTTGGTCTGTGGGCAAGTTGGTCTGTGGGCCAGTTGGTCTGTGGGCCAGTTGATCTGTGGGCAAGTTGATCTGTAGGCGAGTTGGTCTGTGGGTGAGTTGGTCCATGGGAAAGTTGGTGTGTGGGCCAGTTGGTGTGTGGGCCAGTTGGTGTGTGGGCCAGTTGGTGTGTGAGCCAGTTGGTGTGTGGGCCAGTTGGTGTGTGGGCCAGTTGGTGTGTGGGCCAGTTGGTCTGTGGGCCAGTTGGTCAGTGGGAAAATTGGTCTGTGGGCCAGTTGGTCTGTGGGCCAGTTGGTCTGTGGGCCAGTTGGTCTGTGGGCCAGTTGGTCTGTGGGCCAGTTGGTCTGTGGGCCAGTTGGTTGGAAACCCTTGTCTGGATACTAATTATGATAGCCCTTTTGGGAGAGGGATGTCCTAAAAAGAACACTTTTTGATTCCAAAGCTTTGCTCATTTCTTGGAGATGTGTTTGTCTAATGCATTGGTCTCCAGCGCAGCAATCCTAAGTTGGAGTTCTAGCAGAGTCCTCCATTGGTCTGTGGCCGAAATCAGCCTATGGCAGATTTTCCAGTTGTTAATTTTTGCTCTCAGCCACAAGAAATGCCATTACCAAAGTCACTGAATACATAACTTTCGGTTTTCCTTTTCGTATATTAGTTTTCTTCCCCTTCTAGAAAAGTTTGAATATCACTGCCTGTGAGTGGCATGGATTTTTCAATGTTTTAGCAGCCATAATTGGTGAAAGTTCTGACAACCTACCTTGGATTGAGAATTGTGAAAGCTCTGCCATTCATTCATCAACCTGACTGAGTGGTGTGAAAGACGAGTGATGTGTCTGCAGCTGATTGGTGATATCAAACACATGTGAAAAAATATCTTCATGTGTTGTTACGGCTTTTCTCAGGGCTGGAAATCCTTGTAAAACACAGTAGTATATATGATAAATGTAATTATCACAGTATAGGAATCTCTGGCTTGTAATTTATTTGTTTGTTAGTGGACACATGTAGCTTGGATAGCTTGAAATATTGTCAAGGGTTTTAAAACCCAAGCCAAAATCTCATAAGTGTAGCAGCCAATTACTACCCAAGGTAATCCATCTCTCTTTCACATGGGGAAAATAGGGGTTACTAAAGGGTTTTTGTCTATCTTTCTGATCTCATTTGTAATTCTCCTTACTCTGTCATACAATTCTTTTGATGATAGTTCAGAGAATTTCATTGTGGGTCAACTAGTAATCCCTTGTTGATATTTTCCTTTATTCTCATCACTTGTCTTCTTGATATTGTATTTGATATTGTAAGGAGAAATTCTGTCTTGGTCACTCATGTGAATCAAAGAGTTAGAAAGGATGGACACAGTATGTAACTCTTAAAAGCAACTGCGTACCTCTGATATGAAGAATTGTATTTGTGAGGAAGGAAAGTGGGTGTTATTGCCCACTTCCATGCAAGAAATCTGTTTTATGATATATCTTATTTTTGAAGGTTGAACCAGAAGAATCCAATGAAAGAGGACAAGGTTGTTCAGCAATGGATCAAGATGAGCCTCCAGAAAAGCAATCTAAAATAAAGCAAGAAGTGCTTCAATCTCCACCAAAACAGCCTCCTATAGCTACTCAACAACAGCACTTTCAGAAGGCACCAGCACAGGATAACCATCATTCACAACAACAGCAACAGTCACAACATCAACAAGCACCCCAGCCACAACCACAGCAGTCCCAAGGATCTCAGCAGCTGCCTCCACCAGAATGTTAGTGAACATCAGATTGATGTCATATCCTTGTACTTGAACAGTTTAATTTTGTAACCAGGTCAAGGTTGCTTGCATGGGTTTTTTTTCGGAAATGGAGTGAAATTTTTATTCTGGCATGATACATGTTTACACTCATTGCCCTCTATTGGAAATTTGTCGTTCTAAGTGTTCCAAGGATTTTTATTGAAAACAAAATTCCAAGCAGCTTAAGTCCTTAAATTCACTACTCAATGGGCATGCAATACTTTGGTTCTGAATTTGGTTGACCTCAGTATTTAATTCATAAATTTGTCAACCCTTACATTCCAAAGATCTGATTGGGAACTTTCCTTTGCAGCTCTGGTTCGTTTTCTTGCAGTTCACAGGATATGGTTATCATTAAACTAACAATCTTCTTGATTCATGCATCAGATTCTCATAACAAAATTGCTGGAGAATGTGTTGACATCATGGGGAGAAGTTAGTTGTTAATGGTGCCCATGGCTGAAAGTTGGCATGGATTACCTTTCAGAAATGGCATTTAAGCACATGTTCTTTTGTAATTTAGAAAATAGAGGTTTTGACAAATTTGATGTGGATTCTTAGTTTTGATAGCTTCTCTGAAATCTTGTTACAGTATCTTCTAGTGAGGTGAAGAAGCGTCTTCATGAATTTGTCATCAGCAAGAAGCAAAAGGATCTTGCTTTAGCTTCTGGAGCACATGCACAAGCCTTTAAGCACTGGTTAGTCTGAGTTTTTGTTAAGTTGTCAAGGATTATATCTGAATTCAATTGGGCAAAGGTTTGTTTTCTTATTGTTAAAAAGATATTTGCTGTGCATTCCAGATTTAGGCAGTTTTACTTGACATCATTTCATGCATCAGGTGGGACTTTGAAGTCTTGGCAGTCCTAGTACAATACAGACTCGGCTATGATGCCTCACTTTTGAAGCCTGATTTCCTGAAAGTCCCCTCTTTGCCTATTTTAAACCTCTGTTGCACTGTAATTATTTTTGAATGCCATTCATTTTTAAAGCAGTCAGTTATCCATGTTTTGAGGGTTCTGTCTTTAACCAAGCTCAGGTGCCAATGGAACATTGTATCACTTTAATGTTTTTTCTCCTTTTGAATTGTTTTGTTGACAGGAACCAGCAATATGGTGATTCAGATAGAATTGCACCCCTAGGAACTGGTTATGAGGGAGTCAATTATCCATTGCGAAAAACAGGTCAGGAGTACAAATTTGCTGCAGTCATAATTTCATTATCAAAGCAGTAATCCTTTGGATAACAATGTAGATCAATGTTCAGTTCTTTTTTTTTTTTTTTTTTTTTTTTTTTTTTTTTTTTTTTTCTCACTGAAAGCCATTTACTTACACCTAATTGCTATAACAGTGTTATCAAAAAAAAGCAAAAAGTAATGAGAAAGCAAGAAAAAGCCAACTATGAATTAATTAGCATATAAAGTACATGTACCCTTTGGCTATAAGTTGGGCAGCTGAACAATTTTCACAGAATTTCCAATGAAAATTATTTCAAACTGTGTGACAACATTAGATGTTGATTAGAGATTTCAAATGGTTCAACTTCCAAGACTTAAGGGAATGAGAGGCTAAAAGCCTGAATTCATTCATTGAAACACAATTATGTTATACTGGTCAAGTAAATCTCATGTTTAGTCAAACCTGTCAAAACAACCACTGTTTATCATTACAGCTTCTGAACCAACCCTGAAAGCAAAGTCAACACTCAAAGCCAGACTCAAATATTGTCATGGAAGCCCATTGCTATATAGGCGTCAAGATCGTCGAAATGGAAATAGGATGAACAAGAGCCTAACATGTAAGTGATTGTTTCACAAATTGTCTTAACATCAGTATGCAGACTCTCCAAACTGGTCTCTACAGATTTCCTAAGGTTCTGACTAGGAGAATTTGTTTAACAATAAAGAGGTTCTCTAGCTGGTGATTATTCCCTTTATCATTGTGACTTTTATCTGTGAATCAGGCTTGATGTTACAGTGAGAAATTAGTCAGATTCTAGTCAGTCTTTGGGGTCAAGGGTAAATATATATGTTCGCTCTTTGCTTCTAACCACCAATAACTAAGATATCTCAATATCTGATGTGGTCTTCATGCGCTCTTTTGTCAGGCACTCTTTCATACTCTTTCACACTGTATTTATTATGTACCCTGGGATGTCTAGGGGCTGTGACTATTATAAATAAGCTGTTAAACAGAGTACAGCCCCATGTCTGAAAAATCCTTGCCACCAGGTACCCATAAACTCAACGAAAAGGATACATGTTGCCATGTGTCTGTCCAGTAATAGATAACTGATGATATCAAAATGTGGTAAGAACAAAGAGGTGACACACAAGGTGCAGCTAAGTGTGTCACTGATATTCCTATCACAGTTTGACTTCCTCTGTGATATATTACTGAACAGACACACGGCATCACTCAGTCTCTTTGTTTTGTACAAAAAAAAAAAAAACAATTGAGACTGCCCAAAAGCTGTTGAAAACTTCATTTAGATTCAGCCATTATTGATTGAGCTGCAGTTTTACTCGTGAGCCTGTTCTTGTAAGTTTGCCTTCTGACCAGAAGAGCCAGCTAAACTCATAGTAGTTTTAGAATGTAATTTATCTATAGAGATAAATCATATATTTTTTTCTCTTTTTCAGTGGAAAATGCAGGAGGTGAAATGGGTGAATGTTCCAATCCTGGGTCACCAAACCAGTCATCATCTACCTCACCACACAGAGAGGTAAAACACTATACTGAATGTCATGTGGTAATAACTGAATGGGCTGCTAAAAGTAAATACTTTGTGTAATTTGGTGGAGTAATTTTTTTTTTGTTTTTAAGTACCCTAGTGTTTACAATCGAATGTAACGTTTTAAAAGGATTTGGTTTTTTTATTCCACCATTATATGGCAACAACACCTTCATACTTTTTGCGGGCGAGGACATCTTTAATAATTTTGTTTGGTACATGGTTTAATTAAAGAGAATTATTTTGTTAGGGTTCGTCACCCTTGAGCACTGGTCCTGGGTCTGGTCTCGGGCACAGTCTACCCAATCTCCAAGCAATTCCACGTTACCCTTCAGGAATGGATCACGGCCGCGGCAGCCAGCTGTGGCTTTCAAGCCCGCTTGCTAACAAACCCCGTGTTCTAAGTCATGGCAGTAGCTTAGCAAGCAATGATGTAACTCACATGGAGGTACAGCAGAGTCCGTATTCTAGTCAAACTATTTCAGATGGAATCGAGGAAGAGGATGAGAGTGATGTCACTGCAGCTGCACAACATCAGGCGCGGTGGAAGCAGCTGGCATTAGTCCAAGCACAAGCTCAGATGCTGTCCATGGGTTACGGGGCGCATCAATTGAAAGTGAATTCTGTGGTGCCACCCTCGTCATCTTCAGCAGGGCCACCGTCCACATCACCAGAAGCACAAAACAACTTGTTATCACCCCGAGGAGTGGGAGGAGGGCTGTCTGCATCACTAACATCAGCACAGATGGAAAGACAATTAAAGGTGCACCGGCCTTTGCGTCAGTCTCTATCAGCACCAGGCCTGTCTTTGTCAAATGGTGTAGCCCTGCACCAGCAGCCACAAAACCAAGAACTGTTACAGCAGCAGCATATGGAATTTATGAAACAACAACGGGTGCAACAGCAGAATCAAGCTAGGTTAATCCAACAACTTCAGCAGGAGTTTATTCTGCAGCAAATTGGTGCCAAAAACCTCCAAATGAACTTGCAAAAGCTGCAAGAATTACAACAGCAACAGCTGGTGCACAAAGAATCCCAGGCAGCGCTCAAAGAACACTTGGAACATATGCAACAGAAAGAAGCGTGGAAGGAGCATTTTTATCAATTGCAACAACAACAGCAGCAACAGCAACAGCAGCAGCAAAAAATTCAAGCTCAATTGTTGCAGCAGCAACAACTGCAGCAGCAGCAGCAACAACAACAACATCAACCACACCAACCGTTACCCAGACTTGTTCGTGTAAGTAATTAAATTTCTTAACCCTTTACACCCTAACATCAGTGTGCATATTCTCCATACTGTTCTCTATACATTTCCTAAGGTGCCGACAAGGAGAATTTGTGTAACGATCAAGAGCTTCTCTGGGTCGTGAACATTTCCTTTATTCTTAGAGTCTTCAATTAGTGAAAATTTTTAGAAACTGGAATCGGGAAAAAGTGTGGAAAGTAAAGAGCGAGTCTAGAAAAAAGGGGAATAAGTCTGAGGGTTTTACTGGTAATGTCAAGTTGGGACAAATGTTTTGTTTCTGGGCGTCAGATCATGCTAACTTTGATTTTTGCTGTCCCTCTAAACCTCATCTCATTATCAAATAAACAATTGTAATGGTAATAATGGGAATACCAAGACTTCATTTGTAGATCTTCGGTCAAAACCCTTCATTTTAAAAATTTTCCAACACAATATTGTAGCTTCTCTCAGGATATTCACTGAACTTCAGAGACTGGAGAATTTTCCAGCAGCCATGCGGAATTCCTCAGCGTAATTTCCTTGTCTTAGGTTATATTTATTTCACGCTATTCTCCTGCTCCTGCATTTTGTAATAAAAAAAACCCTTGGTATCGTAGTTTTAACTTATTTTTTGAGTTCTCTCAGCCAATTCTCCAAACTGATTTTAGTTCCTTTCTGTTTGCTGGCTGATTTTGAGAAATTTATGTGCGATCGTGACAATATATCGTTGTTGCTGGTTAGCAAACGTCCACGTTACTAATCTATTTGACAGGGTATGAAGACTTTAAGGTGATGTTAAGCACTGATAAAGATAACCTCTTGTTGCTTGACTTCTGGTCAAAAACCATGAAACGGAAAAATGAAATAAAATAAAAAGAAAACACCTGTATATTTGCTCTGACAGACACACAGTCATGATGACCTTCCCTCACCTCAGACCAGCCAAGAGCAACAAATACAAGAACTTCAGCTTATTCGTCAGCTACGTCAACAGGACTCCCCTGAAAAAGGATCCTTGCTACAAGGAAACCAACAAGCTCTACAGCTGCGCCAAGCAGATTTAGCTGCAGCGTCATCCGCAGGATCTGTTTCTCCTGGGGCAACTGTGGGTCACAGGCCTTTATCAAGAGCTCATTCATCACCTGTTGTAGGTAAGCACACAAAAATTATCATTTTAGCTGTTTTTTCTTCTTCTCTTTTTTTTTTTTTGGGGGGGGGGGGCGTCGGGGTAGGGGAGAGAGGAGAATCTGGTTTCGTACCCTTTGCTGAATATGAATGTACAGTTTGAATCGCAATATTTAATGTGAACAAAAAAAGCAAGTTAATCTAGGCATTTGTAGATGTTGTGCCAAAACTGTGGTGATACAGTGTAAATTATATTTTCATGAAGGAAAAGTAATTATATTTATTTATTTTGAATTGAATGATCGGAGAATGGAGAAAGATGGTGAATCAATTAGTTACTTTTTTAAGCCACATTTGACAAATAATTGTCGTAATTCTTAGGTAGTGGTCAAGTGGCTGACACAGGGAATCGTACCGGCCTTGTTTACGACACAGTTATGTTAAAACATCAATGTTCATGTGGTGATGCCAGTTCCCATCCAGAACACCCAGGAAGATTACAAAGTATCTGGGCACGACTGCAGGAGACCGGTGTAGCTAATCTTTGCGAAGTGAGTGTGTGCACAATTAACTTGTGCGTTGTAATTGTGCTGTGTATACGAAAGTGAGATTGTCCAATTAGTCTTGAAATTTCAGGGGATTCAATAGGTATTTGTAATTAAATTGTGACTGGTGAAATTTTGCAGTGGAACGAAATTGATGATGCTATTTTTGTTCATACAGCGAGTGCGTCCTAGAAAAGCTACCTTGGCTGAAATTCTTACAGTTCACAGGTAGGTCCACTTCACGCTTGAGTAAACTTTTAACATAGATATAACGCTGCTTTATAGCGAATCACTTCATACCGCCAAAATTTGAACAACAAAATGGAAATGTTAGGTTAAAATTTTAAAATATCTTAAATCTACTGACGACTTGGATCACAGTTTCACAAGACTACAGGTTGACGAAGCTCTCTTAACACGGAAGGTTTAGGTTATGCTTATCCTTAAGAACAACAAACAGCTCTTTTAGGAGCCATGAAACTTGCAAAAGCAATGATCGGTGGGAACCGTGGTATAATTTTATGAAGTTCTTATCAGTTTGCTATACAGACATGTAAATTTCATTGAATAATGTCTATTTCTGCAAATTTGCGGCACGTTTTCCAAATGTTCCTGATTTGTTATCAAAATATTTGGGGAAAAGATACGGTTTACGCGCTGGTGTTTAAAGTATTTGGAAAGATGGGCCTTTTGCAGGAAAAAAAGTTCCTCATAACGTTTAGTTCTTTACGTGAAAGGACAAGTTAAGTTACTATTAAACCCCACGGTAGAAAAAATAATTAATAACATTTGATTAGAGGAAGGAATGACATTATACATTATACATAATTTTCATTTTTTTATTTTCAGTGAACAGCACACCATGTTGTTTGGTGGCAGCACACAATGTAGAACAAAGAATGAGGACGGTAAGGGAAATTTATTTCATCAAAAATTATGAACTTACTCTATGGAAGAAACAAGAGGAAAACAAAAACAAACTTGTTGAAAAGGTGCAGAAAATTAACGAAGACTCTGTTGACCGGATTTCACGCATGATTTTCAATTGTGATCTTTGTTTAAACATTATGAATTTTTTTTCTATGGAAGAAACAAGAGGAAAAAAACCAAACTTGTTGGAAAGGTGCAAAAAATTGATGAAAGCTCCGTTGACCGGATTTCACGCATAGTGTTCAGTTGTGATCTTTGTTTATGTTCAAACATGACCTTTGGTCTTTTGGTTTGTATTTTTATCAGGGACAAGTACTTTGCTCAAGTGTTTCAATAAACTATTTTGTGGTGGGATTGGGGTAAGTTGAGCCATAAAGCTGTTAGTTAGTTATATTTTACATATCATTTTGTTCGGTATCAGATAATCATGGTAGAATATTTTGTAATATAAATTGAACCTCAAGCTGATGCTGGGTTTTCTGGAGAATCAATCCCTTTTTCCACGTTACATAGAGAAACTGTCAGTTCTTGTACACTGCATGTAAATTGGCTTAAGCACAAATACATGAGTGGAAATAATCACGGTAGAATGTTGTGTAATGAAATTGAACCACATGCTGATGTTGGGCTTCCAGGAGAGTCAATCTTTTTTCCACGTTACATCAAGGAACTATCAGTTCCTGAAGATTGCATGGGACTGGCTGTGAGCATAATAAATAGGTGGAAAGGATGGTTGTGAGGAGAGGTTGGAGACCATTACGACTCATTTGTCAAATGAGTTGGTTAGGGGAATTTTACATTCGTTAGGGTATTTTAAAAGTCGATGGCTGCTGCAATTATGATAATTTTTTAATGGGTGTCGTTTTTGTAGGTTGATGGAGATACAATATGGAATGAAATGCACAGTGCTAATGCAGCCAGAATGGTAAGAAAAACAAGTTGTTTATAGCACAATGTATGGATGCCTAAACTATAGAATTTGCACTGATTTCAATGAGTTGGAGCCAAGAGTAACATTACTCAGTCTGGTACGTTTTCCTGTTTTGTAGTTTGATATTTATAAAAATGAACAATCTAGGAAAGGGTGATACAACTGCAGCCAAATGTGAACAAGTGGCAAAATGATCTTTCCAAGCAAACCGCAACGGAAGTGGTTCCGGAAAAAGAAGATTGAAAAAAGGCTTCTCTTTCTCTGCAATCACTTATTGTGCAATTTATGTGTCGAGGTCGTTTCTTCACGGTCTATGTAACCTGCAGGGTCAAATCTAAGTTACTTCCTGTTTAAATATCATAAAGTAACAGCCACTATTTCAATTGTTCCTTTTAACCATAGCCTTAGTAAATTGGGTCAGTTAAAGTATGATGTTTTTGGATGAGAATTAAAATTAAAGAATACATAATCAACAGATTATGCGTATCGGTGCATTTCTAACGCAATTTTCCTGTTTCTGTTAAGGCCGTCGGGTGTGTCGTGGAACTTGCATCTAAAGTTGCCAAAGGGGAACTGAAGGTAAGCATGACTTTTGATGAAAACAGACTACAGAGAGCAATCAAGGAACTCAGACACAGCTGTCTCTCTGCTGATGCTGGTTTAATAAGCTCTAAGCTTGTGGGGGAAAAAAAAAGGAAAAAACAAGATAATTCTCTTACGCACCCGGACCCGTTGAGGCTCACGTTTCAACTCAGAGGGTCAGTTATTTCCTTAAAATTGGAAATTAAAGGTTAAAATGAGAAAGGCGGTACTCGTACTCGTACTCATTTAGGAACAAGCGCACCTTGTGTTTACAGGGTATGTTGTGGTGCAATTTTTGTCCCATTCAATTCTTTTAGGATTTTGACGATGAGTACATAACGGCGTTAAATAAAAATAACATTGGTGTGGGAAAGTTTTAAGCCAAGAGAGTATTTAAACACAGAGATTCCAGAGCTTGCTGAACTCGCGTTTTTGCCGTTTTTGTTGTGTTTTTCTAAAAGAGTCTTATCTTGTATAGAAAAATCTTACTCGTATTCATCACTAAAAAAATGGTTGATCAATGAAAGGAAAGAGGGAAATAGAAGGAGTGATATAATATTTAAAATAGTGGATCGTATTGAACTCGTAATAATACATGTAACTAATTGCTGTGTCCTTTTTTTTTTTAGAATGGATTCGCTTTAGTGAGACCTCCAGGACACCATGCGGAAGCTCATCAAGCGATGTAAGTTGAAAGGCCAGGAGAGAATAACAGAAATGTTGCTACTATTAACCGCTTCGTGTTTCGTGTTTTTTTAGGGCTTCCAAAACACATCACTGCATTTCATCACGTAGGGACAAAATTCTGTAACGGGAACAAAGATGGGCACAAAAATTTTCCATGTTACACAAAGTGAATTTTCGCCGCGACTTAAACCCGCAAAAGTGCCGCGTGAAGTCTTGTCCTCAAATAACATGTGCTTATTGACTTAGTTGGAGACCGGAAGGGGAAAGTTTTGGCCTTAGGTCGAATGTAATCCTCTGAGAGCCACATATTTTCCCGTCCGGCTCGACCTAACTCATTTAACAAGTACTTAATCACATTACTGTGGTTCTTTCTTTTTTTATCCTCCTTCCTTCTTGCAGCTAGCGGGGTCTTACGACATTTTGGCCCTGCTGCTCACCATATCGCTTACGGCCTTAATAAGAGGATTGTTTTCTCATGTTTGTCAATAAAAGCGCGCGCGAGGCCGGGTCATATGGAAAAAGAGTATTCCTGAAGAAAAGTGGCTGGAATTATCTGAAAATTACTTCTAGCGTGTCTCAATATTTAAAGTCCTTGGAAGTTTCTGAAAAAGTGTCGGGTAACCTTCAATGCGACCTTTTTTCTTTGCAGGGGCTTCTGTTACTTTAATAGCGTGGCAATTGCTGCGAGACTACTGAGACTGAACCTGTCAGTTGAACGAGTTCTCATTGTGGATTGGGTAAGTACAATGTAGCTTGTTCCTCTCTGGAACAATTTTCTATTGAGGGTCGAAAATAATCTGGGATTGCTTTGGTCTCGTTTTACCTCGCTCTGTGATTGATCCAGAAAATCTGCGCTATTCTCTCAACCAATCAGACGCAAAAGTAAACACAATCGAGACTTGGTCAACAGTGTTTTCCCGCGTTTTGGTAGTTTGCTTATTTTCACTCTGCTCTACTTTTCCGGTACCCAATTGAAAACTCTCCCATAGTTTAATGTCTGTACAGAGATTAAGAAAAAAGGTTTTCGTTTAAGGCAAAACCTAGCAACTGTCTTGTCGGTGATCTTTGAGATTTCTGTTATAATTTGAGCTGTATTTGCCACCGAAGTGCTTTGTTATACAATTTCAAAAACTTCTCCATGTTTCTACAGGACATTCATCATGGAAATGGAACTCAGCAGATGTTTTATGACGACCCACATGTTATGTACATCTCAATTCACCGCCATGATGACGGGACCTTCTTCCCTGGTACTGGAAAGTCAGAAGAGGTATTAACCCTTTCCACCCTAACATCAGTATGCATATTCTCCATACTGTTCTCTGTACATTTCCTAAGGTGCTGAAAAGGAGAATTTGTTTGGCAATCAAGAGTTTCTTAAGCTGGTGATCATTTCCTTCATTCTTGTGGCTTTATTGTTTGATCCAAGGGTGATATTGTTAGGAGAAATTCGATGTTAGTCAGTCTTAGGGGTCACAGGGTTAAATGATAGTGTTACAACCACAAACAACGTAGAAAACAGTTTGGCTTTTAAAGAAGGATGTTAACCATTTTTCGTGTTAGACGGGGAAATATCTGATTCCCTCGACTAGGATTCTAACTTCAGACATTTCGATTTTCTATCGGACTTCAGAGAACTAGTATGGAATGTAATGCCATACACCAGGTTTAAATATGATACGCGTCCTGTTTACTGCCGGGACCAGATATGTAGAAAGTGTCATGCATGATCATAGAGAGGAGTCGTTTTCAATTGAGTGTCCAAAACCGTAACCAAAGTAATCACAACAACCAATCAGAGCGAAGTTTGTCATCATCATTAGTCAAAGTGAACTCAAATTGAAACAAACTGCATGAAACGCGGGAAAACGCGAACTAAATCACAATTGGTTCAAGTTGTTTATTTGATTGTTTGAGAAGGTGGCATGAGTTTTTTGGACCAATCCCAAAGCGAAGTGATGGATTACTTTCGATCCTCAATTGAAAACTTCTCCATTGCTTTGATTCTGATATGTAACGACCAAACAAGTCGTTCATTGGTGTAGTTGGGATGGGTAAGGATAAGGATTGGGTGCAGGGCAGCGCGGCTCAAGTTATCGCACACAACAATCAGTTACAATGAATTAATTTTGACAACGTATCGATTATTGTGAGTCTCTTACAATAATTGATACACTAGTAATGTGCAGATGTTTTGGTCAAAATAAGAGTTGAACACACCTTGTTGACAACAGGCGTAGATTAGACAGCCAAAAAAAGTTTCTCTACTGTTGTTTTTGATTTAGTTATTAAAAGTAGGTGTCAAGATGAACAAATCATTTCAACCTAAAAATTCTACTTTTTGCAAGACTTAGTACCTTTGGATGTGTCTTGTTTGTTTCAGTGTGGTGCTGGAATAGGCGTTGGCTACAATGTCAATATTGCCTTCATGGGCGGATTAGGTAAGTTACGGCAACATTACTCGCTCCACTTTGTTCGCTCCAAAGGTATAAAACGTAAGTTCTACTCATCTTCTGCCATAAAATTTCTTCGAATTTTCACCGAAAACATTTGATGTTAAATCAAACAATATCCTTAACTTGATATGTTTCTTACTTCTCCTTACCACCCTGCCTTAACCCTCTACATCCTAATATCAGTATCCACATTCTCCGCACTCTTCTCTATAAATTTCCGTTGGTACTGACAGGGAGAATTCGTATAACAATCAAAGCTTCTTAGGTTGGCGATCATTTCTTTTCTTATCATGATCTTAATAATGATTCAGCAGATTAAGATGATAAATGGGAACCAATCAAAATGTGTGCGTAATTCAGCTTATTGTAATTGCTTTTTGTATTTGTTATTCAACAGAGCCTGTATATGGTGATGCTGAGTACTTCGCAGCGTTCCGTTCCATAGTGATTCCCATAGCGAAGGAGTTTGAGCCCAACATTATATTAGTTTCAGCAGGGTTTGACGCTGCGGCCGGACATTCGCCTGCTTTGGGTGGCTACCAGGTCACGGCAGCGTGTAAGTATCAAGCTAAGGAGTAGTGTTGCGGGAAATTAGCTGTCGCCTTCTCACCCAGTACGAGTGAATCAGTGTGTCTGGCGTGTGAAAATCAACGGTTGCTGTATGGGTACAGGGCCGACAGCCGGACTGACAAAAAGAAAACAAGCAAAAACAAAAACAAAAGCATCTTTGATCAATGTCAGTGTCTAAGCAACTGCTGAACCACCCCTCCCCTAGCCCAACATTAACCTTCCACTTGTTATCAGTTGACTGTTGTTGGGTTAGGGGATGGGTAGGTGCGCAGTTGTTAAGATATTGACATTGATCCAACATATTTAAGGAGTCTTCGTCACGCCTCGTGTATCGTGATTATTTTACAATGTAGCTTGATATGTTTTAAGTTTGTAAATTGTGATTTGGGTTTTTCCGCTCGCCTCGACTATCCTCGTTTCTTCTTTAACTAATTTTATCCTGGAAGAATTTTCTGTCTTCCCAAGTCTAAATTTGTTGTTTCCTTGAATTTGATGATGGTTTTTGTTCGAAGCCAAAATGGAAGCGAAACTTCGTTAATATTTAGCTTAGTTGTTGGTTGATTTAAGCTTCGTGGTCGAAGGATACTGAAAAAGAGTACTAAGGGTCTTAATCACGCGTTTGAAATCCTTTAGTATGGAGCTTACTGAAAGAGGAAGCCAAAATTTTGATTACGGCCGTCGATTAAAAATATGTTTCGATAAACAGGTATCTTGTGTGTGGGTCAAAGAGACATTCCACTCTCTCAGTCGTGAGGAATGGAGCCCTCAGACGAGGCCTGATTTTGAATTCCGGTGTGCTACGTTATGAGCTCGTTGGTGATGAATGCCATGTTCTAGTTACATATATGATAGGCTTTTCGCACACTGGTGGTATAGGTAAAGTGTCGTTTGTAGAAACAGTAAGAGGAAAAGTAACTTTGGGGTCAGTCTTCGAGTGAGAAAGAAATACTGTTGAGGTATAACTTTGTGATGCGGTTATGTACACATGGTGCATTTTCAGGTTATGCGCAGTTGACGAAACAGCTCATGGATGTTGCTGGAGGCCATGTGGTCATGGCATTGGAAGGAGGCTACAGTTTGCCGTCCCTGTGCGACGCAGCTGAGGCGTGTGTGAAGGCCTTGTTAGGAGAAACAGTGAGAACTAAACTTTGTTTTATATCTGTGGTCGTTTTCTTTCCTTTCTGGTTTCATCTACTGATGGCTAGATTAACAGAAGGGAGGGTGTTATGTATTCAGAGAGGCAAACAAGACAAGCAGACGAGCATGTGAATGAACAATTTGCAAACAAGCGAATGAAATCGAAGTCAATCGAACGAACGGAAAAGAGATCGAATGTTGACCGAATAAACAAACAAACAAACAAACAAGCAAACGAACTAGAGTGCAATGAAGTATTTAGGATGTCAATTTTTGTAACAGCAACCTATTATTCGCCTTCTCGTAGCTTCCTGAACTCTCTAAGGATAGCCTTAAACGGGCCCCGAATCCAAATGCTGTAGCTGTGCTTGAGAAAACGATAAATATTCAAGGTAAGTGAATTGAGCATTTTCCCGTTTTATTCGGTGAAAATTTCAAACAGGATCCTACCTGATCTTATTTTAACATTTTGTGTAGTCAAGATCCTTGTCTGGTTTCGATCCACGGATATTCACCACTATGGACAAATAATAATTACCATGTAAGGGAAGTGGTGCACTCCAAGTCGCTTTACCCTGTGATAATGGTAACCTGGCCCAGAAGAGTAAACATTTTAGGTGTTTTTTAAGTAAGATTTAATTTCATTTCTTGCAGGTAGATACTGGAACAGTGTGAAGAGAGCCGCCACACAGATCTGCCAATCATTAGTCCAAGCTCAACAGCGAGAGAAAGAAGAGGCCGATACCGTGACGGCGCTAGCGTCACTTTCCATGGGAGTTGTACAGGAATCAGACAAGTAAGATAAGTCATTCTGTTCGTTGACAGGAGGCTCTTTCTTTGTTCAGGCGTAAAGCTCGTTTCCTTCTCTCCAGTAAAGAAACATGGATGCAGAGCCATCCCTTTTTTTTTAATTGCAACTGGTGGTTATGTCAACTAGGTCCTAAGCCTTTGAGATCGGTTTAGTTTTACAGGTTGGCTTCATTTTAACTTAGAAAACGACTGAAAGCTATTTCCGAGTTGTTGTTGTAACCCAAAATTCACTCCTTCCATCTCCCCCCTTCATCGCTCCTTCCTTTCATTCCTGTTAATGTTTTGTTAAGTCCGCTGAATAGCTCAAAAGGCTTTTGCATGTTTGGTTGCTGCGTGAGATTAAACTTATAGCTGAGAATTGGACGAACAGTCTGCTGAGAAATATTCTACTCATCTCTTGCATGATAAGAGAAGCGCTATCCATTGCGCCAAGTTTGAAGAGTGTATTTTGCTAATGAGAATGTGCTTCAGCAAGTAGACCATGTAGATGAAGCATAACTTTTCTTAACCAATACTTTTAAGATATGAGGTCAGTTCAGTGGCCTAGACATCTCACCCCTGTGTGGTTCATTTTCCTAGTTCAGTGGCTCGCACGCATTTTGATCACCTATCCCCACCCCAGTGGGTACCCCTTTGTTTAGACGACAGACCTATACTCGCGCTACCTTCATAAATAACTGTGGAGATTTTTCACTCTTGAAATTTCAGAAGTATTGACGAATCCATGGAAGAAGAACAAGTTGAAACATGAAACCAAAACAGAGAAAATCAAAAGCAAAGAACGATTTTAGGTAGAATAGCTTCTATAAATATCTTGTGTAAATGCCCTTATGCGTCTATCACGCAAATCACAGCACTCGTTATAAATCGGTACACAGTCGTGTAGGTTTAAATGACGGACGAATAATCGTTACATTTTGACTGCTGACCCAGCTCGAGCTGCATTGAGGTAAAGCGATTTATCGGGACAGAAATGTATCAGTGTTCTCACCACCCCACACCCAACACCCCCCTCCAAAAAATAAAAAAAAGGCAAGCTTTCCAAGAATAAATGGACAGAACTCGCCTTAAACGAGGTTTAAGGAACGCCCTTCAACTGTGTTGTCATGTAGTCACGAATCTTTCGTATCAATGTTTGTATCTGAGCAACTGCACCCTCCCTAGCCTAGCCCAACACAAATCAACCTTAAGCAGTTACGACGGTAACGCCAAGGAAGACGTCGATTTAAAAATGAATACATATTTTTAGTTGGAATTTCGCGAATGATTGGATGTGCTTAACATCTCTTACGGTGCCGTGAGTTAATCTCAGCATAACATTGAGAGCGGCTTTGAGTTCCAAATGGAAACTTAAATAATCTGCCGTCCGGGTTTCCTTTCTCGGACCACGCAAATTCTGATGATTTCACGTTATTTTGCAGAGGACGGCTAAGAAATGTACGCAGTTTTAAAACGCACACGCTGAGCTATCGTTCTACTCATTAGATCTTTTGTTTTGTCACGTCCTCGTTGCCGTCGCTGTCGTGGTTTGCTGAAGGTCCCTAGTGTTAGGTAAAGGAAGGCGCAGTTGCTTTGATACTGATATTGATTCATTTTTTCAAGAGTCAACAAAGAGTGATATTGATATGGCTGAATTCCACGGTTGCATTATGTTGTGTTGAAGGGGTTTTATCTTTTATCGTACAGGTACACTTTGTAGGCTTAATTTGCTTGTTTTATTTATTATTTGTCAAATGGATTTCTTGTTCCGTAGGTCGGGAGAAACTGAATCAACTGTTTCTTAGGGTGTCATTTCTATAGTAAGGGTGCGAAGATTCGGGGCATATCCAAGAGAAACCTAGTTATCACGTCGCTCGCAACCTTACGCCAGAAATTTATTTTAATTGGCAGTGTTTACATAGCGGGTGAAAGAACAGGCTTTCGATACATCACTGTCCGTTGTAGTGAGTTCTCGAACCTAAAAACTTGCGTGGAAGGTTCGTAGCTCCAAATCGCCTCTCCATTATTGTCGCCAACCAATCTGATTTTCTCAAAATGTTCCGAACTTCTCTTGGTTATCCCGACCCTGGAGTAGATTCTGTCTTACTGACGAGCACTACCGTAGAATTCGAAAAGAGTCGTTCCGAATAAATGTGCATTGATTTTACAGAAGTTCTCGTTTTCTTTTTCTTCCTTTTCTCCTTTTTTCAATGCCTGTTGTAATTCTCGTCCGGCATGGGTGCTTTGTTTTGGCTAATGCGCTAATCTTAAAGGTTTCTTCCGATGAAAAAGTAATGTTGAAATCATTCCTTGGTAGTGTACACGCCGAGAATCAACTCTTTAAAACTGAAGCATTATTCAAATATAACTATGTATACTAAGTTTAGCTATGAGTTTTCATTATTCATTGTATTATCATAATCACACGGCGAGGGGGCTAATCCTTCCACTTTCACGATCTGATTACAAATTTTCCATTCCATCTGCTATACAATCCCTAATGTATTAGTCATGAGAATGTGGTAGCTTATCGCAACAAGAGCCTCCTGCTGATTAATGTTTCTATTCTCATCACCTGTCTACTGAAAATTGTTGGGAAATCGCGAGGAGAATTTCTCTGTAAATCAGTTGTGAGAGTTGAAGGATTAGACTTGTCTATCAGACTTCCAAGGAGTTTCTAGTGTGTAATTTAGCCGAGATATCCCCTCGGTAACTCTGTAATTATTCCTTGTACATAGTTGTCAAAAGTGGCTGGGTTTTTTAAAAAAAGACCCCAGTTGCTAAAGGATTTTCTCATTTAAATTATGCCTTTTAAAATGTTACCCTGCATAGCAAATATATAACAGGGAAGTGACAATACTGTGTAAATGCGATATACATATATATTATAAATAGTTAAAACTTTTTAGCTCTAAGAATGTAGAATGTTATGGCTTAATTTAGTGGCAGAGTGGTAAGATTGACTGAGCCACCTTATAAATGTGTAACCCGCGTGTACTGGGTCGAAAGTCAAGAGAGTCTTTGTGGCTTGTTGAAGCTGCTTGTGTACTGGAGTTTATCAAACATTTCGTGTTGCGCTGTTGCAATTATTGCAGCTGGTAGTATTGTAAGGTGATTTCTTGGTGTTCACTTGAGGATCCGTGTGCCTTCACAAGGTGGCAGAAGTGAAAATTGATTTTATGTGGGCCTTGTCACCAATTTGTTTCGTCTCTTACCATGATTTCTGAACTGTACGTTTTTAAGGTAGAGTTGAAGAGGTTAAAACCAGTTGATATTCGTCTTATTTTGGATTTGTGTCCAACCTGGAAGCTTAAGGCTTAAAATTAATGTCCTTAATACTAGTGCTTTTTGTCCTCTTGTTAGAGGAAAAACGAACACAAATTGTCACGGCCGCACAACGTTTTTTTTCAATCATTTCATGATTTTGCTGTGCCAATTTTAGTGTGTTCATTCGCCTAACACGTTCAATCTCACTGTCGATGATTATGATTTAAATATCTCCATGAATTATTGGGACACTTATAGGCAAACTGAGAGTGAAGAACTAAGATGTATTGCCTTGATAAAACTCCAAATTCTCATAACCAGTAATTAAGGAATAAATGCAATACAGAAAGGAGAATTGCGGATTGCATCGTGAGGATGAAAGGGTTCGTAATGTAACAGGACTCTTCCTGATTCTTGAAAAGCTTTAGTGAAGGAAAGAATTGTAATGTTCATTTATTTTTATTTTATTTAGTTATATTTTATTGTAAGAAAAATTCTTTTTCTCCCTGTGTTGATAAACAATTCCCTGTTGTGAAGCGGAGTCTTTCTTCAAAGTATACACACATGCAGGAAAAGAGGGAATAGATTAACTTCCCAACTTCTTGTTCAATTATTAACTTTTTATGTCTTACGTCGATGTAGACCTTGAAACTAAAGCTAAGAGAAGGTTGGCTTTCAGAGACTAGCGTCACCAACGGATGTATTTTCAAAATTAAAAACGATTAAAAATGTTGGTAACTTCTGTTTTATAAGTTTGTGTTTTAGAGGAGGGGGGTGGGGCTGGTATGAGTGTTTATTTTTGTCGGGGGCGAGGTGGAATACGGCTTGCAGAGGTGAAGGAGTTGTTTGTAGTGAGACGCGATGAAGAGAGGTCATAGGACACTTTGAAACTCGCTACAGTACACTTTAATGTCTCTTTCTCAGCACAAACTGCACAAGCTGTGCTTAAGCTCTAAAATTGCATACTCTGCTCTTTGGCATACAAAAAAAATTAATTTCTTTGCTTCCAAGGTTTTCCTGAGGGACATATGCAGAGCAATTAAGTAAAGGCTCTGTTTAAAGCGCATGATTGAACCAGATGCTTGGTCACATGATAACCACTCTTTTCTCCCAGTGGTTGAACCCATGCAGAGTTCAGGGACCAACCAACAACTTCTTATTAGAGATCTTACTTTCAAATTCTCTCCGCACTCAAGTCGTGTCCAGGGGAGGTTCCTAAACACACCCCTCTTCCGGTCTCTGGACGGTTTCATGACTCCACTCGGCTGTGGGGTTCGTTCCCAGCCCTACTCCTCTCCAAGTTATTCATTTCCTCTCGATCTCCCTTCAAACGGGCTTTTCAGTCCCTCCATTGGTTTTGCTCTTGTGTAACTGGGAGAGAAAGCCTCAAAGCTGGGCCAGGCCACTCCCCTCTATCGAATCTGTCGCACCAGGACAGCATTACGCTGAATCTGTAGTCGCCGCTAGGCTTAATAATTATCTGTCTGCCCTTGAAATAAATGGAGCGTCGGTGGGAGAGTATAACAGCGTAATTCAGTGTTATCAACTGAGTCGATAACGTAAATTGGCCACTGTAAAGAGTTTAAAAGCTGACGTTTCGAGCGTTAGCCCTTCGTCAGTGGTTGTTCTATCACACTCTCTATGATGGGCGCATCTACGGATGAGATTGCAACCCAGGCTGGCTAAAAATGTACCCAGTCTGCTAAGTATTACACTCAAACAGACAAGATCCTCGGCGTTACAAAATCGCATGACATGCTTTCTCAAAGCACCACATCCGTGAACAGGGACAAGTCTCGCAAAGCTAACATTCTGCAGATGCCTTCCATTCACTTAAAATCCTTTCTTACTGTCGTTTAGCTTTATATAACGGCATGTACAACACGTGAAAGGGGTTTCCGGAGTTTCTGAGTTTCGGGAAGATTTGCTGTATTTGAACCGAGCAAAAAACGTTCCACTTATCGTCAGTAGCAACCCCTTGGCACGGGAAAAAATTGTTTCACCCACAAATTATCCATCGTGAGGCATAAGGTGACTTTAAGGCGAATTTTAATTATTAGTATTCTCATTTGTGTAAAAGCCGCCACATGTCTAATTAGTTAATCGGATAACTCTCAACTCTATTGGCCGTAGAAGTCCCCGCGAATTTCTACGCCGTTGCATGGAAAATCTCTCTCTTCTGGCAAGCCTACTGACGCTACACTGTATGTAAACTTCCCCCTCAGCGGCGCTGGTTAATTCCTCCTTTTAGTTCACCCTACACCTTGTGCAAAAATTCTTCCGTTTATAACGTATTCATTATCAGGAATAAGGTGGCTTATAGGGGAGCTGAAAAGAAGAATTTTTAATTATTAAATCAATAAATTGTTATAGTTAGGCGACTAGCTATATATGCGCAACTTACCGTAGTTCTCTCATTCATCCATGAAAAATTCCATTAATGAATGAGGGAATCCATGGTAAGTTGAACGTATTTCGTTTCCGTCAATTGATTTCAATCCAGCGGTCTCTCTCAAGTGTTTCAGCGTGCGAATGGTCACGTGATCACACTTCAGAGGACTATGATTGATAAACCTTTAGATGAATCAAACAACATTGAAACTCTTTTGAATTTGTCTTCCAGGAGATGATTTGTCATAGGGCGGTCAGTCAGGGTTGAAGACACCTTAAAGTAAACCTGCCATATTCTACATAACGATTTCCTTTTTATTGCTGCTTTCCTCGCTGACTTCTCCTTGGAGAAGAGTCACTGTATACATACGAGGTCACAATTGCTCTCGATCTAAAACACAACATTTTTTCTTAATGAAATTCCTTTTTTAGGGTTACAATAAAGATACGAAAAAGTCTGTCTTGAGACCTCAAAGAAACGCAAACACAAACGTAAGGGATATAACTGATTAAATCATTGTGAACTTACAAATAGGTACTTCTTGGTTTTGTTAAATATATCTGGGAAATAAAGAATCGGTAGTGAAACGTTTTGACTGTGTAAAATTTAACAATGTTTACGTTCAAAAGTATAAAACTCGTTCATCACATTGGTCCTCAGAAAAGCAATCACTTTAATTCAAGTCGATCTCCACCATAGCAGATTCCTCGTCACTGAATTCAGTCCCCGCAGCATACCCTTGGGAAAAGCTCCTCGGTGTCTTTATTTTTTTCTCCAGATAATCCTCCCAATTTGCCAAAAGCGACTCATCAGATTTCACTTTTTTAGCATGTCCCTGGGGGTCACTTTGCTGTTTCCTTAGACTAGCCTTTAACTTGTTTTCAACAGGGTCTGACTTGTTTCCGGTTCCTTTCTTATTGCTTCCCTGTTCCTCCTTTAACAAGTGTTCAGTTGTGTTAAATTCATACCCAGCTCCTTTCTCCATCTTGCTGAGGGGGTCTCCATGAGACGAACTTTGGCGCTTAGATTCTCTGGAGGCAAAGAGACAAAAGTCAGTTAGGGGATTATCTTGTCAAGTTTTGTTGCTGTCAATTAAAACTAAGTGTTAGGAACCAACGAGGTATCAGTCTTGTGCACTGTAAGCCGTGAAGGTAATGGAAACTCACCGGGAGAATTTGTGCCGATAGCGTACCAAGGCACAACAAACAACAGCCACACTGAGCATACTCAGAACACTGACTACAATCATACCAGCTATTGCCGATGGAGAAAAACTTCCATGATGAAAATAAATCAGAGGTGCAACTCCTGTCAGTCCGTGATAAGGATGATGATGTCCATGATGATTATGGTCTGTAAAAAAGTTTTGCATCGTGATTTCATAGGTAAACGTAAGAAAGATTTTTTATTTATAAAGGGTGCAAGTTTGATGTAAAAATTGCATTTGAATTGAAATGGTTTTCATAACAAAGGCTCATGTATAACGAAAAGCTATAGGTTTAACTTACCGTGGAATCCATCATTCATTACTGGAAGTTTTGGTGGACATTTAATTTTGTGGCCGTCAAATGATTTCAATCCAGCGGTTTCTCTCAAGTGTTTCAGCGTGTGGATAGTCTCGTGGTCGCAGTCCAAGGGATTATGATTAACATACCTAAGGATAGACAAACAATAGTGAAATTTTGGAATTTTTCTTCCCGGAGCGATTTTGTCGTGGGCTGACCATTCAGGGTTGAAGACACCTTGAAGTAAAAGACGGACATATTGTGCTGTGCACGTTCATTTTCTTATTTTAATCAATGACGTTTGCTTCTTGAACTGTGAAAAAAAAAACTCGATGCTTTCGAGTTGTTTCTACCCTTAGAAGTCTAAGAAGCATGTCTCCTCTTACAATTTTTCCAGGTTTGAGTAAGCCCTCACGTCTTTCAAGTCAATGTGTTTGATTTGTCCATATGCCAAATCCCTGCAGAAACAGAAAAACAAACAAACAAATAAGGCAAATAAAAGTGCTTCTAGTAACACGCCCGCCCTAACCCACCTTGTATCCCCAGTTCCTTTTATCTTTTAAGCGATTTGATTTGGTTTTTTTGTTTTTTTTTTTTAGGAATGATACAGTTACTTTTTTGATTCCCGGTTCTTTCAATAAACCTTTCTTAAAAACTATTTGTTAGCGAATTCATGTATATCATTTGAATGCCGATTAAAGTTTCAAGTAGCCATGTCCAGGAAAATGGAAAGTATAACTTACAGAGTTTTGACGTTTGATGCAAAGCTGAACACGGGAAATTTTTCCATTCTTCGACAGACTACGATGGAGAAGTCATCTGTACAGTCACATTGCAACGGACACTCATGCTTGGCTTGAGTATAAGAGCACAAAATAATCATGATGAGCACAATGCTTTGTCTTTTCGAAATCATCTCGAAGCTGTTCAAAAACGCGCACGAAGTTGAACTGAATAATCTCAAGTGATCATTAGCGCTTTGTGACGTCACGTTTAATTACGATAATGTTGCATGTACACATGTGTTAAAAATTTTACGTCACAACTTTAAACCTTTCCTAAAATACCTATCCTCGCAAGTGGTTTGTTTTTGAATGTCAGAGATTGGTCAAGCTGTGCAATCAATCGTGGGAGATCGAGTTGAACACTCAAATTTAAATTCCTTATCTGCCCTTACCTAATCTCGTACCCAGACCTTGCACGACCAAGTGGTTGTAACATTTTAATTACAGTTACACGGTAGGAGCTGGGTACGAGATTAACCCGTACCACCAATTATTTTCTATATTGGTATACTTATCGATATTCTATTGTAGGTCTAATGGAGCCCGAAAGCGAACTGGCGGATTCATGCCGCAAAAAACAGCATTTTAACAGCACAGGGCATTATCTTAGTATTTCGGGGAAAGTGTATAACGCTCTTCAATGGACAATGGTTTTGGTCGACAAAACTGTGCATGATGGCCCCCGCAAAAATCATTTTATAGACTTAACTACTAGCCGCTGAGCAGCGACCCCTAGGAGATAAAGTTCCTCCTCGGAAGAATTAAAGGCTGTACCCGAGAAAACGGTGGAACCGAATGGCATGTTACCGGCGCGCGGTGAAGATATCGTCGCGGTGATATCTCGCGAGACATATCGCGGTGAAGATGTGCTGGGAAGAAGATAAATTTTCATATAACTTTATATTAGATGTAAGAGGTCTTTAAAAAAGGAGATGCCTATGACAGTTGATGTTTGAAATTTTCCGATCTCAACGCGGGTTGATGGTTAAATTTCAGGGCGTTTGAAAGATGACGGGTATTCTCAGAGAGAAATTTCTTCAGTTCAGTATTTGAGATCGTTCACAGCTTAACGATGAGTATTTCGAAATGAGGAAAAGAATTATGGTCGAACTCCATTTAAAAATTTATTTGATCCACCTCCATTTTAAATTATAATAAAGACATGAAAGATGTTTCTATCTTAAAGTGTACTACCCCGTTAAAAGTTGTTCTAACACAGAAGCTACATTGCTACATCAACCCTTTAATTAACCCCAAGGAGTGATGAGTATGTAATTTCTCCCGACAGTATCACCCCTGAATCAAGTATTAAGGTCATGAGAATAGTAGAAAAGATCGCGAACTCAAGAAGCCGTTGATTGTTAAACAGATTCTCCTTGTAAGAACCGTAGGAAATATGTAGAGAACGGTATGGAGAACTTACATACTGATGTTACAGTGTAAGGGGTTAAAGAGCCAAAGAGGCCAAGAAAAAGTGTTGGAAAAAAATATATTTTGATTTACATAATGCAAATCGCTTTAAACGTCACTTCGCAGATAACTGTCAGCTCGCCAATCAGAGGACTGATTGATAAAATCAATTTCCAGAGCAGCAGAGATCTTAATTTGAAATGATCTCCACCATAGCACATTCCTTGTCACTGGATTCAGCCCCCAGAGCATACCCTTGGGACAGGCTCCCCTGTATCTTCATGTTCTTCTTCAGATAATCTTCCTTTTCTGCCAAAACTGAGTCATCCGATTTTACGTGTTTAAGATATCCTTGAGAACCTCTTTGCTGTTTCTTTAAACCCTCTTTTAACATGTGTTCAGTCTTGTCCGATTCGCTCCCAGTCCTTTTCTGCTTACATTTCCTGAATAAAAGAGTGAAGGGATGAATTACCTCGAACGGAACATGTAATCTGTTTTAAAACGACCAGTAAGGTTAGTCAGTTTTACTCATAGATAAGCATGGCTCTCATTTGTTTAAGAAGACACCGTTGACATAAATCAGTTGAGAACAAAGAGAAAACTAATCGGTGGGTGGGGTGGTGTTCTGTTGTGACGTGTCCTGCGTCTTCTAAATCAAGAAGGGGCCTAAGTATTTCAGTAAACATTTGAAGGTCTTTGAAGTTGTCCTGAGGATCAATGAAGGTATCTGAGCAAATGCACATGCGCACACCTACTCTTTCCCTAACCCAACAGCATTATTAAAAAATTTATTAGGAAGTCACTGTTTGTCGTTTCATGCCAAAATTATATTTTTTCCGTTCATGAAAAATGTTGCACAGTAATTATCCACATTCGTCGAAAACAAGATACATTTTCTTATTATCGCAACTGCTTTTGAACTTTTAACACCGTCAAGTACTAAAATACTGACATGGACGATTTGATTGAGCCTTGAGCTACTGTATTTCTTGTTTACTCCAAGTTTTTGCCGATCTACGGCAGCGTCAGGGTATGATGCCGTAGATTAGTAAAAGTTTAGGGTAAAAAAGAAATAGAGCAGCTCAAGGCTTCAATCGAATCGTCCATTTAATCAACATGCTACTGAAGGACAGGATCAATGTCAGTTTCTTAGCAACTGAGTAACCGCGCTCCTACTCTCCCTCCCCCCCACCCAACATTAACCCTAACTTGTCATCAGCTGACTGTTGTTGGCCTAGGGGAGGGGTAAGTGTTGGGTTAGGGGAGGGGTAAGTGTTGGGTTGGGGAGGGGTAAGTGCTGGATTGGGGAGAAGTAAGCGTTGGCTTAGGTTAGGGGTGGGTGTTGGTTTAGGGAAGCGATAAGTGTACAGACTGACATTAATCCATATTATAAAAAATCAATTTACGAAAGAAGAGGCTAGAGTCCAAACTCCGTAGTAACAGTATGTATTAAACTTCTCAAATGAACCACAACATTTGGCTTAAATAAAACCCCGAAACTTCTTAAAATTCCAGACAAAGGGATAACAAATTTGCGCGACTCACTAAACTCCGTAAAAAACAAACAGGAAAAGAAAGCGAAAAAAGTCCACGTCAGTTTTCCAATGTCAAGGTTAGAGGTCTTTGACGTGATTGGCTAATTCATGAAATCACGTTATCTTTATATGTTATCTTTACCTCCAGCGCTTAAAGCGTCACGCAACGCATCCCCATATGCATGTCATGTCTCTTCTTTTAAATCTCGTTTCAGCTTTAAAGTAGTCTCATTGAAGGCTCCATAATAAATTACGGACGTGCCAAATTCAGAATTCAAGATTTCCGTAAGGATCTTCGTTTTCGTAGTGTGTCTGATAAACATAATCATTGTCCACAAAGGTAATACCAACCTCTTTTGAACTTGTTTTAGTAATGTGACTTCGTTTTCGTAATGAGTCTTCGTTTTCGTAGGGGTCTTCGTTTTCGTAATGGGTCTTCGTTTTCGTAGGGGATCTTCGTTTTCGTAATGGGTCTTCGTTTTCGTACGGGGGTCTTAGGTCTTCGTTTTCGTACCTACCTAAAACAATGATACCAAATCATTGTTTTATTGAAACAATCATTGATGTTCTAATTCATTTCTGATGATAAAAACAAGCTAATTGATAGAGTTACTACTTTCGGCATTATGAAATGCTAAAGAATAATCTAATTGTTCAGAAAGTGCCTTCTAATCTTTCTTAAAGAAATTTCAGATGCCGCCATTTTGAATGAACTCAGTAACCTGGCCTCATACTCAAATCCATAACGCGCCAGACAAACCTTCAATATCAGCACATCTCGTACAATATCTCATACGCCAGATCGTCGAAAATAGTCAGGTTTGCCTGGTTCAGTTACAGAAATTTTCGTCGATCGAAGCTGTCTTCACGTAAATTATCAATATCTGGCATGCTAGATATGGGCACCGGTCGTGTGTAAGCCTTGCGGACCTAAGTCTTGCGTATATTCCCAAGCCAACTTTCTTCTTCACCTCCGCAATATTTCATCTACTTTTTGATATCAGCTATTAAAATTTATTCATGCACTGTATCCATAGATAAACTTGAAAGTCTTCCCCCATCGATAACTTGGTGAGCTCAGGCGGTTTCTTTGCTGACGACATAAAGGCGGAAATCTTCGTAATTAGTTCGGCTCTACGCCAAAGAGAGGCTACACGTCGGGAATGTACGATCTGAAACGAGCTGCTTCAGGAACTTTTCGTCGTACGAGTCGGTGGAATTGCCTAACTGACAATTGAAGAAATTTGCCTCTAGTGAAAGAAGATGACAGAATACTACGATATTTTAGAAGTTCCAAAGAGTGCAAGCGAACAAGAAATCAAGAAGGCGTAAGTATTTGTGGTTGTTTTGTGAACTTGCACATCAATCTTGCCTCTCGCAGTACGTATCATAAAACGGAAGCGACTTTCGAACTTGCTCTGCCTGCCCGTTTCTGTTCAACTTTAGAAGGAACCAGATCGTTCCTTATTTCTTTTTCTCTTGAAAGATCGCGTGATATGTTTCTTCGTGTTAAAAGATGGATACATCAACTTAAAATGTTCCTTAAATAAGCTAAATTCTTTCTTGCTTGTTGTGCTAACGGAAATAGTGACATTCAGTTTGACTGTGTGTTTATCCAATATAGCTCTTTACCTTGCTCAGTTTGCTGCAGTATTCAGGTGTTCTCACACTTTGAAACAATTTCTTTAGCTTGAAGTACACACTCAGTGTTTGTTTTTCGGCCTTGATATCGACGAAGTTACACGTTATATTTCGTGCCGGGTCGGTTTGTTTGTCCCATGCTTCAAAGATTTCATATAATAATAATATAATAACAAGTCAGCCTAAGCCTTTTCACTGTAATTTTGTGAGCTTAATCTGAGGGATTTAATTAGACAATAATCCTCTCTTGGGAAACATCTATTCTTGACATTTGATGTATGATTGCCAAAAAACAACAACAAAACAAATGCGGAGTAATTACACTTCTCTAGGGATACTTACAACATACACATACAGAAAATACGTGAGACATTTCCAGATTTGCGAGTCTGCCAGATTTTCTTTGCAAAAAATTAAATTTGTTCCAAGACATTAATGATTCTGGCAAACTATTTCTAGCGTAATCAAATCCGCCTAGAATGAAAATGTGTTTCCAGCAAAAGCTGTTAAATGTATGCTAATTTACATTGGAATGAAACTGAACTTCTTGCACGATTGTTACTTATTTTCTACAATGTTATAGGTATCGCAAATTAGCTCTTAAGTGGCATCCCGATAAAAATCCAGACAACAAGGAAGAGGCAGAAGAAAAATTCAAATTGATATCAGAGGCGTATGATGTTCTATCAGACAGTAAGTTTTTTTGATGTTTACACATTTTGAAGTCATGGGAGAAAACAAAACAAGCCCCTTGTAAGGTGATTTGGTTCTATCGAATGAGTTGATAACGTACATTGGTCGCCAGAAAGAGTTTCTAAAGCGGATGTTTCAAGCATTAGTCCTTCATTAGAGTGAAAGAAAACTCTCTGTGGTGGCTAGTTTACATTAATTTATCAATTCAGGTGAAAGAAAGAAATTATCCTGTAATACCCTTTATTATCACAGTGTGGTAGTTTCTTTAGAAACTCACCCCTTTTATTCAAACTCCTTGTAAGACTGATAGCAAGAAAGATGATGCTCTTGATAAACAGGAAAGTTAGGGGTAAAGTTATATGGATACACTCAGAGAGACAGCATTTTTGCACAGTAGTTAAGGTTGCCAGGTACCATTTTCATTTAACTATCTTCAGCAATTATTGAGATCATCTGAGGAAATTTCTGCTCTGTGATCTATTTTGGTTGCTTTCCCCCTATTAGTTGTTTGTTCTGAGATCAATGTTTTGTTTGATTGGTTATGCAGTCACGTATGTAGAGAATCAATTCACAGATAGCAGTGATTGGTGGATTTCTATGATAATGCATTCCATATGGATACTCCAGCTTTATCTCATAGTTAAGGGACTGTAGAGACTTGTTTGAATACTCACATCAAATAGAACTTCTGGCAAACACTGACAAACATTTCAAGTTCAGTTATCATTTACACTCCCTTTACCCAATCGCTATACTTTGCATGAAATCTTACTTTCAGAAAGGTATCTTTATAAAATTTTCTTTTTTCAATTATGGTGCAGTTTTTAATTCTTTTCTGAGTTAAGCACTAAGGGATATTTCACCAAAAAACTTTTCCCAAGCCTTAGTTTAGCAAGATCCTCTGTATCTCTTTATTCATTTTTATCGTCCATTTGTTTTATAACAGAAGAAAAAAGAAGAACTTATGACAAGCATGGCAAGGAAGGTTTAGCAGGTGGTTAGTTCTCATAATTTATAAAACACTTTTGTATAGACAACCTTCATATACAGGGAGAGATGTAGCACAATTTCCTACCAACAATTCTTGGCCTTAGGTCCTTTTGACACCTTAGAACAAAACACACAAAAGATGAACAGTTGTTCTGATTGCTGCCTGGAGATTAACTGCCATCCTACTGCATATGGAGGTTGGAAATTTTATGAATGTGGAAGTGTTTAATTAAATTAAGACAGCACAGACTTCTTGCAACTTAAACCCACTGTAGCTTGAATATTAGGCTAGCCTGAATCAAAACCCATTTCCCCTGAGGTTTGTTGCACAGTTAAACCCCAATAAATCAAGCTTTCAGAAAACTCAATAATCTTGACAACCGAAAGGTTTAGGTTTTTTCTTTGTACATGTTGACGATTTTATTTTTGGCTCAATTTGACACTCAACTCGAGCTCTCTTGTCAAAGTGAACCACAGAATTTTTTCCAGAGATGTTGTAACACGAAAGTACTGTTTACTACACATTCTCTCTGTAGTGAACAATGATCAATCATGCCAGGTAAACAGCCTTTCCCTCATTGTTAAATATATCTAGTCATCTCGTTCTATCCCCTTGGAAGCTCAGAATGTATATATTTTTCTTGTTGATTCAAGTTACAGGAAACCAGCCTCATAATAAATTGTCCCAGAACTAAAAGTTAACATTGTTGCATGATATTTTTCTGTAACTTTTTCATACCAAGGTGGTGGAGGAGGAAGGCCGAGTGGTGGAGGATTTAGCGATTTCCACACTTTCCATTTCCGTGATCCAGATGAGATATTTAGGTAATGACTTGGATTTCTAAATGTCCCCTTTGTGAAAACCATTGTGTGACCAGCAAGAATGCACTCTCATTATGCCATTATACCTGGTTAGAATGTTGTGTGACCATACGACATGTATGGAATGGTATTGTGTGAAATTCTTGTGTGATAATTTGTTGTTTAAGAAATAGAAAAACATTAAAATACAAAGGTAACTGTGCATCTCTGATAGTGTAGTAGAGATGATAAGGGTTGATGGTGAACTTGAAACATACTACAAGAAATGATAACTGTTAAGTACAATGCATTTTAGCAAGCCACCCCCACAAAGTCCTCATTTTGCACCCCCTGACCCCTCAAATCTGCTATACATCATAAATATCGTAACCCCCTTAACTCCTAAGAGTGACTAATATCTAATTTCTCCCTACATCATCAACTCTGAATCAAGCATTAAGGTCATGAGAATAAGAAAGTGATCACTGAGTAAAGACAGTGTTAAACAGATTCTCCTTGTCTTCACCATAGGAAATTTATAGAGAATAGAATGGAAAATATGAATACTGATGAACATTAGGTTGTAGAGGATTAAATTGATCCTCTGATCATACTGTATTATTTCAGTCTCTGGCTGTAAACCTTTTATGTGGCCAATTTGTTGCATGGTGGTTTTATCACTATTCCAGTTTAAAAACCACCCTTCAGTTAAATGGTGTCATGAATACCTGAATACCTATCATAATTATGAATACCTGTAATGTGTCTGAACATTTACAATCCCTTCGAATGTTGTCTTTATGTTACATACATGAACATTCTTCAGTTACCAGTAGTTTCCAGTTTCTGAAATTAGTAGTACCATGACTCCTACTTATTAATTACTCTGAAACTAAGTGATTTTTTTAAAATCAATTCTTTAATTTAAAAACTAATTTGTATTTGCTTCATTTAACAGAGATTTCTTCCGGAATGATTCATCCATTTTTGAAGAGTTCTTTGGTAAGTTTTCAAGCATCATTGTTTGTTCCTTTGGAATCTGTTCTCCTCTCCTAGAAAAAAATTGGAAAATAAAGTATTGCAGAGGAAATTTTATTGTACCATCAATAATTTAGTCTAATTTTATATTATCTGTAATCCACTTGTATGTGTAGTTTTACAGCAAAACTTATTGTTGTATTTTGTTGGCATGTTATTTAAACTTCCTTGAAATATCAAACTAATTACAATGTAAATTTTTCCTAATATGTTTTTTTTTCTGAACACTACAACCATTTACTCATATCCTGGACATGGGTTTCAAATTATTAACCAAAGGTTTTATCATAGTAACAAGTTTGAACTCCAGAGAATGAGTTGATTGCTCAGTTTGTTGAAGTGTCAGTCACTGCTGCCAACAACAGTCCTTTTTTCAAGATGATTTTTACATAGCCAATCAGGCAACATGATTATCTCAAGGATCTATTATTTTCAGAAGTTTCAGATCAGGAGCTCCCTGACCCATGATCGCTAGATCACACATGCAGTAGATGAAAAAACTGACAAAATAATCTTCTATGGGCAGGGATTCATTTTTTTCTCCTAGCTATTATATGATATTGTCAGACCAATTTTTAGTATTGACCCTTTACACCCTATCATCAGTATGCATATTCTCCATACTGTTCTCTATACATTTCCTGTGGTACTGGCTAAGAGAATTTGTTTAACAATCAAGAACTTCTTTAGTTGGTGATCATTTCCTTTATTCCCATGACCTCAATGTTTGTTTTAGGGGTGATATTGATAGGGGAAAATTGGTTACTAATCACTCTTAAGGGTTAAAGGATTAATACAATTGTACAAAATGTGCAAGTTGTCCTGCCCTTTTTCAGGGAAAAACATGAATTTTATACAGTCCTCTACTCACCCATTTGGTGTGTAATATTTCTTTTTCTGTTCCTGGATGTACATGTACTGCTTGATGTGTACTTGCAAGTACTACCACAACAAGGAAGGAGGAAGGGATGATGAGAAAGAGAAATCTAGGAATTAAAGTTTACTTCTAAAGTGTAATGTAGAGTTAATTCCTGCAAATGTCTCATTTATTTTTGTTTAAGAATTTTCCCCTTGTAGATGTAATTTTCCAAAGGTGTGCACCTTAAATCTTTTTCTTATCAATATTATTTTTATTTCTTGTGATAAATCAGGGAGAAACAGAAGCAGAAATCAAAACAGGATGAGACCGAGAGACCCTTTTGCAGGCATCTCCACTTTCGGCTCAAGTTTTGGGTTTAGTGATGGATTTGGCAGCGATCCTTTTGGATCAAACAGGTATATGATGAATACCTAAATGTTCTAAAATTATTCTGGCTACTATTGCCATAAGTGAGAAATGGCTGACCACACTGGTCCATTCAGAAAGAGTATATTTATTAGTATTAACCCTTTTGATCCCAAGATCCAATTATTAATTCTCTTCTCTGGTTGCTACACATTTCCCTGTTAATTAATGTAGTTACAAGAATTTGGTGTTAGATCAAGATAACAACAGATTCTCACTACCTGTTTGCTGATTAATGTAAGGATATTATAGGGAGAAGTTACATCCTTATCAATTCTGGGAGTTAAATGGTTAACTATTCAGTTCACTCTCCACTGGGCCTCTGCATCTTTTTGTCTCATCAGCTCTTTCTCTTATCTTACATAGACAGAAATGCTCAACATTTATTGTTTCAATTTACTGGACTGGAAGTTCTTACATGCACTAAGGACAAAGTAGTTAAAAGATTAAAAAGAAAAACTTCCCTTTATCCGATGCAATCTGGTCTGTGAGAAACTAACACTTAAGCCTTTGATAATATGCGATGTCCAGTGCTTTAAGTTGTGACCATTTTGGTTGCTGTGGCAACTTGAAAAACCATTATGGAACTGAATTTGCAGCGTAGGTTGCCATTTGGTGACCCATGTTGGCTGTTTTGTAACAAGTTAACACATTTTCATGAAACAAATAATGTAGATTCCATATTGGCCTGTCTGTTTGGTGATTGATTCAAAATGGTTTGCACAAAAAAAACATGAAATCTTTATAAAATTCAGGTTTAAAAACATGAAATCTTTTATCTTTTGTTGTTTTTATCTCATGATATCAATACTGTTCCTTTCTTTTCTTTCATTGTAGCTTTTCATCTTTTCAAAGTTTTGGTGGAGGTGGTGGATTTGGTGGTGGATTTGGTGGTGGAGGTCAGTTTTGTTGTATTTTGATTTCAACTCAAGAGAGCTTAATGTGCAAGACCATCAACCTTTCATTCTAAAGAGTGATTAGCAACTATTTTCTCCCTATGATAACTCCCCTGAATCATGCATTTGAGTAAGAAGAATAAAGGAAATGATCACTAAATAAAGAAGCTATTGATTGTTAAGCAAATTCTCCTTGTTGGCACTAAAGGAAAAATAAGGAGAACAGTATAGAGATTTTGTTTACTGATGTTATGGTGTAAAGGGTTAAAAAACCATACTGTTATATGCAACGTTGTTTAGGTTATCATACCTAACAATAATAATCAATAAGGGACTTGTCAGAAATTAGCAGGGGGGGAGGGGGGTGGAAACAGAGGGGGGGTCACAACTTTTTGAGCCTCAGAAAAGGGAGGGGTCATGAAAAATGGGCAGTTAAAAGGGGGAGGGTCATGCAAATATATGCCCATGATCATGTAGAGGTTCACCCACAGAAGAAAAAGGAAGTTCTTTATTTGGCAAAAAAAGAGAAAAATACAACGGTCAAAAATGTATGTATGTAGCATGACAAAGAACAGATTAGAAATATATTTTGAGTTTTCATAATACTGATGCACTCTAGTGTATTGCAAGAACTAGATTTTATCATTTATACAAGAGGGGGAGGGTCATGATATTTTAGGCCAAGCTCAAGGGGAGGGTTAGCAAATTTCACTCCCATTGCAGGGATGGGTCACCTAATTTCCGAACCCAAATTTAAAATTCCCACCCCCCCCCTCCCCCCCTGCTAATTTCTGACAAGTCCCTAATAATCATAACCTTTGAAAGCGGCTCACGGAACTTGGAATTTCTTGATTTTTTTCGATATTGATTTTCCTGTGCCTGAAAAAAGTACTTTTTGGGAAATTATAGCCTGTTAGCAGGTCTTTGTCAACAGCCCTTCAACAAGAGTTTTTATTCATCCACTGGAAAGTATGAGGTCTTTAGCAATGCAAGCCCTTAAGAGGTATGGCACTGCAAGTGGAAAAAGGCGCACTCTGCAATGCTGATAATAAGGGCCGGTTCACAAGCTATGGAAATTGTGGAGCAGGTTCTGAATAGCTGTTCTTTTTCACATGAAACTTCCAAATGTTGACTTCAAATCAATCTTCCCAGCATAGAAAATTTATTAGTGAGATTGTTGAGGAGATTTCTAAAGTGCTGGAATTGTTTTGCTTATGTTGCCACCCTTATTTCTGATTTCATGGGAATAACATATCTTACCCATGTCTTGCTTAAAAGGGCCTTCACTGACCACTGTTAACTAAAGAAAAATCTGCAAGTGTCAACTGACTTCCCTATGCTTTGTAAGCCAGCTTTGATGATCCATAGGCCTTTATTTGTTGACACAGTATAATTGACATGGTTTGGAGAGTTGTACTGAGTTCATACAGGTTCTTTATTTTCCATGAGCAACCAGACTGACCATTTTCAAACAAATGCACCTTTTTTAATCTCTTCAAAGCATTGCCATGTGTTTGGTGCAAGTTTAAAAGTATCTTTTGGGTTTCAAAGTTTGATCCTATTTTAGCCTTCCCAAGAAACTTTATAATTATTGTAGCTTAGCACCCTTAAACATTAAAAAGTATTTCTGAAGTTGGGATGTGGAGGTGTGTTGGCCTCATGGTTAGTGCGCTTAACTCCGGATCAAGTGGTCCGGGTTCAAGCCCTGGCTGGGGTTATTGTGTTGTGTTCTTAGCAAGACACTTTACTCTCACAGTGCTTCTCTTCACCCAGGTGTGGGTACCAGCAAATATGCTGGGAGTAATCCTGTGATGGACTAGCATCCCGTCCAGGGGGGAGTAGCAATACTCTTAGCCGCTTCATACTAAAGGAAACTGGAGTTAAGCACCGGCCCCATGGGCTACTTGGGCTGCTTTACTTTTTTTTTTTTCTGAAGTTGGAATACAGATGTTTCTTCAGGTATTTCTCTGTCTTTTTCTACCTTTTCAGTAATATACATTAATTTTTATAGATATAATGCTGCACAGTAAAGACACATGTATCAAATTTTAATTGATATATGACAGTTAGATGTATACTCAATGATGGTGTTTTTTATTTTCTTCTTTCAGGAAATTTTAAATCCACCTCCACATCAACAAAAGTTGTTAATGGAAAAACTATCACAACAAAAAAGTAAGGACAGACTGAATTGTGTTGTCCATTAGTTGAACAAATCTTTAAATACTGTATTTCCTGGAATAAGCGGCCATGCTCTAATAAGCACCCTCCCCCAAACAAAAGTACCCACCCACCTACTTGTAGGCCATAGTGCCAAACAAGCACCCTCTTGAATAAGGCCACCCCCTCTGTCTCTCACTTTCTTTGATAGTGGGGATACAAGAAGAATTTAGTTTAATTTAATTTTAATTTATTGAAAGAAAGAAACTGTTTTTATTTCCACTCTATGAGTAACATTTCAATCTTCAATTACAGTTGAATTAGTACATGAGAAAAGTTTCTTTTCTGTTTAACAGTGAGAGTAATTTCTATCTCCATGTGTTTGCAGAGATCCTTTATGTGTGTTATCTGTTCTTTAAAATTATGTCTTATTGCTGTGCAAACTAAATAAGTGCCCCCTCAATTAAGCATCCTCCTTCCAATACAAGCCCCTCCTTTCAGGCAACATAAATAAGGGCATTGGTGCTTATTTAAGGGGAATGTAATAATTAATGATTTTCCTTGACTGAGAAGTTGAGGAGATAATTGGGGAGTGTAATATTTCTTGATACTGTACAATTATTTGCCATGTTTGGAGAGGGGGAATACCATGGAGATTTAATACACCACTTTGAACAAAAAGGATTGATGAGGATGATGGAGATGATTGCTTGCATGTATGTTTGTGAGGGTGACTCAGCTAGTTAACAAGCCAACTGGAAAGGTTTTTTAACCCTGTAACTCTTAGAAGTGATTAACATTTAACTTCTTCCTCAAATATCCATACATTACCCAGAAAGCAGGTAAGGAGAATACTCAAACTTATCAGATAGTTGTTATCTTCATCAAACACCAAATTCTCGTAACCAATTTACAGGGAATTTTGTAGTAGCTGAAGGAGAGCATCAACCATCAGAGCTTGAGAATTAAAAAGGGTTGATTGAAGCCATTTCATTCCACTGTAAGGCCTCTCTAACTGGTGTGTGTAAATAATTTTTCTTTTTCTTTTTCTTTTAACCCCTGATTCTGGTGAGCTTGATTTTGACTGACACTTTGGCCAATACCTCTATTACTTGTCAAACTAACAGTTTTACAGGAAAACTTAAAATAGAAACACGTTTCTTTTCTTTCTTCGACAGAACTGTTGAAAATGGAAAAGAAACTGTTGAAGAATGGGAAGACAACATCTTAAAGAGAAGAGTGGTGGATGGAACTTTACAGCTTACAAACTGAGACATGTTTGCTTAATACGAGCGTTAACTATCAGAGTTATGAAACAGGAGCCGCTGAGAATTTTTTTTTCGCTGCATAGAGTAGAATGACAAGCGATAAAATAAATACCCTTATGTCCATTTAAGTTATTAAACGTATTGTGAAATATTTTTGTATGGAAAATGGTAGCATGCAAGGTAACGAATCTGTCAAAATGTGCTTTATGTTTCTAAACTAGTACTTTTACTCGCATAGATGTATCTGAACAGCTGCCTAATTTTGAGTCGTTCAATTGAAAGCTTATCGTGTAGTACTGTCTGTGAGAGCCCTAATTTGGTTTTTTGGTCGTGGTTCTCTTTGTAGGAAATGAGTACTTGGTTGAAATGACAATGTTCATGGCATTTTGAGGATAATTTAGCTCAGCTGAGTAGTATACAATTAGCGCTTTTATTAAGTAGCTAATTTTGCTTATAAAAGGAGCAATCAGTATCCGTAGTCAGGTATACGACTCTCTCCTCTGTCAAACTGTATTTGAACATTACAATATTGAATACACTACATCGTTGTGTTACTCTCGATATATATTTTTAACTGCCTTGTATCCTTTGGAAAACGCTTCAATTCCCACAAACCAAGCGCGCTCACATGCTAGGCGAAAATAGCAAATAAGAACCCCCTCCCATTTAATCACCCCTCCCCCAAAACCAGCTCCCATCATTACTTCATTAACAACGTTAAAACCTTATCATCACTGTCCAGTTTTCATAGCAGTCTCAATTAGACCTTGTTGGAGGATAAACACACGGCTGACGTCATACAAAAATTGTGTTTTAGTTAGTGTACTGAATTATGTGAAGGTTACCTAAGTAGTCCGATCGTCTTGGTGCAGGAGAGGGAGGGAGGGGGGGGGGGTGTTGGGAGGTCTTGGTGACAGCGACTGATGTTTTGGCAACCTGACTGAAAGTCATCATAGGGTTCAAGAGGTCGAACAGCACCAAAATTTCGTGATAAGTTAGAAATGGCAGACGATTAAATCGCGAAAGTTTCTCAGAACTTAGACTTTGATTTTAAGTACGGTAAATGGCCTAATGCATTTTGGTTGACGTTAAGACTGAAAACAAAAGAGAACAGGGACAGCAACAACTATTTTAGGAGCATTCAAAGTGTTTTTGAAAGTAACACAAACTGACTCGACATCCTGCAAAACCCTGATGCGCAATTTCTAGTTCTCGAAAATGTCGAAAGTAAAGGGAGAGTTTCCTCTTCTGACCTTGTTCAAACAGTGCGCGCGTTTTAACAGAGAAACGCGCGCACTATGACGTTTTAAACGTGCGCTACCATGACAATGAGAAAAAGACAGTCGATAAACATTTGATCAGGTTGAGATTTATGCCGTGCCGCAGAGATCAGTTCCGTTAGCGTAAGGACATTAGATTGAGATTTACAGAAGTGGCGTGATCTCAAATTTTTGTTTAATCTAGGGAGTTTTAGATCTTCCTTGGAATCAGCCTTGAACAGAAATAACAACTTTGGTAAAACATTGAAGAAAATTTTAGACTCAGTAAAGCGCGTTACGACTTAAGTCTGGGTGAGTAGAAACATGTTGTTGCTAGTTTTGTTTATTTTCAAAGTGCGCTATTTTCCACCATTTGACTGCAAGCAGCCTCTCCTTTTCGTTGAAGTCCGTCGCGTGAGTAAGAAAAATTATTGAGGAAATAAAAGAAAATTGAGGTTAGCGCCGCGCTTACATCAATTTTTGTTTTCAATGATTTTTTTCCGACTCGCGCGAAAAGGAGGGACTGCTCGTGTTTTACGAACCATCGTCGTCGCATGGAGAAAGTATACCTTTTTTCCATTTTTATCAAATCAAAGAAACACACTCTTTTCTTGGTGAAATATTGTGTTTCATTACCCTCAGTTTTCCTCTCTCGAGCGAACATCCATCAATCTTAGAAAACCGAGTTGATTCAGTCGCTTCAACAAAACGAACCGTCTAAACCTCGCGAGCTTGGCTTTAACTTGGATATGCTTCCCCTTTGAAATATTTTAAAAGGGCATCCTTCCGCTCGAAGCTTCTCTTTCAGCATGGTAACAGGGCTTAGTCTTGTAAAAGCAATCCGATGTACTTTAGACCGCGTTTGGTTAGCTCATGTTGTGGAGCGCCGAACTGCTGTGCGGGAGGTCGAGAATTCAAGCCCCAGATCGGACCAACACACAGGGTCTTAAAATAACTGAGGAGAACGTGCTGCCTTCGATATGACATCTGCAAATGATCAGACATTGTAGTCGTTTCAACTAGACGGTGAAATCGTAAGCCCCGTCTCCTCCATCTCCTCTGAATCGGTTGCCAAACGAACGCTAACGAAACCCATGCCCTTCTTGCAAAGAGTAGAGAGGCAAGCTCCCAGTGTTGTAGTCTGGCCTTAAAGATCCTACATAAGTATTTTCCATTTAGAAAGAAGTGGGGCTAAAGTGGAAGTGGAAGGAGAAAAAAAACTGTTTTCTTCGCTTATGCTTTATTTAGACATGTGGTACGACTCACTCAAGGACAACGAGCCCTTAGAGCTCTCTCAAGTATGCTTGGCTCTTTCATATCAGCCCCATTTCCAGTACTGCGCTTGGAATGATTCAACAGAACATGTCAACTACTCACTTGCGCATGTACCTTACATGGCCAATTACCTAGAAGACGAGCAAACATCTTTTACAGCTCAACAGCAACAGCTGGATTCGAACACAAATTTGAGCTGCAGTCCTGAGGTAAGTCAAAACAAAAACCTCCAACCCCACCCTACGTGATAAATAATTACTAATCCCTAATGCGAAAATCCAGAATAAAGGCCAACTTTACAATCGGCGGAAATCACACCCCTTGTCATTTCCACCTCTGTTGTAACAGAGTACAAAGATGACGATCCTATTTGCGGCAATCACTATATTAGGTGGTAAAAATATATCTAACTATCTGAGATCGCAAGGTTTTGAATGGAAAAATACAGATAGAACAAAAGTATTAATAGTTCTCGGCTACCATTCTCGGAAAACAGTTTTCCTTTTTGATAGACATTCGAAAGATTTCGATGCCATTTACTAAAATGTATTAAGCAATTATTCCGCGAGAGCGCGTTGGATATGAGTTGATAGTTAGCCAAGCGCGAGTGGAATAATTTTTTTATAAAAACGCCCCAAAATATAGATAAATCTTCCCAACTTTATTTTGTAAGAACAAACGGAATTTTACGATGTACAAAAACACTTCCGGTTTAACTAGTCTTCATGCGCATACATGGTTTAATGGCTCATAACCCATGGTGGCTGAGCCAATGAAAACCCTTGAACTGCATTATCCAATGATCCAGTTTTTAATAATCAAGATTAGTCAGCTCGTATCAGTCTTCGGAATTTGAGTTTGTAAACGCCTTATTTTTTAATTTGACATAGGGAAAGAATGCGCTAGTTACCAAAATTCATATTCTTTGTTCCGAAAATGAGATGCTAAACGAGAAAATAGAAGAACAAAAACGTCGAAACAGATTACTTCAGCAGCACATTGACGAAGTGCAAGAGCAGTTGAACGCGGTTAAACAAAACACCGCTAAACTCCGCAATGAATGCCAATCTTTGGATGAAACATTTGAAAGTATCTCCAAGCACCTCGACCAAGAGACAAGAGAATTGACCGCGGCCGTGGCGAAAAAGAGAAGCAGGATTTCAGAGTTTAAAGTTGATGCTGAGTTGGTGGGGACTCTGCGAGAGGAGAAAGACAGATCTGTTTCGGAAATCGTGCGCCTCCGTAAGGACGTCATGGATGCTGGCATAGACGTTAATAATCTGACGGTTAAATTCCAATATGAACTTGGGAAAATGGTTATATTTCCCTTCTGGAAACTGGAAGGGGAAATTGATAAAGTTCTCCAAAGATGTGTCGAAAATTCCACTCTTAAAGAAAGCAGCAGTGAGCAAGTTGTCGATGTTGGGAACGGTCTCTACCATCACGGAAAGGTGAAGTGTCTGTTCAGGATATAAGATGATTTGGTTTTATCAACTGAGTTGATAATATAAATCGGCCACCGTAAAGAGTTTCTAAAGCTATAGCGTCAGCCCCTGTTAGAGCGAATGACAAAGGGCTATTTAAGCGTGGCCACTTAACATTATCAAATCAGTTGATAAAATCAAATCATCTTGTAATACCCTTTCCCACACAGCAACGCAGTTTTCTTCTTTGTTCATAATATGGATCCTTTGACTTAATGTCATCCTGTTTCAAAGGATTTCAATGAAATGGCTCGTGAGACTTTCCGTAGGTCTGTAAATTTTTACTTAGCCTGTACAATTTGCGTGTGCCTTCATGACCAAACCAGCTGCTTTAAGTAAGTGTTTTGCGGATAAAATCATTCACAGACCAATGGATTTTTTTAATTCTCTTGGTCTTGATCTGATGTAAACAAAGACTACGCAACTTTTGTGCTAAATGCTTCTCAAAGCCAACTGTTATTGAATGTTATTAACGGCATGATCGATCGAGCTCGCGCCCTTTAATTTTCAAATTTAAGACACTTATTGTGAGGTTGCATAAAAGCGTAAAAGTGCACGCGACAACCTCTAAGGATGCTGTGGGTAATTCCTTTACCTCAGTAATTTGGGAAATTCTAAGAAAACGTCACCGGATTTATATCCAAGAAAAGAGCGGCTTAGAACATTTTACAGAAATTGATTCTTTACTTTGATTCATCTTGTTATTTCATCAACAGTCTGCGACAGGTTCCGAAGAAAACTCAGTGCAAAATTCTGAAGATAAATCAAATAGAGACTCAAAAGAAGAATCAGAAGAAATCTCGGCGGAAAATTCAGAAAATAATCAGTTGCAGCAGTGCTCAAAAGAGAACTTAAACGATAACTGTGGGGACAGCTTCAGAACCGATGAGAGCTCAGATACATCACAAATAACCGTCTTAAAAGTACACATGCTGGGGAAGGGTGATAGCTCCGTCGACAGAAGTTCAACACTTACCAATACTGTTTCAATCCAGTCCACTTTTTCATCTTCCCATGAAGGTTGTGCGGAAAATGGCTGCGAATTTGTCGAGGATTTGTCATTTTCCCACAAAGATGCACCAAAGAAGGTACGATTCCGCACGTGATGAAGCTATCAGCGCTTTAAAGGATGTTGGGTCTCTAGCACTTATTAAATATTAAAGGACAGTTTATGTGATAGCCACTTACAAGTCACATTTAGCGCGCTTGAGTTGAGCATGGCTATATTTGCTGCTTTGATACGTCCTCGACTGATAATGCCTGCCCAACAATATCCGTGCGGCACGCTTACCTGCAAAAGTAAGAAGAGAAGTCGCAATAACATAGTCGACTTCTGGAGGCTGCTATCTGCTCATGTTTGGTTCTCTCGTCATTCTACTTGAAAAAATGACTTGAGACAACAAGCATTCCCTCCTTTTCGGTGAAATCCGCCGTGAAACTCAAAACAATTCAGCGAAAATTGATGTTAGTGCGCCGTGTGGAACTCTGAAATGAAGCGCCTCACTCCCAAAATTCAGCTCGACGCGCCCAAACTTTTATTCCTTACTGAATTTTTTGACTCGTACGACGAATTTTGCCGAAAATTAGTGACTGCTCGTATTATAATACAATTTTGAACCGTTTTAACAAAACAACACCGAATGTATCGCGTATTACCCGGCCTAGGAATGAAAATATTAAATGGAATCTCTCAGTAGAACCAAAGTTGGCATTAACATTTGATACGAATTCAAAGTCCTCTTTTGATATTTGCTCAGCCCTTTGACTACTTAGAGTGACTGGCTTTTCATTCCTTCCTGCAGTATGGAGAATATGAATACTAACATTGGAGTATAAAGGGTTAATTAAGATTATTGTAGCGTGTTCCAGGCGTTCAGTTAGTAAAACAAAGTGCGATAGTAAATAGCGCTATACTGGTGAAGAGTAAAAAAACGAGTAAAGGTTGGGTCGAGTCACGTGACGAACCCGACCCGACCCAAACCTCGCTCGCTTTTTCACTCCTCTGCTACTGTTCTGCCGTCTGCTATTTCGTTCCGTTTTATCAACTGAAGGCGTAAAACACGTCACAAGAGTCCTAATAAGATGGTCGTCAACTTCAAAGTTGTAACATGTTATTTTTTTTCTCTCTTTTGCAGAACCTCAAATCCAGTCGCCTTGCTCGTAAGTTACGGTTCTTGCGTTGTGTCCCAAAACGAAATGAGGAAAACTGAATCGTATCTTGACGAAGTTTTTTCAAAGATGTCTTAATTGTAATTTATCCTTTCTCAGTAAATATTTCAGTATTCAAAGCGAATCGGAGGTGTTTCAGAAAGTTGCCTGTGAACTTACTTTACGCATTAAACAGTAATTCAAAGAAAAACATGGGTGCATAAATGTTATTTTGTTTACTTATTTCATTTTACTAGTTATTGTCGAGCGCAAGCAGTGCTATCACTACAGTCACAGTCGTACGGATCAAAAACTCGGGTTGTTCGTGCCCAGTTTCACTCGGTTGTATTTGAGCAGTTATCAATTGCGTGTCCAAAGTAATCCTGAATGGTTTTGGTTTTACTTAACTTTGCTCTGTGATTGGTCCAGAAAACTCGCACCATCCTCTCAACCAATCAGATGCAAAATTTAAAACTTAAATCCCAGCCTGGTCACTTGCGTTTTCCCGCGCTTCAAGCAGTTTGGTTGTTTTTACGTTGAGTGCTCGCTCATTTGCTAATCATAATGTAAACCTTTGCTCTGGGATTACTTTGGTTCTGACCCGAGAAATGGGTTTAAATATTAATGTCGGAGCGACCAAAAACAAACTACTAGTCTAAGAGTTACTCCTTGGCAGTGATCCGTTTGACCTCCTCACACAAATGCACTTACGGTCAGGAAATATTTAACTCGGGGAGGGTGCAGTCAGTTCTAGCTTGTCAAGCTGTGTTGACTCACTCTCTGCTCGACGTCTTCGCTCTACGAGATCAAACTAATAAAATGATCACAAACACATAACATATAGAGAAGGGTTCACCGACTAACATTTATTCTTTCACTTGCCAGCTATGATTTATTAAACCACTGTTGCTCCTTTGATAACTTAACGAACTTTTAATTTCTACCAATTTACAAATCTACACAAGCTTTACAGTTAAACAAATAAATATAATTAACTCCACACCGACTTATTTTCTTTTCATCTGAGGAAACCATAAAAAGAAATATACAACCTATCTACAATAATCGATGCTAATTTAGTTTCTCTGGTCCACTACCAATCGAAAACAATTTCGGCAGCGTTTCAGCTCTATATCAGACTCAGACATAACAATTGACCGAACAAGGGTCGGTTTTCACACACAGAATAGAAAAAAAATCCCAGCTTAATTATACCCAGTCGGACTCAGGTTGACAGCACGGCGCATAATTAGAAGTGGAGCTGTTTCTCGAAGGTCCCATCAACTAAAAGGGGCTGAAGCCATTGTTTAAAATAAAAGTCTTAGAACTAGTAGTATGTCAGAGCTTTAAAAACCTGTCCATACCGCATTTCTATATCATTGTTGTTTAAATTTCAAAACTATTTATAAATCCATAGCAAAAAAAATCAATAAAAAAGCTTCTGAGGATCAGTATCTACCGGGACGTTCGACAAACGGATCCCTGGCCAGGATATTTCCAAACGTTTCGAGCATCTGAGAGAGTCACTTTGACATAAAGCAATTTTCGATTGAGTGTCAGAAGAAATCCAGAGTGCTTTGGTTTTGCTTAACTTCGCTCTGTGATTGGTCTAAAAAACTCACACCCCTCTCCCAACCAATCAGATTAAAAAGTAAAATCCATCACGGCTTGGTCACTCGCGTTTTCCCGCGCTATGAGCAGTTGGCTCGTTTTTACTTTGGTATTTATAAGTTCCTCGTGATAGTTGCTAATGGTATGCCACACCGAATGAGACAAAATATCAAAGCGACTAATAAATAAATCAAGTCACACAATTTACAATTAAGTTGCCTATAATAAGTATCAATTTGTTTGCTAACTAAATCATATTTTTTGCACTGCACATCAACTCTTCTCTCGTACAATTCATTGAATTGCAAAAAAAAATTGAACTTGACATTCGAAGCGCACGTAATTCGGACATTTAATTCATGAATAGCACGAGACAAGAGGTGATGTCAATTGCAAAAAAAAATGATTTAGTAAACAAACAAATTGATACTAATTACAAGCAACTTCATAGCAAAGAGTGTGACTTAATTTATTAATTAGTTGCGTTGATATTTTGTCACATTCGGCGTAGCATACAATGGTCTGATTGGCTGTTGTGATTACTTTGGGTTTTTTTTTATGGCACTCATTTGAGAAGCGCTTCAAAATAAAAAAGAGGCAAGAATTAACTAAACAGGAACAATGATGGCTAAGGATAACCAAACTGTGAGGTAAATTCCGTCATTTTTTCCACGAAGGAAAAGGAATTCTTGTTTCAAGTCATAGCTAAAGTCGCTACAGGCTTTGCTACCAATTCGCTGCAGTCTCTCTATTTCTAGCGCGAGTGATTGCTAATTGGTAGGAAGTGCTGCAAAATAGAAAAGAACAAAGACATTAAAACTATAGCAGTAAATCAACTCATTTGAGTGTACACGGCCTTATACTAGCCTTTCTTATTCTTTTAGACGAATCTTTATATGGATGGGTTTACCAAATCGAACCCAGTGAATTTAGGACATTGATATCTAGTGCCTACTCTGTTAAAAAATGATGTAATACTATTGTAATTAGCTCTAAAGGAGCCTAAACTTTAAAGCTGGGAAAACCTTGAAGTGATCATCTTGCCACTTACCCTTGAATCTCCCTCCAAGAAAGCTTTGGCCAAGGGATTCAACGGCCTTTCACTCCACGAAGATGTTACCAAGCGACCACTGCCGGCTGTCATGTAAACAGAAACTTCCATATCTAATAGGGCTTCTTGAGCCAACGTTTTCGGTATTCTTCGGGAACCAGAAATCGTTGATCGAAAGGCAGTCGAAAGAACCTCGGATACATTCGGTTCCCAACGAAATGGTGTACTTGCATCAGCACTGACCGCTGTTGAATCTTCTATGGTGGATCTGTCTAGATTCCTGGGATTGAAGGCCAGTGCTGATCTAAGAGAAAGGCTCCTGTTGTCAGAAGGGGTGCGTGTAAATCCCTGTGTTTTCGAAGTTGGTGATACCACTTGAACAGGGCGACTGTATGGTTCCTTACAGAGATTTTGTTGGCTTCTTGTTGCTCCCGTATCGGTAGGACTCATGCGTGATGCCGCTCTACTGCATGGTTGTCGTGACGAAGTTTGAACTTGACCCATCCCTTCTCCGAGCGTGTTTTGTGAAGCTGAACGATATGAGGCTTTTACTGGAGTAGGCATCACATATTGAGTTTGATTTACATGAGAATATTGTAAATTCACCGGATTCCGAAGAAAATCGTCACATGTGTGATTTGCTTCGACGCTCGGAGCGATATTTGCTGGCAAATCTCGGTGACAATGCAGAGGATTTGAGTTAAACTGAATGGCAGATGGAGTTCTTGTACCTTGTTGGGACCGGTTCTGCAAAGCAACATGGTAATTTGTTGAAGACTGCCTCATGGGAGAGGGGGTGGCCAACCTCACCACTGGAGAGAACCTTGAGTACTGAGAACCCGATGAAGTTTGAGATGTTGGGTTAAATGACGACCTAAAGAGGTCACTTGCAATCTCCGCCGACCGACTTGTTGGTACTGACCGTGGTCTCGTTTGAAGGTTGCCAGGAGGGCCTTGAGTGTCTACTGGTGATTCCTCTGTAATTTCAAGCAAACCTAAATCTTCAAGCGCTTGACGCTCCAGCCGAGTAACGTCATCCTCTTCCTGCAAGACAATTTCGAAAAAAAGAGAAAAAATATATTTTAAGTACTTAGTAAGTACTTTTCTGAGGAGTTATACCTTGCAGATATGAGTCAAATTATTCAAAATAGATGTCTAAGGTTAGGTTAATTGAAACTGTTGAAAAAGTTAAATGCTTCATTCATCTTCAACTCATCTCTAAGATATGTCATGATTATCACTTTCAACCTCTTTTGTCTTTGGTAAGCAAGGTTCGCCGAACTAAAATAATTTTGGGTGAAAAATATGGCTCACATTCTAAAAAAGACAGAAGTTGTGTGACTAGGACATTTCGTCTGGGATTAAACGCGCAAACAGTTTGAAGTGATTCGGTCTATGAAAATTGAACATCGATACACCAAATTAGAAAGAGTTAAAAGCCGAAGGACACCGGAAGCCCTTAGAGAAACTCTACTTTTTACGGGGTATTAACTAAACTACGTGTTAAAAACTCTTTACGGTGGACAAATTACATTGTCAACTCAGTTGGTAAAACCAAGTTATCGAATGTTACATCAGATAGATTAGCTTACGTTCGATTTGCTTTGGCTGACCGCGGAAACTGGGTCTGATGCACGGTGCCGGGACATATTATCTTGTGAACTTGAGCGGAAAATATGGAACCGTGACAAATCAAATAACTTTAAAGTGCAGTCTAACGTGACTAACGAAGTTTCGAGGAACTTCAAAAATTAAAGAAAAGCAAAACAAAACGAGTTAAACTACTAACGGTGATTCCAGTTGCGTTTCTCCCCTTTCTAAGAATTTTCTTGCTTACACGTTTCCCAGTTTACTTTTCAGAGTAAGTGGTTGTTGCTATGGTTATTGTGATCTATTCTGTGATTGATGGATTTAGCTGAGTGGACTTGGTATGATTGGCTGCTTCAACTGTCCGATTACACCGTCCGACTACAACTGTACAGAGTGATTAGTGAAATATAAAACAGCTGATGCACCAATCACATTTGAGGAAATTGTAATGGTTATGATTAGAACGAAAATTCGAGAGGACGCCGAGAGCACTTACAAAAACTCGACTTTGTATGAGTTATTAACTAACCTTCGCGTTTGAAAAGGACTGGAAGTAAACACGCGGAAATATACGAGAATAGGAGTATCGCACCTTTTAAGAAACTGAAAATTCGAGCGTTTTACTTCCTTGTTTCACGATTGAATAAAATAAGTCAAGTTAAATCAATCCCACGTTATGAAGTTTCTACATCGATGAAAAAGTCAAAGCTCTTTGCTGCCATCAGAAATCAGCAATCTTGCGTTAGTTATAAAAGAAACGAAAAAGAGTTTTTGTGACAGCAAACGTATCTCTTTGAATCGCAATAACTTCCAGGGTGGAAGTCCAACGTCAGTTAAAAAAAGAATTATTCTTCTAATCCATCAAGGGCTTATCAGAAATCGGTTGTAATTTTTCTTGTTGTGGCAGGAAAGAACGGCACCTTCCTGTTGAATGAGACAAATCGCTTCCCGCCTTGGTTTTTGCATATGTCACCTTGAACTTGATCTGTTAATGTAACTGGATCGACGAAACAAGATGTTTTTTTTTGTCTGAGACTAACTCGACTAGACACAGCAAACATGATGAATGTCTCTGGTTGGTTGCGACAAGATCACGCTTCTGCCAAAATCACAAAGTTAAGCTACGCTTTATAAAGTAAAATTGCTTGCGTTGCCACAAGGAAATATTTCTTGAACTTTGCTTCTATCTCTGTCGCTTGGAATACTTTCTAAACCCATTGGGCCTGTTATTTACTCGAGGTCTAACCCAAACCGCAGTTTTACGCAAGCACTGGGTCTCAGGATTCTATTTAAGAGGGTTGACTCAACCCTCTTATATAATATTAATAATAAAATGAATTAATAATTACCGAAATGTCCTGCCAGATGAGGACAGGTTTGGGTCAAAAAGAGATTTTTTAGAATATAGTTTGGTTTAAGCAACAGCGAAACTTTGTGTAAAATAAATAAATAAACCATGACGTTTTATACTCAAAAAGCTACTTTCTCTGAAACTGTGACAACGTTTGTCTCTTTCAGCGCAACATGTTTTTGAATAATACGATTAAGTTCTTCTACAAAAATATTGAAAAACTCGAATTTAAAACCGTTTTGCGGAAGTTATAGTCACTAACCTGTAGAGGAGTTAACAACGGCTCATCTTGGATGTCAGACATCTGCTTGGGTTCTTGTAGTTCATCCCTTGGAAAACAGCTCGTATCTGTGTCGGGTTTGAAACTTGTAATTTCTACCTTGGAGCATCGTAGCCTGGACCCGAAGTCCTTTATGGCGCCATACCTCTGGTTCGTGGGCAAACTTTGCTGCACAGGGGTAGACAGAGGATTGCTTGTGAGATTCGTCATCATGGCTTCAGGTTGTCTCGTAGCGCGTTGCGGTGTAAAAATCTCGGACCAATTCGGTGGATGGTCTGAGCTAAACGACTCGGAAGGAATGGCAACGTGCCTTAATGGAGTCGCTAGAGTGTCGGATTGTGGATTCAATTCACTTAGGGGTTGCGTAGAAGAATTCGAGAGGATCAACCGACCAGGCACTTGTGCTAACGAGGCGTTTTGAACACCGGTTATTCGCTGCGGTGTACAAATATCCCCTTGAAGAGATGGCTGGTTCACTGGAGTCCGTAGTGGCTCGTGAAAAGCTTGCGAACGAGCAACCTGTGCTTCGAAATCCTGAGCACTAGTGGCTCGTTGCGGTGTGAAAATTTCTGCCCAACTTGGTTGATTTCTGGCAGAGACGAACCCAGCATTAGATACTTGTTCCCGTGCTGGTGTAAACAGAAGATTTCCACTTGCGGTTTGTATGTTTGGTTCGCAACTTGCTGTAGTAACCTTCACTGCTCCTGAACTGGCAATGGGTTTGTTTTCTGTCAAAAACAGACGAATAAACAAAAAAATTTGGTCTAGCACATTTTATTAAAAACAGATGAGAAACGTAAATCGAGACCCGGAAAAACAATTTTCCTGTTTCTTTTGTCTAAAGGCGCACAAATTGTGCCGGCGTTTGGCACTAAAACTAAAAGAAACGTTCAGACATTGATAGGGAAAAATGCAAATCATTCTCTCCAGAAATAATTATCAGATCTGTAACATTGATTCTGAACAACAAGAACATTTAATGAAATCACCAAAAGCCTTCAGGTACAAATACAATTTTAAAAGACATAACAACCTTAAAAAAGTCAAATTCAAAATATTTTCATCAATTCTGATGGGATAGAACACTAACACTTATCTAACTTTCCCCTTGTGGCGAATTATGCGATAGTGGGCGAGAACAAAAAAAATGGAGCTTGAAATCTTTTAGTAGCACGTGTTCGCGTGTAAATGAAAGAGACGATATAGATATTTATATTTGACGTGGGGGAGGGTAAGGATCACATGGATTTCACGGGAAGCGGAGGGTAGATCAGTCGTCACCAACAGAGTATTAAGAAGAACTATCGAAAATTGACTGCCAATTAACTGCTTGTTGGACAAAAGAGCGTCAATTAGCCAATTCTTATGGAATTCGTACAATTTAAAACTTACCAAGTTCTGGGTGTCCTTGCCTGCCAACCATTGTCGCCAATGGATCGTAAATGGTAAGTTTCTGTGAACTTGCAGCTGAGCCAGTAGTCACGTGTCTTGAGCCAGTTCTTGCGCCAAATACAGAAGTTCGTCCCATTCCCCGCGCTTTTGGGCTTGGCCGCGTAAGTCTGGGGCCCGTATAATATATGGACGTCCTTTTAGGTTCCGGCTGACGAAGGATCGAAAAAATTTGAAATAAAAAACATCGGATTGCAGATTAATCAGTCCAAATTTTGTTCTACATAGTCTCAGACGAACACCAGTCCAGAGAGCAGGAGGCTTCTCTCGTGGGACTCCCTTATAACTTGTGGTCAACTTATGTATTGATAAATCTGGAGTGAAGAGTGAGTCGTCTTAAGATCTTCGCGCATTGAAGCTAACCTTATTCATCTGGCCTTATATGCATTTGCCCCCTCCCCAGCCCCCCTGTTAGCCTGCGTGGCCACCCTACAAAGGAATGGGGGAGAGGATGGATGGAGACGGGAAGTATGGGTGGGTAATGGTTTGGATTTGGAGGACTCTCGCAGATCCTATCGATCACTGTTTACACCGCATTAGCTTTCCAAAAATTCCTATCCCTTTGTGTACCGACCAGACACGGGTTTCAACCCCGTGGAAGGTTGACTAAGCATTGTTAGGTGATGGAAGTTTACACGCTATTATTATCAAAAAGAGATGGGGAATGCATTTTCAACAACTGAGGTCGAACAACACCGCCCGTTAAGGCGATAGAATTTTCCTTTGTTGAAAATGTAATCGTCGAGTACAATTTCAGTGAAATAAAATAACACAATGTGGCACCTCTGGCCAAACAAATACGAAAGTATTATGATAACAACTTTTGATGAAGATAGCGAGGAACTGTAAAAAGTTTTATGGCCTGGTGATCCCAGCCATGATTTAGATCTATAAAGGTTTTGTATCGATATCCGAACTATTTTCTGCTGACCAAAACTAAAGTCTGGAACACTGTTATCAGTGGCCACGTTTCTCGAAAGTCCTCGAATTGTTAAACGTTTTTGTTTTGTAAGAAAAGCAAAGGAGATCCAACAAATTCATATTCTCACGTTCCCTGTCGATGTTTTTTTACAGTAAACTCTACGTGTATCGACTTTCTTTCGTAAGGTTCCAAACAAACAACTCTGTTGAAAGTGAGTGTTCTATTGACTAAACAAGTACACCTACCTCCCGAAAGGACTGTCGTGCTCTGCGGATTGGAGTGACCCGCCCGCCTGCTAAGGTCACTCGGCCGGTGGGCTGGGCGTTAGATTGGTTAAAAGTTATCCCTGTGTTGCTCAGAATACTTTGTAGGGCCTGGCTATCAGGTTGAAATTCGAATTCTTCGTTTTCTGGAACGTAAAGAAAAACGAAAGACATTGAAAGAAAAATTATCTTACTATTTAGAAGTGGCTGAGAACAGACGAACTTAAATTATCAGCTAGATGTTTTTATTCTGATGTAAACCAATCAGATCTTGAGAGACTCAGAGTTGTCCGAGATACCACTAGGCTTGTCTCGATTTCAAAACGAGGCCAACTTCGTTCCGCGCAAAATATGAAGAAACTCTTTTTGCTTGAGTTCATTGTCGTACATTTCCACAAGGAATTTTTTCAAATAGGGCAACAAGAACCTGAAAAAGGCCAATTATCATTTACGTTGGCTTCCAGAGGAAAGACACTACAATGATCAAAGTATTCCTTGCTCCAAATTCTCTTCAAAGGTAAACTGCTAAAATTATTTACCTTCGTCTGCCCAGGCTACCTGTTTCTTTACGCATGAGGAAGCCTGGGACGTAGCGAGTGCATTGTCAAGTTGACGCTGTTTCAGGGAGGACGCATTGGTCAGTGCAGCACGTGGTGTACGGAACACACGACTTGACGCTTCCAAAGCATGCTGGGTTGACGGTCCCGTATAATAAATTGAAGTTCTCTTGGCAGTCCCTTCTGCTAAATGAGTTGTTAGGCCTGATTTGCTGTCAGGAAGAGATGAAAAATTTACCATATTGTAATCAATGTGTGAATTGAAATATTAACCCACAGACGAAATCTATACCGGCACTAAAAAGTAAGCACTTTTTTATATGGCAAGGTAGTTTTGAGATAAAACCGAGCGTTCAGATTGGTTCTTGCTTGGTAGGTATTATGTTACACGGACCATTTCCATGGAACATTCATAAGCCGTGTATTTTTGTCCGCGAAAGCCGGCAAATTCAAAATATACAACTTTGATCTGAGTGCTATATAGCTGATAAACTATTTACAAACCTTGCTTGCTCGAACTGTACTCGGAAATGTTGGCCCTCGTCTATGCAAGTTATGCTAGCCTAGTAAGTTGTATCTTTATAATATATAACTGTAATCTGTAAGTGCTGTATAAATAGTAATTGAATAAAAATAGTTTGTCACCTTGAGGGTATTCCTGCAATTGTCGCTCGACCAGTAATTCGGCGATCCTCGTCCTAATGGAATAACCATTGAATAATTGACATGAAGAATGTGCTGCAGTTTCAAAAGAGTTCCTCACCCGGGGTCACTCAGTATTAGCAGATTTCAATTTGATCTACAATCATTAGAAAAGGTAAGACTACGACCAGTCCCCCTATGACTACTTAGTCCGTTGCCCTCGACAGTGTTCTGAGTTTCCATCAACACGAAAGGATATTTTGACATTTCAATTCATGTGCTTTCAAGACAGCGAGAAGGTGAAAAATGTGAGCAGCGAAACTACAATTTTCTTTGCGTTTTCTAGAGTTATAAATGTTGCTAGCAGAAGAAAGAGAAATTCTATATTTATTACGCATTCAGTAAACTTCATTAAAGATAAACAACTCCTTATTAGGAAGTAAATTCTGATTGGCTAGTCTCACGCTCTACATACAAGAGGTTATATGATTCTGGGCTAATCTATACAGACGTTGCAGGGTCTGTTTTTTTTTTTACTCTTGCGACGCACTATGCTGTGAAAGAAGGGCTAAAAGATGCCATTCAAAAGGGCACAAAACTGCACTTGGAAAAATTGGCCAATCCACATGGAAAGGATGACATTCATCGTAGTCCTTCCGTACAGAAGTATTTGCCCTAAGAGTTTGTACCACATTCCATTCCGCTTTCCCTGAAATTTACTGCTTAACAATTATGACAAGTCTACATAGAATGATCCTGAACCCATTTTACCTTAATTCCTGTATTAGTTAAGATTTCTTTCAAGGCTGTGCTGTCAATCTCAAAGTCATCATTGTCACTATCTGCAACTGCGTCCTGTTCATCTTCACTGTTATAAGCATATGGTTTTTTTGAATTTTGAGTTTGTTGGCCACTTACAGCAAGGTCAAAGGGTTTAAACTGAAAATAAAATCATTATGGTATGGTAAAATAAAACAGTTTTCTCCTATAACAAATAGGTCTCACTGTTGCTATGGTCAGCAAGTGGAATTAATATTTTTCACAATCCAGCCTTACCAACCAACAATAATCATCCTGCTTTCATCAGTAAAAGGAATTTATCTTTCCAGGCACGTACATTTACATGTCTATCACGTTGTACCATATTTTCTCAAATAAGTGCCCAGGCAATTTCAGAGGGTGGGAGGCACTTACTGGCACTTACAGTACTCCTGTACTGATTCCACTGTAGTTGAAGCTTAAACAGTTAGAAATAAAGTGGCAATAGAAACATGTTTTCCTTGTATCCCTACTATCACGAAAGTGAGGGAGAAGGGGAGGGGATTGCCTTTCTGACAGTATGTCCTAAGGGGGGAGGGGGTAAGTGCTTGTTCAGGGGAGGACGCTTACCAGAGTGTGGGCACTTATTCAAGGAAATATTGTATGTGTACCTATCTTATTCCTATGGTAATTTGGTATTAATACTGGGTAATAAAATATACACCAAGTAAGCACAAAGGTACACAATTTCGAAAAGAATACATGTAAAATAAAAATCATTTCCAGTCTCTTACTCCTGCTCAAATCAATAGATTACAAGATTGCCTTGGCTGGCAAATTCTTTTGGTGCGTGAACAGTGTTATATGTAAAGGAATAGAGCTTGCAGGATCAATATCACTTCAGTCTAAACACTATTCGATATACAACTAGTCAATCAGTGTACTTACCCTTGTGTTTTTCCTCTTTGCAACTGCCTTGCCCTGAAAAATTAAAATAAAGAAAAGATATTGAAGCAAAGTATGCATACACGTTACTGAAATAACTGGTGGCCAGAGGTGTTTAATCATCTGTACTCCAAGAGAGGAAAACTCTAAATTATGGACAACACCAAAACAGATCAAGCACTTTGAAAATTAAGACAACCTTGTTCTCAGCATCCTCTCTCTTCGTCCCTTGAGAAATAACACTCTCAAGAGGGAGGAAGACATTCATATTCAAATGTAACAAGGAGTCCCACATGGTCAGAGAAATTGGAGGGGGAGGGGAGGGGGGATAAGGGCAGATCTACCTGCTACCTTGGTGCTATCGAAACCCCTGGGAAAGTAAAGTAGCTCTATGACAAATACTATAGGCTAGTTAAAGTAGTAGGAATGTGAGGTAATTCTAGTATGTAGTGGAAGAAACTACTATATTCAACAGAAGCATGTATTTGATACACTTAACCATTTCATCTAATGTCAGGGGATGACAAACCAAGGATAGTAAAATTTCAGGGAGGGGAGGATACAGTGAAGGCAGATGACAAGTTGTGTTTGTTACTCAGTGTTACTGATTGCCAAAAAGTGAGATTATTTGGCTTGACTGCTGCTTGTAGCAAAGATGTATAAACTTAAGCAAGTTCATAGTTGTATAAACAGTGTCAATAGTTTTAGGGAAATTGGACTAGAGAACTCTGGTGGATTATACAGGTGGAATGATTGCTAATGGTGGCGAGTGGTACTCAAGCACTAAGCTGTCAGCAGACTCTCATAAACCCGAGGGCAGAAGAGATGAAGAGAAGCAAGTCATGTAGTCATCTCACGATTCCTTATACCTCAGTGCTTGCTAACCAATAAAATTGATTTAGCACAGATGTGTGTCTTGACCAACTTACAAAGTCAACCAAACAAACAATATATCTGATGCACAATAGGTCTTGGCTCCTGTGTTTGGACATGTTTATGTAGCAGTATTGCAAAAAAAAAAAAAATTAAATATCACAGCTTACCTTGGAAAACTGGTTTTCCCATTTTTGATGAAGTTTACTGAAGTCTGGAGCTTTTTTAACTTTTGTGGATTTCTTGATGGCCTTTACAGAATCAATCAATCAATCAGAATCAAATTTGAGCTTAATTGTGATTTTTTACTCACTGTGTTACTACTACTAATGATAATAATGATAATAATTATAATAATAATATGATAATAATAACAATAAAAACACAGTGACTTTAAAATTTCATAATCAACAATGAATTTCCTTCCAAGAAAATTTCCATGTTCTCCATGATTTGCACAAACCTTGATAAAGGTTCTGGTTCTTACTTATGATGTATTGGAGGACAGATGCATAGATAACACCATCATTGACAACAGTTTGCTTTTTAATTAATCATATAAAACAAATAGATTACATGTTGCCGTGGGTCTGTACAAGATCACATCACAGATGATGTCAAAATGCTGTATGAACATCAGTGTCACACTTGGCTGCATCTTGTGTGCTTTTTCCGTTCTCACCACAATTCTGACATCATCTGTGATTGATTACTGAGCAGTCACATGGTTATGTGGAATCTATTTAACAAATTTAACAATTATTGATTACTGAGCAGTCACATGGTTATGTGGAATCTATTTAACAAATTTAACAATTATTTAACAAATAGATTCCAAGTTGCTGTGTGTCTGTTCAGTAATAGATAACAGATGACATCAAAATGTGGTAAGAACAAAAAAGTGGCACACAAGGTGCAGTCGAGTGTGTCACTGATGTCCTTACCACATTTTGACGTCCTCTGTGATCTATTACTGAACAGACACACAGCAACTTGGAATCTATTTGTTTTATATAATAAAGAATTAAAAAAGTTTTAATGATGACATCATCTATACGTCTGTCCTCCAATAGATCATAAGTAAGAACCAATCAGAATGCTTGCATAACTGAGCTTATTATATAATTGTTAAATGGTACATGATTATCTTACTGGATCTGCATTTTCTTTTCCTTTCACTCCTCTCTTCACAGGGACTGGAATTGAGCTAAAAAAGCAATACTACACATGAAACGTTTCCACTATTATGATTTTCATTTGTACATAATAAAGCTTTAAACAAATTTTTACTTTCCCCCTTTTATTCGGTCTGACTTTCCATACAGTAAATGACTGGACAATCCCAAATAATCTTTCACTTGAGATATGATGTAAATGTTATTTACCTTTTCCCTGAAGTTGGTTTTGATGTGGTCTTCTTGCTCTTTAATGCTAAGAGAAAAATTGATTGTAATTCAATTTTAGCAACTGATTACCATAATGTTTACCCCCCTAAAAACTTTCGTCGTGAATGTTGCTGCGACAGTTGTTGTTGTTTGTTTGTTTTTTTTAGAAGTCATGTACGATCACGAAAAATTTTGAAAACACAAACCTTCCGCAGTATTGGTAGATCTGGGCTTGACTGCCTTGGTATTTCCTTTATGGGAAGCTCTGATAGATGAAAACATGGTAACATTAAATACGATAATTTACATGGCTGAACAATCAAAGCATATGACCTCATATTTTATCACATGTTTTCAGTCGGTGATTTCACAACGCATGTTGTTAAACAGCTGTTTGTTTCGTGTTTTCGACATCGAAGTGTTTCATTTAACAAACTGATTAGACTGATGAGACACATGTAATCTAGTCTAGGCCTTTATGTTAATCGAAATCTGTTCAACTGAAATTATCCTGTATATGAAAGCGATCGTCGCAGTAATGAACATTACTTGAGCAGTAGTGATAATAAGGCCTGAAAAAAATTCAAGCCTGTACTTAGAAGTGTTCATTACTGCGAAGATCGCTTTAATATACACGTCTTTAACCGCTGTTCATATATGATTTTCATATATGGGATTTCACAGACATTTGAAATTATCCTCGCTCAATAAATAAACAAAACATGAAACAAGTGAGCGTGAAAGATGTCGATCGTCGGCAACCTTTGGCTTGTTTCTCCCAAAAAATTGCCTTTACCATTCATGAAAAGAGCCAGGCTAAGAGTGGTTCCCATAAAAGTAGTTTCATTGGGCTCTGAGAACAACGACCAGCACATAATATTTCCTGAGATCAAAACCTGCCAACGTTTAATTTACTTTCGCACTGTACTTACGCATCTTTCGCTGTCTTTTTTGATGATTGCGATTTCAGTCTCGCTTCACCAGCCGTCGGCATGGCCTTCCAAAATTTACATGATCTCTTTCAAAGCCAGAAAACGACAAAGCCTTGTAAATTTTTGGTAAAAACTCAAGACAAAAAAAGAACGCTAACATTTTGTTAAATTTCCCGATCGTTTATTCTAAGCCAATCAGATCGCTTAGAAAATTTAAAATGACTCTATCCCGGATGGAAGAGCGTCTGATACAAGAAACGCCTGGCAGAAACTCGTTCTACCCCAGATCCTTTTGGAATGTAAGCGTCAAAGAGTAACTAAATTACTTTGTAAGGTACAAAATTCTTACTGTTTATGTTTGTTTTTGGTTCGATCAAGAAATACCCCACTGCAAGTTATGATTGAAATAAATGTAATTACCTCGCCAAAAATTCATGGGCAGCTTTAAGGACCAAACGGTCGAAGGAAAAATGTCCCCACAAATATACCGAAGACTAGTAAATAATTTAATTAGCAAATATATGATATTTCAACAATAGTTTTCTGAGCTTACAGTTTTATGTAAAGATTGAATTTTCTGATATTTCGTCAGGTACGACATTGGAAACAGAAGAAAAGAAAAAAAATCAAGGGTCTTTAAAGAAGAAAAAATGAAAGAAAGAGAAAAAGAGAGAAGACAAAATGACATGAATTATGAGCGATAAAAGTTACAGTTTAGAAAGAAGAGAATATAAAACTATAAGATTGTTTATGATAGAATATAAACAGGAAATACAAGAAAAGTAAAAAAAATACTCCATCCTTTAACCTTAAGCGCTTTTGAAATTACAATTTACATTTTTTAATAATTATTTGACAATATTTGCTGGGCATGGGAGGAATAATGGGTTGTGGTATATGTAACGTTCTTCAGGGCTTAGTCTTAAGAAGGACATATAGAATAAGGAAGCAATAATGAACACCAAGCGGAATGTGTGTTGATCCAACTCTACTGAGGTCAAAAAGTGAGCACACCCTTAAAGCGGGTTGGATTACAGCTATCTCGAGTTACATAATTGTTAACTAGACAATACAGGATTTCGTCACAGTATGATTATTCAGATGCTGATTAGAACGAAAAATCATCTCATATTTCCTTTTTCGGAAACAAAAACAATTTGCACGCTGCCCATTTCCAAAGTAAGTGCCTAAGTACCTCAGGGCGGAGTGATTACGAGTAGGATGTATTGCGGGTATGACGTAATTTTCGACCAATAAGTGCGAGGGTATAATCACCTGATCATACTGAAAATTCGAAAATAGACCCATTTTTATTTTTCTCAGACCGAAAAAATAATTTTTGAACGTTCGGAATGTCGTTTGCTTTTATGACTAATTTTTGCTGCCAAATATATAGAGGTTTTAAAGTCAGTGGGCGGCCGCGATTTGTCCATGCATGTTTCCACCAGAAAAATAAAAATAAATAGTTACTGGATAAAATATGTTTGGAAACATTTTTTTTCCAACGCAATGCCGTTTAGACGCTAGTTCAGAGTAAGTTTACCCTTCCTTCTTTCCCAACAGTTTTGCTACGATTGAATTTACTTTGTAGCAAAAAAATTGTAAAGTGTTCACCACGAGATCGCGAAGTGGGCCCGTTCGTGCTTTTTGATTGCATCTCTCAGAAACCCCGAGGCATATATTTTTTCTCTTGTTAAACAAATGATGCATAAGTGTCTTGTTTTCAATTGAAATATCACCCGATGGAAGGATAATTGATGCGAACAGGTGATGACAGGTACTTCTCCACCTCACTATTAAACAATCTAACCTAAATTTCACCATGTAGTGAAAAACAAAAACCAAAAGATCAACTCCTTGACTTCACACATCGATCATTGTTTTTTACCGGAAGATTACCCTATGTAACACCTTTTGAGTGCTTAAAAGAGTCCCAATGAAGCCAAGTTGTTAGAGACCATACAGGATTTTTCATCGACGATTGCTTCCGAGAATACTGTGTTGTCTTGATTTGACATGACGATTTGACTTAAAAAACAGACGCAAATTTTAGAGGTTTTACACCTCAAGCCTACAATAAGGAATCAGCGACCACTGAGACGGGGTAAATCGAAACTTGCTTACAAAGGTGTACTGGTATCGCCTCTGAGTGACCGCTCGGCTTAAAGAGTCGGTTTTTTGGTTTCAGCACTTGATGATGGCTATTGGAAACCTTGCTTTGCTACGGTTGAATTACCTTCAAGCTACTCTTTAGTAAGGTAATCGTAGACACTCAAGATCAAGGCTTATGAAAGATTCAAGCCAATTGATTAACGGAAGGTTTGTGCAAGTTGTACTGGAATTCAATTAACGCTGAGTTATCACTCTAAGATTGCCCACATTTGAATCATCATCGAAGCTGTTTACTTTGTTCTAGAGGACTTATAAAGCATCCCACCCTTATCACTGAGATTCAAAAACAATCTAGTTCAAGACCGTGGAAAACAACTCAGACTGTTTGTCTGGTTCCAAGGACCAAACTACTTCGCGAGCATCTGCTGTGTGAATCATGCCATTATCTGGCATTATTCTCATAATTGGAATATTACTGGGTATCACTACACTCGTTGGTATCCTTGGAAACATTTCCGTGTGTCTCGTGGTGTTTTGGAATCGCTCCATGCGGAACCAATTACATCTCTTGTTAGTCAATTTAGCGATTGCTGATGTTGGAATGTCGGCGTCTTGCATGCCCTTCGCCGTGGCAACTGTTCTCTTCCATGAACAGGTCAGTGTGTGTTGCATCTCGCATGCTTGGTTGAAGAAGTCTTTGAGCCTAGTCACATGTATCGGATGGCCATGGTTGTTTTTCTCTCGTCCTAATCTGTAATGTTAAATAAATAGTTTTCCTATTTTATCTGCTTGAAATGAAATAATATCATGGCTTGGATGACACTGAATTAATTTCTCCATTTCCAATTTTATTCACGAGAATTGTTGGTGATTCGGTTGAAAATTCAGCGAATACTTTGCGAAGGTTTTTATATTCCTATGTAAAACGACAGAAAACAAGATGACAAAACATACAAAGAAACCAACACCTCATTAAAGCTAACAAACAAACAAACTAATTTTTCCCTGTAGACTGATATGGAAATTCTATCAATTTTTTAGTGAGAGCTGCTCGTAAGTGATTTATCAAATCTAAACTCGTTCAAGTCTGAAGTTTAATTCCCGAAGAAAATAAAAATTTATTTCTTGGAGCAACGGTTAAAGACTGGTGACAAACGCAATCGCATATTGGTTGGTTTGGCAATCAAAGTTGAAGTTCCTTAGCGCTTTAAGTCTTAAACTCTAACTTCTCTCCACAACTTTAATATATCATTCACTAAACAGGTAATGAAAATAGACTGGTGTATCGGGGGAAGGACTTTACCTTGATCTAACGCCAAACTCTCCTCTCTTATTTACAAGGAATTGCATAGAAGTTAAAAATCAGATGATTGGAATTTAAGGGTTGGCTTATTAACGTAAACTTGTGGCCTACGGCACATAACTTTCTATCTTCTTTCTATCTCTCCATAGACCATCGATAAATCATTTTGTTACTTCAACGGTTTCATCAACACGCTTTTCGCGATGGCCAGTGTGCTTACAATATGTTCGCTGTGTGTTTTCCAGTACGTGTCTGTTGTTTTGCCAATGAACAAGTCTCTCACCAACTTCCGCTGCCTCGTCATGGTGTTATGCGCATGGGTTATTTCTATATTCCTCGCCACGGGACCCGCGATACAATGGGGGCGCTACGAATTCACTTCAAACATTTTCAACTGCGAATATTATCACTCTACAAGCAGAGCAGATATTTCTTACAACATAACCATGATGCTTTGCGGTTATTTATTTCCTTGCGTTTTCATGATTTTTTCTTACGTCAGTATTTTACGAGCGTTGCATGAACACCAATCGCGCATGGCAGTGACGTCATCCATCTCGCCAGCACCGGTCGCAGGTGCTCCCGTTTCTTTGGAAACGAAACTGCGTATGACAATGTCATTTGTGGTTCTGACATTTCTGGTTTGTCGTACTCCGTTTTTCGTCTTCTTGGTCATCACAACCAAAGATTTAGACCATCCACCCGATTTTTTGGGGCAGTTGTCGTTTTGGGCTATTTACTTGCATAGCGCATGCGATCCTTTTATTTACGCATTCAAACACCCTGAATATCAAGATACATTGAAAGATATAGCAAGAAAGTTCAAAATAGCAATTACAAGTACCTTTTGCTGTTGCATGTCCAAAGATGCTAATGAAGAAGAAACGAAAGAAAAAAGATAACATGGAAGTCAGGCCATGGAAATCATTAGAGCACTCTACTTCCGGCTACAGTTCCTGATATATTTTTCTTTGCGCACGATTGTCTTAACGTCAGGTGGCAGAATGTTTGGAAATTTCAACCCCTACTTGTACGTTTGATACTTTCAAGAGAGGAGCGGGGATCTTAAGGGCGGTACAAGCGAGTCTAGCAACAAGGAACACCTTCGTTTATCATAAAAAAATTTATTAAAGCCAACTTTAAGATGTGTCCGTTGCCGTCGCAAAACGACACGACATGAAATATATTATTTATGTCCACTTTGCATAACACCTTACATATTATAATGTATATAATAATCATATAATCATTTTGTAAACGATCACAAAATGATAAACAGTTGAAAGATTCCAGATCTGTTTTCTTAATAAAATTGAACAAGTTCATTGGTCCTTGTTTCTTTTCGATATGCAGCAGAGGCTCCGTAGCCATCGAGAAAAGCGACCGGTTTTGCGAATCTGTTAAAGGCAAGTAAAAGAGAACATGTTAGGGTACATCTGAAGGAAACAATTAGTGGTAAAACATGGGAGGAGCTATCCTATGAGCTAGAATGTTATTTTAATTATAAGAGAAAATTTCACCGAGTGGTTAATCGCATGAAATATTTACAGATCCGGAACAACCATACTTGGGTCTAAAATATAAATGGTAGTATCCAGGCCATCCAACAAGGTCCTAGGATATATCAAACCACCGTGACCATCGGTGAAATTCGGCGATTTCGAGATCAGAACAGTTTTTCAAGATGAAAAAAAAACCTGTCTAAGGGGTTTAATTTTAAAAGACCAGAAACATACAGAATTAGTGATATAAACCTAAAGGCAGCGCATAAACATGTGCAACCACGTACCTTCCTTCCCGGTTTTGTTTGAGCTTTGCTGTGAGGAAATGAAAAATCTTCAACATATTTACTTCCAGTTTCCACGAAAACATCATCAGTAGATGGTGGACTGAGCTGGTTCGAGGCACACTCACTGATTGTTGAACTTTTGTCGACAGAGTGACTATGTTCCACCGGAATGTTGACTTTTATGACGGTTACTTGTGATGCAACTGATGTTTCATCATTTTGTGAGCTTTCTTGGGAGCTTTTCCCTAACAGTTCTTTAGAATTTTCTGCCGAGTTTCTTTCCAAACTGTCGTTCAACGTGGTTTGCTCTGAGCTCTCATTAGAGCCTGGTGCGAACTGTTAAAGAAAGAAGAAAAATAGTCATTCAGGTGTCACCTTTTACAACAAAATCCAGCTAATATTCAGTTTTAATCATTTAAAACAAGTACCAATAACTTAACAGTAAGTCAGTACAGGCGGAAAATTCTCTTTGTGATCGTTTTGTTAAGTTTCGACCAATCTTCTTTCAATGAGTTATCTTAAAAATGTGAACATCATCTTTGTTTTATTAGCAGGAGTCTACTGTCGCGCAAGCGATGGTCGTGAACGGGAAATAATACGATTTTTGATCGGACTACTTACCTTTTCTTGAGAGAAACAGCCACCATATGTGTCTGCAGCTCGCTCTTTTCTGCTCTCCTCAACACAGGATCCTCTACCACAATGAGGAAGAACTTTATCAATTTCCTCTTCCAGCTTCCAGAAGGGAAATATAACCATTTTACCAAGTTCATACTGGTATTCAATCGTTAGATTATCAACGTCAATGTCAGCATCAATGACGTCGTCACGGAGACGCGCAATTTCCAAAAGAGATCTGTCTTTCTCCTCTCGCAGAGTTGCCACCAACTCAGCATCAACTTTAACCTTTGAAATGTCGCTTTTCTTTCTTTCGATAGTCTCCAACAATTTTCTTTTCTCCTCGTCGAGCTGCTTGGAAAATCTTTCACATGTTTCATCGACGGACCGGCATTCATTGTAGAGTTTAGCAGTGCTTTCCTTCACTGTTTTCAATTCTTTCTGTATTTCTGAAATACGCTGCATAAGTAAACTGTTTCGCTTCTTTTGCTCTTCTATTTCCTCGGCCAGGAACTCATTGCATTGACGTGCATTGTTGTATTTGGTGACAATGACGCTTTTTCCCTGTTTTGAACAAAAATGCAAAGTTCTACAAGCTTGAATTGTCAAGACAAACTAATTCTTCAGCATTAAAATGTCTGAAAAACTAATGGCATACTTTACCCTGGCCTTGTATTCATATGAGCTGATATCATATGTTACGTAGACTACCTTCGCTCCTAAAACTCACAGTTAATATAATGAGATATTCTTTCAACCATTGAGTCGATTATGCTGTGGGTTGATTCATCGATCTTGTACACTTCGGAATAGAGGATGCGGTGAGCGTGTTTGTTAGCCACTGAAACGGGTGCACTCGAAATTCAGCCCTAGTTCTAGAACATTTCCTTTCTCAACCTTGAAAACTTGCGCGCTGAGTTTTGGTTTTGAAGGATTCGGATCACCATGTCAAACTGACGAAATGATTCTGAGAATCACGAAGGACAAGGGCACAATTTGTATGGGTTAGTAGAAGCTCGTAAGGTGCTTTCAAACGAAAATAACTTTGACTTACGGCGTTTGGAAGCAGCTGTTGTGGATGAGGTGTATAAGGCATATGCCCGTAGATTGGATCCATGTAAGACGCATGTGGGAATCTATAATTCATCGCTTGTGTCGGATTACCCCAAGCGTAGTACTGGATTTGAGGCTGAGGTACCAGCAAATTTCTGTTTGGGTTTTGTTGGAAATTGTGTTGAAGAATGAAACCCGATGGCAGCTTTCCACCGCCATACGACAGATATGAATCTATGGAGCTTTCTTGAGGAAACTTTGATGGCTCGGTGGTATTTAATGAGCTGCACCACATGCCTGAGTGAAATACAGGGGATAGAAATATAAATAATAATCATGTCTCTCCAAATCAACTTTTTATCGCTAAATCAACAAACTTTCGGTTTAAAATCCAGGAGATTAGGTAAGCTATCGTCGCCTTCGGGATTTGCTTGTTTCTGAAGCGACGTATTTAGCTACCAATCACAATTAGATTTCTCCAGAAAAGTTTTTCAGAGCATGAAATGTTGCTTACTGATATAATACGATTCTCTCAACAATAGTTCAGCAACATTTTTTGCACTAAATTGAAGTCATTTTTGTGTTTCACTTTGGTGCAGGAGGCTTCATAGTTCGGAGGAAATCACTAAAGAATGCCGTTTTTTCACCAATTAAACAAGTTGTCTAATTTGTTTTTAGAATTTTTCATTATGGAAAGGAAATTGTTCTAATGGAGTGTAAATTGCTCTCGCTTTTTCCAACTATCTCAGAACGATGATCGGGACTGGACTTACTCACACGCAGACAACAACAGGAAACACAGCGAAAAGTTTCTACTTACTTGATCAGTTTAGACTTTGCTCTGTGCGCTTAATCTGAAATTTTCTTTCACCGTAACCAAAGTCGTTGTTTCTTTTCACAAACTTTCAAATTCACAACAGTAACACTGTATCCTTCTTAGCCCTGGACCGAATTTGGAAATAAGAAGTGTTTTTAAAGCTAAATTCGCTACACTCAGTGATCACCTTGCGGAACGGAATCCAAATATGATCATCTGTTTATTCGCTGATCTTTTTCCATCGTCATAGCAGCGCACGTTTATTTCGTCATAGCGCACGCGCCTGAAGCGGTTAGTTGAAGCGCGCGCTGATTGAACTTGGGTATCTTCAATGATGCTAATGTTTATATGCTTCAGTACTCTAGGAAAAATCTCACACGAAAAGAGTTCTGCGATTAGGGGAAGAAAAAGAGCAGTAGGCACAACTTGTATAACAAATTAAAGAAGCATCGTCACTAATTTCTTCTCACTGTCAAAGTTATTGAAACTCAGTCTTGAAATGGATGAATTATCTTCAGGTCATCTTTTCCTTCAGCCCACAATTTTTCACGGATTTTTCAGATTGTTAACTCCTGTTTTCAGCGCAAGCCTCACGGTAAGTGGTCTGAAAACCACAATTTACTCGGCTGCCCTCCGCCTAGCGAACGATAAGCAAATTTCGCTGTTGCGCTTTCATTTGCACCATCCGCTCAACATTTACTGTTCGCTGATTGACCGGTGAAGCCGATTAAATGTGATGAAACTTGAAATGTTCCATGTGTGTAGGTGTCTTTTCCAAGCTTAGATATGTACCTTTAAATGATTCCAGAAATCATGATCTTTTAAATGATAGTAAACCTGCTGTTTGGAAGTTTATCCGTCGTATCGCTTGACCTTACCCTTTTAAACCCTAGAAATGCTTGCAGAGTTCCTAACTGACAAGTCGGTTCAAAATTTTGTTCAAGACTCTTTTAATCTACAAATTTCAACATCATTTCTATCAACTTTTTACAGCACAGCGACTGAAGGGAGCGATTTTTTACAGCTTTTTTGCATTGATTCATGGTACTAAAAGCAGGAACGTACTTTAACATCTGCTTTACCATCTAATACTATGGAAGACCAATACCAAATGAAAGTTCACTATCGCGCAGAAACATGATTTTTAAGGCTAAGCAAAAGTTATTCGGTACTAAATCAAATACAACTACTTTGAGTACTTTTCCTTTGACTGTCTTTAAACACTATTCTATTCGGCGCTTTTTCCATGATATTCGGTTTATACACCATTATATTTGGTGCTTTTTTGATTATATTTGGTTTATACACTATTCTATTCGGTGCTTTCTCTATTATATTCGGTTCAAACGCTATTCTATTCGGTGCTTTTTCCATCATATTTTTTTAAACACCATTATATTCGGTGCTTTTTTTCATTATATTTGGTTTAAACACCATTATATTAAGTGCTTTTCCCATTATGTTGGGTTCTAACACCATTATATTCGGTGCTTTTTTTCATTATATTTGGTTTAAATACCATTATATTCGGTGCTTTTCCCATTATATTGGGTTCTAACAACATTATATTCGGTGCTTTCTCCATTATATTCGGTTCAAACACCATTATATTTGGTGCTTTTTGTCATTATATTCGGTTCAAACACCATTATAGCGGAACCCGCAGAGCGTAGCCCCATAATTATACAAAATAGTAGTAACCCATCAAGCCGAAAAAATTTGGATGTACGACCGTACGACCGTACAACCGTACAAGGTGCTACTTTTAACATGCGTGGTCAACTGTACCGCGGGCACGCCAACGACACGGCTTTGTTCAGTAGTCCAGTGGTCAGTGCATTGGGCTCCGAGTCGGACGACTCGGGCTCTAGTCCTGGCCGGGGCAAGGCGTTGTGCCCTTGAGACGTGCGGGAAAAAATGCGAGCTCCGCTTTTAGGCTTGGCTAAATCTATATTATTATTGGGTGCGTTCTTCATACTACTCGGTGCTTTTGTCGTTATGATCGTCACCAATCTCCCGGAGGGGCCGTAGAATTTAGAGGAAGTCTGGGAAGGCCTGAAAAACAGCCAATGCCATTCCTCGTTTTGGCCGTCTTGAAATGGAGGTTACTTTGAGTGAGGTTTGGTAGCTCAATTTAGACGTGAACGGATCATTCCTTCCGCAATTTTGGCTTTGACAGACGAGCAAATCGAGCGACTGGGTGTTTGCGGCTGCTTCTGCTTTGCAGAAACTTCGAAGAAAGCAGTGCTGGGACCTCCACTGGCAGTGGAAATGTAACAACATCGTGCGAAAGACCTTCAGCTGATGCAATCCGCCGGCTATTTAATCCTAGACGCTCCAGGAAACAATCCAGGAATAGCAAAAAGCGACACGCACGTACCTGGACTGTTCAATTTGTTTGTCTGTTAGACAAGTATCAGTGCAAAATCCCACAGCCACCGAGAAGCAAACTTTGCAAAAGGCCGGCTTGTGAGTGAAGAAGATTAAACTCCAGTGAGATGATGACGAAACTTCTGTACATCATGAACTGATTTCAGATGAGAAAGATGAAGCGAGTGACGTGAAGGACTTTCCACAGTTACGTGATGCAGGCGTAACCCTGTCTTCCAAAACTGCCGAGACTTAACTCCCCTCAAGTGTTCTTGGTCCACCAGGGAATTGAGATGCAATCTAGGAGGCCAGTCAAAGATCTGTCTCAGGCCAATTCAAAGAAATCTGTCTCCCAAATCTCTTATTCCTCAAACTTCTTGTGAAGTGAAGGAGAGATGCATAAGCTGCAAGAAGGAATTCCCAATGAGTGAGCTTTCGTACTCATTCTTTTTACATGTGCATTGCTAGTCTTAATAGTGATTCAGACTCAGAGGGGCAGACCACTAAAGAAAGCCACACTCTATAAAGTAAAGTCGATGCTTTATCACTTGATAATCCTTTGCAACTGCAGAATACTCAAGCTGTAGGCGAGCAGGATTTCACCCCTGTAGAGTCCAGTCAAACCAGTGTTAAAGATGAGAGGATCCTATTGACACTGTAACAACCTTTTGTGGGCAAACAATATTCAAAATCCTCTGGAGATTCTGCGTTGCATGTTAAAATACATTGTCACTGGTGAGGCCTTGGTGCTTGAATCAAAAAGCGAAACCTTGGAGGGGGAACAAATCACATCAATGTGAATAGAATGAACTTACTTGAAACCACATTTGAAGAAGGAGCACTCGAAAACCTTCGCTTAACTTTAGAAGTTTCATTCTATGGTGAGGTAAGTTTGCTTAAAATTTTGGTTACATTTACAACTTTCTCCTCTTTTCTCCTAAAGTCAAAAGCCTGACCCTGTAAGCATCAAAATTAAGTGTGGCAAAATTTCTCCATTTAAAATAACCATGTAATCAGTGAAAGGTAATAAGAATTGATGACATGAGCATCCATGATGAATTCTCTTTAGATTTTTATAATGTTGTTACATTACTTCTATGAGAAAGGTGTGAGGGCAAGAAAGGATAATTTGCATTGGGAATTAAGTGGTTCAGGCTTCTGCTTTCACCTCTCTTTGACAAAATCTGAGTCTACTAATTACTTTATGGGTTTAATTAATTGTTTATTTATTCATCTCCATATTTATTCAATTCCAGGTTGCTTGTGATTATGGAGGGCCATGAAGGGAATTCTTTTGTCTGATACTTGCAGAGATAAAAGAGAAGTATTTTGACAATAGCTTTCAATAGCTTTCAAACTTCTTGCAGATGATTACTTTATAGTTGGTGTGATTCTGAGTAAGTAAAAATCTCAAGCAGTTTTTATTAAGTCAACTTTTCTGAAATTGCTATTCATGATAATAAATTGATTTGTGCACTTTTCTTGGTCATCTGTTATGACACTACTTGGAAGTAGAGAACATGATAAGACTTGTAATCCACCAAACATTTTTACTCGCTTGTGTTTGGTCTATACATGTCACAGTTAGAGTTGACATGAATTGCTTGTTAGTCCAAGTTTTGGAAGAATGGACATACACAATAAGTAAATCTACAACTTTTTTGCAGGCTTAAGCATTGTTCAGAATGGGAAGATCCCCCAATTTTTTTTCTGAACAGATCAAATGGATGAGATATTTCAGGATGACTCATCATCATCAGCAGTTGCTAACCTGCAAAAGGGGTTGGCCAAGCTAGAAATTTTGCAGATAAAAGTGATATCTTTTCAAACTCTGAACCATACCTCATCTTCTCTTCTTAAATAGAGCTATATCTGTGGGAATGAGACTAGAGATATCTCCTGATTCATTCAAATACTTTATTGTTTGACAACATCATTTAAGAACCAGAAGTTTTTAGGGCAATCAGGCAGGAAATGTTTTGATATAATTGTGATATCACAGCAATGGTAATAAGACACTAACTGACACCACATTAAAAAAATCTCCTAACATCAAGTGCTCCAGTTTTATGAAAATAGTATAACTTCCTCTTATTCAGGGAAAATCT